TCTGGGCTGGTTTCCTTACCTGGAACATGGAGCTGCCATTAACCTGCTCTGCAGAAGGTGTAGAATGGTGTCAAGGGCTAGGAGGTACCTACAAAGGACGAGGGCTTCAGAACACAACCCTGGCTATGAGCTGCCAGATGGGGAGGGACTCTGCTTGTTCCTTTGCAGGACCTTTGGTCCCTAGAGTAATGGAGCACTGAGCCCAGAGGAGCCAGCAAGAGAGAAGTGGTACACTCACCTACAGAACGCTCTGCAGCAGTAGACTAGACCGGGTGCCAGGGCTCACGCCTGTAATCCCAGCTCCTCAGGAAGCAGAGGTCAGGAGGATTGAGGTTCGAACCACAAATAGTTTGTGAGACCCACCTCAAAAATTCCCAACACACTAAAGTGCTGGCAAAGCGGCTCAAGATGTAGGCAGAGTTCAAACCTCAGTTTGGGGGGGTAGGGGATAGTGGAAAACAGTGGCCAAAGAGTAAATACTTTACCTATGTTACAGCCTTAGATGGTATGCGAATAGTGGGCATGGCTGTGTTCCAACAAAACTTTATTTATGGTGCTGAGGATTGAACACAGGGTCTCACACAAGCTAGGTACATGCTCTACCCCTCAGCGACATCCTCCACCCCAGTTTTTGGTGGTTTTTTTTTTTTTTTTTGAGGTACTGGGGCTTGAACTCAGGGCCTATACCTTAAGCCACTCCACCAGCCCTTCTTTTGTGATGGCTTTTTTTGAGATAGGATCTTGCCAACTATTTGCCGGGGCTGGCTTCGAACTGCGATCTTCCTGATCTCTGCCTCCTGAGGAGTTAGGATTACAGGCGTGAGCCACCAGCACCTGGCTAAAATGCTTCTTTTCTTTTTTTTAAGCAGTACTGGGGTTTGAACTCAGGACCTCACGCTTGCTAGGCTTGCTAGGCAGGCACTCTATCACTTGAGCCACTCCGCCAGTCATTCAGCCCCAATTTTTTAAATTGTCATGTGACAATTATGAATATTTATGGGGTACAGTGTGATAATTTGATACAGGTACACAATGTGAAATAATAAAATCAGGTAATTAGCATTTCTATCTTAAACATTTATCATTTCTACGTTGGGAGTGTTTGAACATCTTTTATTTCTCGTTTTTATTTTTTAATTTTTTTGGTGGGACTAGGTTTTGAACTCAGGGCTTCACACCAGCAAAGCAGGTGCTTGAGCCACACCTCCAGTCAAAGTACTTCATAAAATATACAAATTGACTCACTGGGCGCCAGTGGCTCACGCCTGTAATCTTAGGTATGTGGGAAGCTGAGATCAGGAGAAGCAAGATTTTTGTTTGTTTCTTTGTTTTTGTGGTACTGGGGTTTGAACTCAGGACCTTTACTTTGAGCCACTCCACCAGTCCTTTTTTGTGATGGGTTTTTCAAGATAGGGTCTTGAGAACTATTTGCCTGGGTTGGCTTCGAACTGAGATCCTCCTGATCTCTGCCACCTGAATAGCTAGGATTACAGGCATGAGCCACTGGTGTCCAGCTTAAGGATCAAGGTTTGAGGCAAGCCAGGCAAATATTTTGAGAGACCCCACCATCTCCAAAATGACCAAAGCAAAATGGACTAGAGGAGTGACTCAAGCAGATTTGCAAGCACAAATCCCTGAGTTCAGAGCCCAGTTCCACCCCAAAAAAAATTACATATATATATATATATATATATATATATATATGTATATATAATAAATTGTAAACTACAGTCACCGTACTTTGCTGTAAAACAATGAACCTACCCCTCTTTTCTGACAATTTGGTGCCTGTCATCCAGCCGCCTTCTACTCCCTCTCCCCTTCCTAACCTCCAGTAATCTACTTTCCTCTCTTCTCTGAGATCAGCTTTTCAGCTTCCACGGTGAGGGAGAACATACTGTACTGAGCTTTCTGTGCCTGGCTTATTTCACTTAACATAATGTTCTCCAGATCCATCCCTATTGCTGTAGATGACAGGATTTCATTCCTTTTCTGGAGACCATGTCTTGCTCTGTTTCCCAGGCTGGTCTTGAACTAGAAAGTCTCCTACCTCACCCTTATGGGTAGCTGGAATTACAGTCAGATACCACCACACCCAACCCTCATTCTTCCTTTTTCTTTTTTTTTTTCACATTGGCATATATTAAATTGTACATGGTAAGGTTTTCATTATGACATTTTCAACTATGCATATAATGTACTTTGATCGTATTTACCCCTCTATCAGTCTTTCTTATCTCCTTTCTTCCTTCCCCTTCCACCTCCCTACTAGTCCCCCTTTTACTTTCATGGCCTCGGCCTTTCTGTTTGCTTTTGTTTTGTTATGGCTGAATACATTTTACCTGGTCACTGAAATTTGAATTTCATACAATCTCCACATATCACAAAATATTACTCTTTTTTGATTTTTTCCTCAACCATTTAAAAATCTCAGCCTTCAGGCTATACAAAACTCCCAGAACCCAGCTTTGACTGTTGGACTGTAGTTTGTTCAGCCCTGTTCTAGCCTCAACATAGATTCTTTTTTCTTTTTCTTTCTTTCTTCTATTTTTCTTTCTTTTTTTCTGTGAGACTAGGGTTTGAACTCAGGTTTTTGCAGTTGCAAAGTAGGTACTCTACCACTTGAGCCACACCTTCAGTCCATTCTGTTCTGGTTATTTCAGAGCTGGAATCTCTCGAACTTTTTGGCCAGAGTGGCCTCGAACTATGATCCTCCTAAATTCAGCCTCCCAAGTAACCAGGATTATAGGTTTGAGCCACCATGCCCAGGTGTGGTACACACAAACTCTAAAACATGGTAAGTGAAGCCAGTGATCCTGGGCAGAGTGAGGGTTAAGGAGAGATAACTGCACATTCTAGTTTCCCAGGGATAGACTAGTTGATCCTAATTAACCCCTATATAGTTTTTTCTTTTTGGTGGTACTGAGGCTTGAACTCAGGGCCTCACACTTGCTAGGAAGGTACTCTACCACTTGAGCCATTTGGCCAGCCCTATCCCTATAATTAATAGCCTCTCTTTTACTGTCACAACTCCCTGATTCATTTAATAAATGCTCAGAAGAGAGAGAAGGGGGAGAAACACTGTTTGACCCCCTCACAATCTTCAGGCTTAATGTAAAGGGTTCAGATGAGCAATCCAGGAGAATTTACAGAACACTACTACATTTCAAATAATTCTGACTAACAGCACTGGATTTCAAGCCAAAACCCAGACATGAGCAGGAGGCTCTGCAGTCCAACTTTTATCTCATCCTGAATCATTTGCCTTATTCAGAGTTGGTTGGCTGGTCCCCCCATCTTGCCAGCAAACTTCTCAGGGAAGGGACTGCCACTGGGATTCAATTCCTATGTGACTTTCCCCAACCTCTACACACCAGCGCTGCCTACGTGGTGGGTCTCAAGTTTGTCACAGACAGAGACCAGGGAGGTGGGTAGAGAGTTTGAGATCTGACAGACCTGGGGCAGCAATTTATGAACTGGTTGACATCTTTGGTCAAGTGTATGTCATGTCCTCAGGCCATAATGAACTTGACTTCTTACCCCAAAGTGGGCAGGTGGATCAAGAGGATGCAGGCCTCCATACTTCACCTTAGTGACCATCAGGGGTCATCTGCCCAGTCTCATGCCCTGTACTAGGTTAAAGGCCACTCATTATGTCAGCCTCCAGTCCTTCCAACCTCATCTGTCTAAATTACTCCAGGCAGATCTCATTAATACAGGAACAGCAGGTATCAGAGATGAACTTACTATTTATTCTCTAGGAGGCCATAAGAAGCAGGAGGCAGAGTGCCTGGGTTCAGATCCTGACTCCACCAACTATGAGAGCTTGGGGAGGGTTACTTAATTTCTGAGCCTCCAAATCGCACTTCTTTACAGGGTTGCTGTGAGGATGAAATGAGTTCATTCATAAATACACTGGGTCTGTGTAAACCTTTGCTACTCCTGTATTTCACTGAACTTGATACATATATATACTAAGCAACTTACACTGTTGCCAACTGGGGTACAGATGTGTCTTGGTGGTAGGTAGAGCTACTGTTTGTATTCCTGGGTTCACAAAATTGTTGCTAATTAAACTACGACCCTTCACCAACTAAAACTAAAATCACACACCGACTTCAGAGATGTGAAACAAAGGTGTTTTAAAACAGATGAAGTACAATATTGTTATTATTACATGACTGGACTAAAACATGCTTGTATTCTGTGACTTCAGGATTCAAATCCCAGGACTACTATTTGTTACTCGGGTGACCTTATGCAAGACTCCAAACCTTTCTGTGTCTATTTCCTCATTTGTAGAATGAGAATAGCATCAAAAGTACCTACCACTCAAGACTATGGGCGCAATTAAGCATGTGCGTACCTAGAAAGTATGTGGCATAAGGTAGCGCTGATGTTGTCACTACTTAGGACAAAGTTATTGTTTCCAGGTTTGGAGGTTGGTTGGAGGTGGGAGAAGACGCACCTGGCTGACTTTCAGACCAGGGACCCTGACCTTCCCCTCCCAAATCGGGGAAAATCCTGAGGACCCACGACCCCCGCGTCCCGCCCCTTGCCCGGTCCCGCCCCTCCCCTCCTCCCGGTTCCGCCCCGTGCACCCCTTATCCTCCCCAGCCCCCCGTCCCGGATCCGTCTCGCCCCACCCGCCCAGGCCGGCCTAGTCTCGCGCACTCTCAGTGTACTGCGCGAGCTCGGGCCGAGAGCTGGGGCCGGCGGTTGGTCGGGCGAAACCATCTGCTACGTTACGTAGGGGGAGCTACAAAGCCTAAGCATCCACATGTTTTTCAGCTTTTAGTTTTCAACCCAAAGTCCTGATCTTTTCACAGTTTTCCAATACTTTCCACATGCTCAAATCTTCAGAATGGAACCCAACCACCTGAGGAGAGGGCTGTGCTGTCTCGGTGCAGCGCTCTCCCCCCTCTAAAAGAGCAGCCGGTGGGAGGGGACGACGGCGGACGGGGGCGGAGAGGAGGCGGCCCTAGCGCCATTTTGTGGGAACGAAGCGGTAGCTGGGCTGCTCTCGGACCCCTCACTGCTTCAGTTTCTCTGTCGCTCTTCCTAGCTGCGGCCTAGCGGGTGAGTCGCGGACGCTTCTCACTGAGGACGCCCTGGGTGCCTCGGCTCCCGCATTGGGAGCGGCCTAAGGCGGACGCAGCGGCTTCGGCCTCCGCCTCGGTAAGGGAGCCGTGGAACCAGGCCTGCCTCGTCCTGCCCGAGCGGGCTCGCGCGGCAGCGTCGTTAGGGCCTGGCGTGGGGGAGGGGGTTAGCCGGGGCAGGGACGCTGGGCCCGCGGTGCCGGGCAGCCTTTAGCGGAGGTTCGGTCTGTCCCCACCAGGACCGGGCAGTGCGATCTCTGCACTTGGGGACAGTCGGTGCCACCCCAGCCTTGTGCCCCTGCCTCCCCACCCTGGGCCGCGCTGAGAAACTCCTCCCTCGGCCATTTCGCTTTGGCTTCTGGGAGGTGGCGGCCCACATCACGAAGGACCTGTCGCCGCTGACCCCGCGGCTCAAGTTTGGAGCGCTCCCCTCCCCACCCCACCCCACCCCAAATCAGGGATCGTCCTTCACATCTCCTCACCTGCTTTCCCGCTCCTCCGGTTCACTTCCGAAGGAGGACTTGGCTTGGGCGTTGCTTGCTTCGGGGGATCTGCTTTGCCCCCACACGCACGTGCCTCTATCAACTTAGGTTCTCGACTCTCAGATTTATTTACTTCTACCACGAGCATGATAAAACACTGTAGCTGGACGTGGTGGGGCACGCTTGTAATCCCAGCCCTCGGCCAGCCTGGGCTATGGAGCGAGACCCTGTCTCCAAACCAACCACAAAACCACGACAAAGTAGTTACGCCTTCACCCTTTCTCTCTTGCTAACCGCTGCCCTTGTAACCAGCCTGCCACAGTTTCAGCACCTGAGTAGGCACTCAAATCCTTCATGAGCTAGCAGGGCAGGACATTTTTATAGAAGTCACTATCCTTGCCTTTTTTTAGGGATAACAAATGAAGCATAAGAATACAAATGGCGAGAATTTTTTTTTGTGGGGGGAGGGGGTCAGAACATTAAGTAATATCAACTGATTACAAAGAGACAGTTACTGTGACACAAGTGTTAGTCATTCATCTCTCTCTTTTTCCTTTAAGAGAAATAAGATGTCTGAATATATTCGGGTAACGGAAGATGAGAATGACGAGCCCATTGAGATACCGTCTGAAGACGACGGGACAGTGCTACTGTCCACCGTTACAGCCCAGTTTCCAGGGGCCTGTGGGCTGCGCTATAGGAATCCAGTATCTCAGTGTATGAGAGGTGTCCGGCTGGTGGAGGGAATTCTGCACGCCCCGGATGCTGGCTGGGGAAATCTGGTATACGTTGTCAACTATCCCAAAGGTTTGTAACCCCATTGGGTTTTGCAGTAATGCTTAGGTGTGGTTGGGTTTGTGTGTCACTTAAGTTGGAGATCATGGCCTCTTCATGTGCTCTAGCACTGAGCTACATCCCTAGCCCTTGCTCTCTTGATGGCAGACATCTCCTGTAACCCCAACTGTTTCCTTAAACTACTATTTTAGTTAGTTTAGAACATAACTAGTCTAAGATAGTGAAAATTGAGAATTAGAAAACTTTTTTTTTTGGTGGTATGGGATTTGAACGCAGAGCCTCACTCTTGCTAGGAAGGCACTCTCTCTACCACTCAAACCACAAGAAGAAAACTGTATTTTTAAATATAAGTTATCAGAACAGTTACTGCCAAGTTGATGCCAAATGGAAAGCATTATTGGGGATCCCAATTATATCAGATTTATGAGATTCTTCCTAAGTGCCCCACTGTTTGCTTTGGTGTCCTTGCAGTCCTCCATCATTCATTTGTTAATCTTAAGTGAAAGTCAGTAGCAGTAGCCAAAGTCTTGAATTAGTGCTGTCTTAATAATAATTTTGAGGTTCTAGTCTTATTCTTACAGCCTTTTATCACTGACACTATAAATCTAAGAAAAAGAATCATAAAGATTAAGATGTGTGCCAAGGAAGAGGGTACATTTTGGTGGTATTAATATATACTGGTTGATAAATCTTTGTATTACTTTTACCTTTTGATACTGTGACAGTGTCAGTTTACCTGGATGTGGTAGTACACAGCTGTAATCCAGGCTGAGACCAAAGGATGCTTGAGCTCAGGGATTCAAGACTATCCTGACCAATATAGTTAGAAACCATCTCAAAAAAAAAATTTTTTTTAAATAAATGTCATTTAGTCCATTTTTCTCATCTAAATAACATAAGGTTAGGTTTTCAATAATAACCTGAAGATTTTTTTTCCTACTACAAAATTAATTTGTATCCATTGTTGAAAGCTTTGGGAAAACAAAAATTTTAATTCACATATGGTGGTAAAAGGGGTTTTTTGTCGTGTTGTTTTTTTGTGGTACTGCCCTTTTACTGTGTGAGCTGTTCTTAAGAGCTAATACCACTCTGCCAGAGTCTGTGTTTTTATGATCTGTTTGCTTCTCACTTATGACGAGTTAGTGTGTTTTTTAAAAAGTACTAAATGAAGATTTTTGAAAGGTTTTTGCTCATTTTGTTTAGATAACAAAAGGAAAATGGATGAGACGGATGCTTCATCAGCAGTGAAAGTGAAAAGAGCGGTCCAGAAAACATCTGATTTAATAGTGCTGGGTCTCCCGTGGAAAACAACTGAGCAGGACCTAAAGGACTATTTTAGTACCTTCGGAGAAGTTCTTATGGTGCAGGTAAACTTCGGTTCTGTTAAGTAGTGAAATGTGCACCTGGTGTCCTGGTGCCGTCCTTTGTGCTTAGCGCATGGATGTTTAGTGTTTGCTGTGCAGTATTTATCCATGGCAGAGCCTGAAAAAACTGGCTTTGTGCAGGTGCCATGTATTGCCTTTAGTTGGATAAAGTCCTGTGGCAACATGAGGCTAAATTTTAGGGAGGTCCCACATCAGCTTTCTCTGTTAATGGGAGGTTTGCTCCTGTTCCCATGTAACTAGTTACGGTTTGTCTTTGCACCTGTCGTAAAGCATTCTGTTAAAACTCTGTTACAAAAATGAGTTTTGCTTTACTGTTAACATGATCTGGGTTCCCTCCTATTGCTTTTTTTTTTTTGGTGACTGGGGTTTGAACTCAGGGCTTTGCACTTACAAAGCAGGTGCTCTACTACTTGAGCCAAACTTCCAGTCCATTTTGGTATGGTGTTTTTTGGTTTTATGGTTTTTCCAGTGCTGGGGTTTGAACTCGGGGCCTACACCAGCCCTTTTCTGTGATGGGTTTTTTCGAGGTACCTACGGTCTCGTGAACTATTTGCCCAGGGCTGGCTTCGGATCTCAGTCCTCCTGATCTCTGCTTCCTGAGTACCTAGGGTTACCGGTGTGAGCCACCTGCACCCAGCTAGAAGATCTCTCTGGGTGTGTGCCTGTGTGTTGTGTAGGTGGGAAGAGTAAATTTTAATCATCTTTTCTAGGTCAAGAAAGATATTAAAACTGGTCACTCAAAAGGGTTTGGCTTTGTTCGTTTTACGGAATACGAAACCCAGGTGAAAGTAATGTCACAACGACATATGATAGATGGACGGTGGTGTGACTGTAAGCTCCCTAATTCCAAGGTATTTCGCTCTTCCTTTTTTTCCTGTCATTGGGAATTTTTGCTGACAAACTTCCTTAGAAGACACTAAAATGAAATGTTAAATACATTTGGAAAAGTAAGTGGCAGGAAACTTGCCTTGTTGGAGTCTTAGGACCTTAATGTGTGCCGGATATTTTCTGTGGGTTTGAAATATTTAGCTTATTACTCTTCCAAACAAAAACTTTGTCATCTTTTGTAGTGCTGGGGATTCAGCCCACCAGGGGTTTCTGGGCATGCTGGGCAAGTGCTCTACCAATAAGTTTCACCCCCAGCTCAAACTTTGTTCATTTCCTTTTTCCTTGGTATTTCTGTCAAGTTGACAATTTGTTACATAGTTATTTAAAATATAAAAGCAATCTGAAGTACATTAATTTAAATACATTTATTTTGTCTTAAGTTGTTCCAAGTAAACAAAGAAGACTCACTTATTTGGAATATCGTTGCCAGGACATTTCTCAGTCTTGGACTCTCCTAAGTCTAAGTATGCTTTCATAATAAAACTTTTTTTTTCCATTAAAGGCTTACAAGATAGAGAAGTATTGATACAAGAAATTAAAAGTGTGCCTACATTTTAATGTTTCATCTGTTAAGATTCTGCATTGCTCAGAAAGTATTTCTGATGTTTTTTATTGTGTTTGATTTGACCAGCAAAGCCCAGATGAGCCTTTGAGAAGCAGAAAGGTGTTTGTTGGGCGTTGTACAGAGGACATGACTGCTGAAGAGCTGCAGCAGTTCTTCTGTCAATATGGAGAAGTGGTGGATGTCTTCATTCCAAAACCATTCAGGGCTTTTGCCTTTGTTACATTTGCAGATGATCAGGTATTTTTTTTCTGTAATAATTTGTTCCATGGTCCAGGGATGTAGCTCAGTGATACAGTGTGTGGCTAACATGTGCTGGGTATTGAACCCAGCACCACAAAATAACATTGGTAATAATTTGTTCCAGCTGGGCACCAGTGGCTTATACCTGGAATCCTAGCTACTCAGGAGTAGAGATCAAGAGGATTCAGGCTTGAAGCCAGCCCGGGCAGATAGTTCATGAGACCCTATCTCAAAAAAACCCAACACAAAACAAGACTGTTGGAATGGCTCAATTTGTAGAGCACCTGCCTAGCAAGTGTGAGGCTCTGAGTTCAAACCCCAGTATCATGGAGGAAAAAAGTATTCCATCTGGTTAGCCACCCTTGCTTTCTGTCCTTGTGAGGTAGGGCTGTGTGGGCATAGGTGTTTATCAGTGTGTGGCCCTTGAGAGTATTTTATGTATCTTTCGAAAGCAAGCAGAAACATTGCTGCTGCCCTTGCTAAACTTAAATGAAAGGAGCACTTAGTGCATATTTTCCTTCCAACTTAGATAAGTTATGCTCAAAATCTAAGTTGTATTGCTGTTTTGGTATATGAGTCAGAGGGTTTTTGTGTGTGGGGTTTGAACTTAGGGCTTACACCTTGAGCCACTCCACCAACCCTTTTTTGTGAAGGGATTTTTTTGAGATAGGGGCTTGAGAACTGTTTGCCCAGGCTGGCTTTGAACCACGATCCTCCTGATCTCTGCCTCCTGAGTAGCTAGGATTATAGGCGTGAGCCACTGGTACCCAGCTGAGTCAGAGGTTTAATCATTGTTTAAATCACTTATTTCTTACAGGTTGCCCAGTCTCTTTGTGGAGAGGACTTGATCATTAAAGGAATCAGCGTGCATATATCCAATGCCGAACCTAAGCACAATAGCAATAGACAGTTAGAAAGAAGTGGAAGATTTGGTGGTAATCCAGGTGGCTTTGGGAATCAGGGTGGGTTTGGTAACAGTAGAGGGGGTGGAGCTGGCTTGGGAAATAATCAGGGTAGTAATATGGGTGGAGGGATGAACTTCGGTGCTTTCAGCATTAATCCAGCAATGATGGCTGCAGCCCAGGCAGCACTGCAGAGCAGTTGGGGTATGATGGGCATGTTAGCCAGTCAGCAGAACCAGTCAGGCCCATCAGGTAATAACCAAAGCCAGGGAAACATGCAGAGAGAGCCAAATCAAGCTTTTGGTTCTGGAAATAACTCTTACAGTGGTTCTAACTCTTGCATGGCAATTGGCTGAAGATCTGCATCTAATGCAGGGTCAGGTAATGGTTTCAATGGAGGCTTTGGCTGGAGCATGGATTCTAAATCTCGCTGGGGGATGTAAAGGGTGGTTTATGGTTGGTTGGTGTGGGATGGTAGGAATTCAAATTTTTCTAAACTCATGGTAAGTATATTGTAAAATAACACCTAAGAATTTTCAGAATTGGTTTGTTCAGTGTGGAGTATATTCAGCAGTATTTTTGACATTTTTCTTTAGAAAAAGAGGAAGAGCTAAAGGAATTTTATAAGTTTTGTTACATAAAGGGTTGAAATATTGAGTGGCTGAAAGTGAACTGCTGTTTGCCTGATTGGTAAACCAACACACTACAATTGATATCAAAAGGTTTCTCCTGTAACATTTTATCCCTGGACTTGTTAAGTGAATTCTTTGCATGTTCAAAGTGGAAACCATTGGTTAGAACTACATTCTTTTCTTTTGTTTTCATTTGAACCCCTACCATATGGATTTTTTCCTTAGAAAAATCTCCTTTTGGGAGAGCATGATGTCACCGTGTTTGGTTCTTTTGGTTTTGTTTTTTCTTAACACTTGTCTCCCTTCATATACAAAAGTACGATATGAAGCCTTCATTTAATCTCTGCAGTTCATCTCATTTCAAATGTTTATGGAAGAAGCACTTCATTGAAAGTAGTGCTGTAAATATTCTGCCATAGGAATACGTCTGTCTACATGCTTTCTCATCCAAGAATTCGTCATCACGCGCACAGGCTGCGTCTTTGACGGTGGGTGTCCCATTTTTATCCGCTACTCTTTATTTCATGGAATCGTATCAACGCTATGAACGCAATGCTGTGATATGGAACCAGAAGGCTGTTTGAACTTTTGAAACCTTGTGTGGGATTGATGGTGGTGCCGAGGCATGAAAGGCTAGTATGAGCGAGAAAAGGAGAGAGCGCGTGCAGAGACTTGGTGGTGCATAATGGATATTTTTTAACTTGGCGAGATGTGTCTCTCATTCCTGTGGCTTTGGTGAGAGCGTGTGCAGAGAGCAATGGTAGCAAATAATGTACGAATGTTTTTGCATTCAAAGGACATCCACTTCTGTTGGAAGACTTTGAGTTTTGTTCCTAGATAACCCACGTTAGTTGAATGTGTTAAGTGAAATGATACTTGTACTTCCCCTCCCCTTTTGTCAACTGCTGTGAATGCTGTATGGTGTGTGTTCTCTTCTGTTACTGATCTGTAAGTGTGGGAACGTGAACTGAAGCTGATGGGCTGAGAACATGAACTGAGCTTGTGGTGTGCTTTGCAGGAGTACTGGAAGCAGAGTTCACCAGTGAGCTCAGGTGTCTCCAGAAGGGTGCAAGTTCTCATGTCTGTTAGCTACACCTAAGAATGCTGTTTGCTGCAGTTCTGTGTCCTGTGCTTGGATGCTTTTTATAAGAGTTGTCAATGTTGGAAATTCTTAAATAAAACTGATTTAAATAATATGTGTCTTTGTTTTGCAGCCCTGAATGCAAAGAATTCATAGCAGTTAATTCCCCTTTTTTGACCCTTTTGAGATGGAACTTTCATAAAGTTTCTTGGCAGTAGTTTATTTTGCTTCAAATAAACTTATTTGAAAAGTTGTCTCAAGTCAAATGGATTCATCACCTGTCATGCATTGACACCTGATACCCAGACTTAATTGCTATTTGTTCTTGCATTGTTCAAAGTGAAAAGTTTTTTGTTTTGTTTTTTGGTTTCTTTTTTTTTTTTTTTTTTTTTTTGGTTTTTTAATATAGTTTTTAATAAGTCTGGGTGACCACACCTAAAATGGTAAGCAGTACCCTCCAGCTTTTTCTTAGTGCCTCTGTGCATTTGGGTGATGCTCTGTTTACATGGCCTGTATAAATTTCCATTGGGAAACCATGCCTTCTAAAAATATTCTTATTTGGGAGAGTGGGCAAAACGTTGATTATTTTCAAATGCTTTGTAGCAAAGCATATCAGTTGCAAAGAAGGGATGTTGAGCACTTTTCTGTTTGGAATTTGAAAAGTGGAATTAATTGCAGTAGGGGTAAAGTAGAAGAAACCACAAATTACCTTGTGCCTGAGATCCATTAAGAAGCCTAACAGCTTTAAGAAGTAGTAGGGTGGGCTGTCTGTTGCAGTGTTAAGTGGGCTTTGCCCTCCAAAGAGGAGGGGATATAATGTTGAATAATCTTGCTTACAGAACTGACTCTGACGATGCATTGCTAAGAATGTAAAAGCAGTAATACATTGATTCTCTTGTACTGTTCTGTGACTATTAATCCTGGGAGAACTGAGGAGCTCATTTTCTAACTGGAAGAATGTGGCGGGGTATTGTTGGTAGTTTACCTAATGCCCTTACCTAACTAGATTATGAAACATAGGTTTGTCGTTTGCAAGTTTTGTGTTTGAGACATTCATAAATGAAGTCATCCTTTAGACTTGTGATTGCCACGTTGTTTTGTTACTCATTTTTCATCTGTAAAAGGATCTTGAGTTGTTTTAAATTTTCTTTTTTTCTGCACCTAAATCTGCATGATTTCCAAACCCTGTACCGTCTGAATTTTGCATTTTAGCACTTGCACTATTCAGCAGCAGTAACATGGTAACACTTAAAATGGTACTCGGGGACCTCCACAGACTAAACTGACAAGCCTCCAAGGAGCCCAGGGGTAAGTTAACTTGTCAATGGCATGGTTTTAATCCCTTATTTACACTTACTTGTTAAAGCTAGTTATTGGTCGTAGAAGGCTTTCAATGTTGAGTAGCCTTTTATTAACGTGTTTATGGTACTGCACAGCCATGGGTAGTTACTCTACTCCAAAAAAAGAAAGAAAGAAACGAAGTTTAGAAGTACTTCAACTATTTGGCAAAGATTTGTTTTTAAAAGTCTATTTGATCATCTAAATGCATTCATTCTAAAAATTCTTTTGAATCACAGTTGAATAAAAAGTTTTGTTGACACCAACAGTTTAGTGTCTGGAGTCTTACTGGAAAACATGATTTCTTTTTCATATGTGACAGAGATACTGGAAAGTTGCCTCTAAAAATAGTCTCAAGAAATTGCACCTTATATGCCCAACTGAACTCAAGTGAATTTTTATTTATAATGATAACTGTCTAGACTGGAAAACTTTACTAAATGGTTTAATATTAAAGTTCACCATTAAAACATCAGGGAAGAAAAGCCATCCAAAAATCAAATGAGATTTTAAAGGTAAGCTCGGCACCTAACGTTTCCTCCTTAGTAGGAGCAAGTAGGCAGTTCACTCCTCAGTAACTGAGTTGTGTGAGTAATTTCTTCTTTGTGCTGGGAGTGCAGAGTTCTGTGCTTTTTACTCAGCTCTGTTGTGCCATCTTTGGTCTATTGTTTGGCTTACTTGTGTCCTAGTATTTCATGCTCACTTAAAAAAGCCAGGCATTGGTAATACATGTCTATAATCCCAGCACTCAGGAAGCTGAGGCAGGAATTGCAAGTTTGAGGCCAGTCTGGGCTACAAAAGGGGAGTGGGGTGCAGAATCTTCCAAATATATATAAATACTATATATAAAAGTATTGCCACTTTTTTCTGGTGTATTTCATCTTGTGGAAATGCCAGGTTTTAGGCTGTCTTCTGAAGTTGAACATTCTTTAGATTATTTCCAGTTGCTAAGAACATTCTTACAGCTGAGTTAAATTCTTAGCATTGGAATTACTAGGTCAAAATTAAGACTTTTAAGACTTGAAATGTATTGCCAAACTGTCCTTCAGCAAGTTTATATTGGGCTGGAGGTGTGGCTCAAGTGGTAGAGCACCTGCTTTGCAAGCATGAAGCCCTGAGTTCAAACCTCAGTCCCACCCAAAAAAAAGTTTATATTGTCCTTGACAATGTGAAATAGTACTATTCCATGCTCCTTTTTGTCTGACAATTTGATAAGTGGAAAATTACATTTCACTGCAGTTTTTGTTTTTGTTTTGGTGATACTGGGGCTTGAACTCAGGGCCTTCACCTTGAGCCACTCCACCAGCCCTATTTTTGTGAAGGGTTTTTTTGAGATAGGATCTTGCAAGCTTTTTGCCTGTGCTGGCCTCAAACTGCGATCCTCCTGATCTCTGCCTCCTGAGTAGCTAGGATTACAGGTGTGAACCACCAGCGCCTGGCTCATTTCGCTGCTTTTTAACAGTATTGGTGTTTTCAGTTTATCTGTCTTCAAGGTTATTGCTGAGCCAGTACTGCTGTAAGATGTAAAGCACTCTCAGAGCTCAGTAAGCACAGGTCTAAAACCAAAAAACAGTCAAGGGACATGGACAAGTAACTGGCAAACGGCTTATGAAAGAATAAGGTTGGCCATGATGAACGCCTCCGTAATGGTTTATATCCTCCTGAGTCAGCAAGTAAGGTGTTATTGTACTGGCAAGTGGACTTAGCGCCCTTAACGGTCTCACCTAGTTTGAGTGGAGTGCCATCTGCCATGTTAATGCTTCACAGTTCCCATTACTGCTAAGATCTTTTACAAGTACTTCTAAAAATAACCGTTCACTGTTTCAAAACATGCAAATTAAAAATTATTAATTATGTTCTCAATCCAGGGAATATAGTTAATGACTTTTGTGTACACCCCATACTGATCTGCTTCCCCACAATTAATGGAACCCCAGGACACTATTCCTCCCACAAACCATCTCTGTGTCTCATTATCTAGAAACACTAGTGCCCCTCCACTGTCACCTCTGCAGCTATCCTTGCCGCCGGCTTCTAAACCGGCACAAAGCATATTGTGAGTTACCTTTCCCCCTGCATACAGCTGCTTTTCATATGCAGCAGTACACTTTTGATGGTCCACAATTGGTATGTCCACAAACATTAGATTTCTAGCAAGAAAACCCCTTTGAGTTAATCCCCATCCAGATGCTGTACCCATGTCATTTGTCCTCATGAAGGATTCGGCTCCTTTTCTTGGCAGACAAATGGGCATTATGTTGCTGTTGATTACAACTTTGTTCTTCAGTTTAATCAGCGCTATGTCATTGTCAAAACCAGCACCATGAGTGTAACCTTCATGTATAAAGACAATCTCCGCCCAGGCTTGTGTGTAATGAGGTGACAGTCTCTTCAGGGCACCCATGCGAATGTCCAGGGAGGATGCATCATCTTTTTGCTCATATACAGCATGAGCAGCTGTTAGGATCCAGTTGTCATATAAGAGTGCACCTGCTGCGGTAGCTTTGCCTAGTAACAGGACTTGCCAGGGAAAGTCACCAAGCTTTGCATTTTGCCCTCCGTATATACGACCTTCTGTAGAGCGGGTGGACAGTCCACAAACTGGAGAGAGAAGCAGACCCATAGAGCCTTTATACAAGCCTAATGGTGTTTTTCTCAATTTTTTTTTACAAGTTTGGTAGTATGTATATTTAGTACCACCCAAAAAATTATATCCCATGAATTGGTTGGTTGTTCCCTATATGGGAGAGTGAAGTGTTTTTGGTTTTTAGTTGTTTTTGTAGTACTGGGGTTTGAACTCAGGATCTACTCCTTGAGCCACTCCACCAGCCCTTTTTTTGTGATGGGATTTTCCAGATACGGTGTCTCAGACTGTTACCCTGGGCTGGCTTTGAACCACCATCCTCCTGATCTCTGCCTCCTGAGTAGCTAGGATTACAGGTGTTAGCCACCCGTACCTGGCTGAATGAGGTGTTTTAAAACAGTTTAAAGACCTGATAAATCTTTTAGGTATTTCTTAGCTCCTTGGAAAATGAGATGAGTAAAAATGAACTTTAGGAAGTTACATTGTTTTGCTAAAAGAATTAGGGTTGGGGCATGGCTCAAATCCTGACTAGCAATTGTGAGGCCCTGAATTCAAACTCCAGTACCATCAAAAAAAGAAAAATAGAAAAAAAAAAAAAAGGAAATTTCTTAATGGAGCAGGCAAGAATTGTCTGAGCTGATGTGCTGGATGATGTGTATAGGTGAAAGGACATGACCTTTCATTGCTTCTTTTTTAAACTGGGTTATATACCATGGGTTCTGGGAAAGTAGGAATCAAAGGCATTGTTAGGATTTGCAAGATTACTTTCACCTTTGAACATAGAAGTGTTTTTAAAATTAGACGATCTCAGTTGTAGCTAGGATGCTTCAGGTTTAGAAATTATTATTTTTCTTCTGGTTGATTCATCCAAACACTAAATTTCACTGTGTCTTTATTGCACACTAATTCTGCTCATTAATGTAGCATGTATGTTTCCTATTTCAGCAGTAAACTTGCATTAAAACTTATGGGTCAGCCAAGTCTAGGTTTGAAAAACTAACTTAAGCCAAATAACACAGGGGTAATGAATATATTATTACCTTTCAGATTTTTAAAAAATCATTCTCAACTATTGTTGAAGCCAATTCTGGCAAAATTTTTTAAGTACTATTAAAAGGCAAATTGCATTAATGTTTAAAAACTTAGATGTCATGGAAAACAATGGCTTAGGGAAATAATGAAGTTATTAGCTTTGGGTTTTAATAGCATTTTCCCAGAGAAGAAAAGTAACTCAACAGAACTCATGTTTATAAATGTAGAAATAGTTGGAGATAATTTTAAAAGTCATTTAATTTTTTATGCTTGCCTAGTTATAAGGTCAAAAGTAATCAAATGACTGATGCAGTCAGCACCTAACAACCTCTCCATATGCAAAGGGGATAATGAGAACGTATTATTTGGAAGAAATAACTTAGTGTTAGAGCCAAGTGCTGAAGTTACATTTCTGCCTACCACCGCTAAAGCTCTGCTTACTGTCTCCCACCCAGTTGTACTTTCTGTCAATTATGAATCGCTGTATAAATGTGTCCATTACCAGGCTCACAGACGGGGAGTGATTTTTCTCCTTTGGAGCTCGTCCAGAATCCATCAGCCTCACACTCATATTTACCTGCAAATCATTGGAAAAGCAAAAATGTTTAACTGCATGTAGAATGTGGTTGTCATTTGCTCAAATATCCCCTTGAAAAATGTTGATTCTTGAGCATCCGGGAGAGATAGAAGTGTCTGAATAACCATTTTACATGATTTCATAAGTAGGAGGTCTCTACATTACCATGTTTGCTTGCAAAGTGGAAACCTTTTAGATGTGTAACTTGAATATGTATCAAGATCTCAAGTGCTTAATGATAAGGTTTTGACTTGTTAAATTAAACCATTTGGAATATATTGTGTGTTTGTAGTAGTCATTTACTAGATAAGATATGTTTTCAGATTCTTGCAAATTGACGTTAAAGTCACTTTAGCTGTAATATTTCACTTAGCGGGTGGGAGAAAGGGCTTTTAATCCTTTGTCCCCGTTAGCCAAAAATGTTGGTTAAAATTTATTTTCAGACCACAAGAGCTCAAGTTCCAATTATCGCCTACACCCAACTTGGAAAAATTTGCTTACCGTCATTCCTTTTCATCATGTAGAAGGTCTCTTCACAGCTGTACTGAATCACAGCCTTGTAGGTGGTCACTTCAGGACCTGTGACGAAGTCCACTTGGCCATTAGATAGATCATCAGGAGGGCCACAGTCAACAACTAATGAAGTAAGGAGAAGAGGAGTCCCTTCATATTTCAAGGCTAGCACAGAAGGTGCAGCTCGGTGGTAGAGCGTTTGACCAGTGTGTTCAAGGCCTTGAGTTTGATCTGGCACCACTAGCTAGAAGGTGTGAAGACCACGAGCAGCTCATCTGGAGGGTGGGCGGGCCGTGTGGTGTGCTGTGCTAACAAAGCCACACTTAACTTTCCTCTGCACGGCAGGCAAGATTAATACCTGTACAGTGCTGAGAATTTCTAGTGTGATTGTAAAGCATCACTCTCATCCCTGTTCCTAACCAAAGGCCTGGACTGAGAGGCCCCCTGTGGGGGAGGAGTGTGGTTACCATCCCTAGCAGGTGGAAATTAGAAACCATGTGAGGTTCCTTAGTTGTCACAAAACGAAAAAGGTCAGGCCTGAGTGTCACAAGCCTATAACCCCAGCAATCGGGAGCTGAGGCAGGAGGATTGGGAGATCAAAGTCAGTCTTCATTGCATTGTACGACCTTGTCTCAAAAACAAAACAAAAAAAAACACTTGGGAAGCAGAGATCAGGAGGATCAAGGTCTGAGGCCAGCACAGGCAACAAAAGCAAGACTCCATCTCAAAAATACCCAACACAAAAAAGACTGGTAGAGTGGCTCAAATGCTAGTGTGCTTGCCTAGAAAGCGTAGGCCCTGAGTTGAAACCCCAGTACCACCAAAAAAAAAAAAAAAAGACAAAAGCAACAGAAAAACAACAGGTGTGGTTTGACACAAATTGTAGCTGGAAGGACTAAGCACGTTCTTAGGATCCTTTTTATAATATCCAACTTTTTAGAAGACCTGAATGTGTGGTAGCAAGACAGCTTTGTGGGGTGTTGATGGTTTGATCAGTTGGACCTTGAGTTTGGAATAGAATTCACAGATGTTAGCACTCTCATAAAGTAGAATAACTGATCTGTGAAAATGAAAACAGTACTGGCCTCAGTGGCATATGCCTGTGATCCCTGTACTCTGGAGGCTGAGGCACGAGGATTGAGAGTTGAGGTCAACCTAGGCTTCATAGCTAGACCCTGTCTCCAGAAGCACAAACCGGACAGTGATTTCAATATAAAAGTCATTGTTCTCTACACAGTAGACAGCCAAAAGTTGTGGATATTAAAAAATTGCATTCAAACAGTTCTCAGCACCCTAATAGCTGTGTGCCTGGCCTGGTGCCAAGTATATCCAACCTCCCTGTCTAACTCACTGCAGCTCTGTGACAAGTCTATTCTGTCGTGCTATGGATGAGAGAAGAGCAGGATGGCCAATCTGCCATCAGTGTGCAGCAAAAAGTGACGGTCTGGATTCAAACGCAGACCTCCAACTCCAGGCACTCCTGTTTTTTGTTTTTTAACTAAATGAATTAGTCTCATTGGTGGGAATGTAAATTTATAAAAAACAATTTAAGTTCCTCTAGGAACTTGATTGATGGAACCCCTTGCATAAAGTGTGCAAAACAATATGTATCTAGGTGTTAACTACAGCTGTGCACGTAAGAGGACGGCAGAAGTCAGATGGGAGCCGAGTGCTCCGGGTGTGGAGCACCGCACCGCGCAGCCACACGGGAGCGGCCCGTGCTTGATTCCCTGTTGGCCAGAGTATCTGGTAGCGGGCTGTGTGTCTGTAACTATGGCACAGGACATTAAAGAATATGGAGAAATAATTTTCTTTTTCAGTGCTCGGGAGACATGCCAGGCAAGCACTGCCACTGAGCTACATCTGCAGCCTTCCCCCAAACACTTCATACTGGCGGTACTGGAATTTGAACTCGGCTTTGTGCTTGCTTAGGCACTCTAGCACTTGAGCCATGACCCTCAGTCTTTTTTGGCTTTAGCTAGTTTTTGGATAGGGTCTTGCAATTTTGCCCAGGGCTGCCACAGACCTCAATCCTCCTACTTATGTCTCCCATGTAGTTGGGATCACAGGTACGCTCCATCACACCCAGCTTGGAGATTGAGGTGAAGTCCTGCTAACTTTTTGCTTGGGCTGGTCTTAAACCATCATCCTCCCAGCCTCTTATCTCCTGCCTCCCCCTAGACTCCTAGGGGTAGTTCAGTGAGATGGGTAACAGAAGTTTTCAATGTCTGTTTTTACTAATTGACGGGTATATGCTTTCACAATTGAAGATACATGCCTGACAGGTGCCAGTGCTCGCTCCTGTAATCCTAGCTACTTGGGAGGCTGATAGAATTGAGGTTTAAGGTAATCAGAGCAAAATGGATGGGAGCAGTAGAGTGCCTGCTTGCAAACATGAAGTCCTGAGTTCAAACCCCAGTCCTATAAAAAAAATTTTTTAAGTATTTAAAAATGTGAGGGTGTACTAAAAATAACCTATATGCTTCTTTAAATAAACTTATGTGATTCTCAGTTTTCAAAATAGCAGTGGACACCACAGACAAAATCAGCTCCATCTCACAGTAGCACACATGTTGACATGTGAGGTCCCTGTGAGTGGAGGGCCGTACACCCCAGCAGCAGTGCTGTGATGGCGACTCGTGTTTTGTAACTTTCAGTATTTCCCATCTTCTACAAGGAGACTTCTATCTTTTATACTTAAAAAGAAAAATTCAGAGCACACTTACTTTCCCCAATAGCTTGGTTCCTCTTTAACTGAGAGACAGAGGAAAAGAAGCAAACTTGGAATTCAAGCCCTTGTGAATGGAATTATTTGAGAGAGGGGGAAGAAAAAGCCAGAGAAGTGACAGTGAAGGTTGTTGTCACCGTGATCGTACTGCTGCATTCTGGCGTCGCTCGGTCCCAAGATCCATCTCTCTGACAGACTGCAGTGAATGATTTCAGGGGCAAAGAACCCTAAAGAGGAATTCAGAAAATAATTTCCTTGTTTACACCATCAGTCTCCCTGAGCTGGTTCCTATCCCAGGTCCTCATGATGCTCCCGTGGGGCTGCCGTGTGGGACACGGGATGTCTGTGCTTAGACACCCAGCCCAGCTGCCTGGGCTCATGTGCACAGAGCTGCCAAACGCTGCTGGCTTGAACTCGACCTTCATGTGTTGTCACTCTGTGAACCAAATGTTAGCCTTTGCAACAATTTGATTTTTTTTTTAACTGTAATGCAAAAACACATCAGATCTCAAAATTCCTGCTGATGTCCTACTATTCCCCACCCTGCAGTGCTAGGGATTAATCCCGGGGCCTTGTAGCACTGAGGTACATCCCAGGACATTTTTTCTTTTTGGCAGGCAGAGGTGGGGAGGGAAGAGACAAGCTGTATATAGCCCAATGAGCCTGGAATTTGCGATCCTCCTGCTGAACCTACTAAGTGCTGGCATTACAGTGTGCACCATCATGCCTGGCTCACCACCACTTTTAAAGTGCCAGAGGGTTGTGGTCAAGAGTTTGGGAAAGGCTGGCTTGGTCACGCATGGAGCAAATGTGTCCATGCAGCTTTCTGGCTGGTGGCCATTAGCCAGAGGAAGGCCATTAAATATACTGGTGTCTTTGGATGTGTTTTAATTGGCTTGTTCCCCACTGACCTATAGGGAAACTTTTTTGACTTAATATAATAATGCTTTTCTAAAAATACACATTAAAATGTATGTTTCAAAGGGTATCAAGAATTTTTATATAACTAAAAGAAACTGAACAAGTTTGCAGTCCAAGGAGCTGTGGAGCGAGCTTGGCAAAGTTTGCAAGGTGGGAACTTTTTTTTGGTTCTGGCCCTCCACAGGTCTATGGACTGCATAGCTAGCTATCATTTCAGTGTTATTACTCTTTACCCCTGGGATTCAGTGACAATTTTGAAGAACATAAAGAGGACATGTTAATCTCTTACCTGTGCTCTAAAGCAACACACTAAGCATGTTTAAAAATTATACTCCCTCTCCCTTACCAGTGGTCACTATTTATAATTTTGCAGAATATACTCTTTCCAGGGCGTCTAATTTTTTTGTGGGCCCAGGAATTGTTCATGGTAAGGCCATCAGTTGACCAGGGAGGACCTTAATTTAACACAAGGTGCTATCACAAAGCTCACAGAACAAGGTTAGTGAACTTGGTTTTCTGTTGTTTCAGCCACTTTACGAAGAGCTGCTGTAGTGTGGGAAGAAACAGAATTTTTAATTATCTTTCCAAAGGAGCTTTAAAAAAAAAAAAAGCAGGGTGTGCCTCAGTGGTACAGCACATGCATTGTGTGCACAAAAAGCTGGGTTCAATCCCCAACACCAAAACAATATATAAAACATAATTGCTAGCTGGGCGCCAGCAGCTCACACCTGTAATCCTAGCTACTCTGGAGGCAGAGATCTGGAGGATTGCAGTTTGAAGCCATCCCGGGCAAAAAGTTTGAGAGACCCTATCTTGGAGAAAAACCATCACAAAAAAGGGCTGGTGGAGTGGTTCAAGGTGTAGGCCCTGAGTTCAAACCTCAGTACAGCAGAAACAAACAGAATACAGTAGAGCTGAGCCTGACTCCAAGTGGCTCACACCTATAGTCCTAGCTACTTGGAAGGCTGAGATCAGGAGGACCTAGGTTTGAGGCCAGCCCAGGCAAATAGTTCAAGAGACCCCATCTCCAAAATAATCAGAGCAAAATGGAATTAGAGGTTTGTCTCAAACAGTAGAGCGCCTGCTTTGCAAGCACTGAGTTCAAACCCCAGTTCAAACCCAAAAAATAAGAGAGCTGGGCGAAGTGGGACATGTCTGCAATCCCAGCACTTTAGGAGGTTAAGAAAGGAGGATTGAAAGTTTGAAGTCAGCCTGTGCTAAATGGCAAACTCTGACTAAAAAAATATAAAAATAAAATTTATTTACTGGGAGTTTTGACTTTCATTTCCTGTGTGGGGAGGAAGAAATATTTCCCCCTCCCCCACTGCTCCCTACTTTGTCCTGTTAAACTAAAATAGATCCCTGCTTAAAAAAATTCCTTGTGCTGTGCGCCAGTGGCTCACGCCTGTAATCCTAGCTACTGAGGAGGCAGAGATTAGGAGGATCACAGTTCAAAGCCAGCTTGGGCAAATAGTTCGTGAGATCCTATCTCGAAAAAACCCAAAACAAGAAAGAGCTGGTGGAGTAGCTCAAGGTGTAGGCCCTGAGTTCAAGTCCCAGTACAGCAAAAGAAGAGTACAGAAGAGACTACATTGCTGCCCCCAGCTCGCCTCCTGTTTTCCTCCCACAAATCTGCTGACACAAATAATAATACACTCTCCAGGCGATTGTGTTCACGGGCACTTCTCACCTGCAGAAGCTCATAGCCAGTCTCGCAGAAGATGGAGAAGCTGTCTTTCAGGACGTACTTGGCCTGCACAGGCGAAACGTGGCCGTTAGGTGGCGCCATTGGATTAGGGCACGGCTGCGCTGCGCGGAGAAAACCAGACTTGCTTTGGTTTGGTCTTGTGACCGTAGGGCTGAATTTGGTAATCTAAAATTCTTGGTGTACAAATGAAACAAGATGTAAAGAGAGTCTGCCTCAAGTATGGTGGTGTTAATATTTAACAGCAAAGGTAAGATTAAACTCAATTGCTTGTCCAAATCAAGTTTTGTTGCTTTTCCTGGGACTTCAGCCACTGGTAGGGAAGAAAGCCAGGTATGCAGTAAGATGGCGTTCTGCTCCGTGCCAGGAATGTGACACATGGCATGACTTCAAATCGAGAGAGAGAGAGAGAGAGAGAGAGAGAGAGAGAGAGAAACTTCTAGGAAAGGACAAAAACTATGGGTCCAGGTGTAGCTGTGGTAGGGCTCTAGGCGCTGGGTTCAATCCCCAGCATTGCCAAAAAAAAAAAAAAAAAAAAAGCCCCTAGGATGGTGCCTAGGGGATACCATTGTGACTCAGGGAGGAAACCAGGGCTCAGTGATATCAGGAAACTAACGACCCAGATGGATTCAGGGAGACCCGGGCTTTCCCTCACCAGCACCCTCCCACAGTGGACAGGCCACAGGGGAGACACCTTCCACTGTGGCCCCAAACCCCAGTCTGCCCTTACCCAGAGGCTTCTGGCTGCACCCACCCCTCTCCCTGAGCCCCCTTCTTCTCCAGTGCCTGCTAAACTGCTGGAGCAGCTGGTTTCCCTCACCCAGTCAATGTCCCTGGGTGGCTCTCAGCCCCATGAAGGTCCCAAAGCCTTCCCCCAGGGAGCCAATCTTCAGGGACAGCATTAGTGGCCCCATGGAAGCCCCAAACTGGGCTTCTAGCATCTGAGGGTCTGGCATGAGGAAGAGGTAGTAGAAGTTCCAGAGGGGTCCCAGAGGGCAGAGTTAAAGTCGGTGGCAGCCCAGAGGGGTAGAATTTGTGGGTTTTGCTACAGACTCAGGACTGTAGCCCCAGCCCCAGCTGTAGCTCACGCCCACAGCTCACCATACAGCTCCACATGCTGCATGGTGGGACCTCAGCTGTGCAGTCTTCCTTCAGACTGGAGCACCCTTCTGCCTTCCTCCTCACCTGCTCCTGCCCCAGAGCACCTTCTCCAGCCCCCAGTCCCTGCCTGGACCCAGTCCCCACTCTGGACTCTCACCACGCCCTGCATTTGGCTCTAAGACTGTGCTTGCCACAGGGCGCTGGATATGTTGCAGTGACTGTTCCCCCACTGGACTGAGGGTAGAGACACTGTGGAGACTGGCTTCTGCATTCCATATCCTTGGTGTGCATCTATAGGAAGGAAAGATAGGTGGGTGGATGGGTGGATGGATGAGTGGGTGGTGGATGGAAGGAGGGATGATGGATAGATGGATGAGTAGGTGAGTGAGTGGATGGGTGAGGGAGGTTGACTATATAAGTGGGTGTGTGGGTAGGTGGGAAGATGGGTAGGTGAGTGGATTTATGAATGAATGGGTGAATGGCTGAATGAATGATTAGATAGAAGGAGGGATAGTTGGGTAGATGGATGAATAGATGGGTGAGTAGATGGGTGGGGGATGGTGAGTAGATGGATGGACTGGTGGGAAGATGGGTGGATTGGTGAATGTATGAATGAATGGGTGAATGGATGGGTGGATGGATGATCGGTTAGAAGGAGGGATAGTTGGGTAAATGGATAGATGGGTGGATGGGTGGGTGGATTAATGGGTAGGTGGGTGAATGAGTAGATGGTTGGATAGAAGGAGGGATGGTTGGGTAGATGGGTGGTGAGTGGGAAAGTGGATGGAGGGGTGTACGGCTGAATGATCAGTAGGTGGATGTGGATGGATGAGTGGATGGGTAGAAGGGATGGATGGGTGAATTTATGGATGAATGAATGGTGGTTGAATGGTTGAATAGGAGGGATGATTGGGTAGATGGATGGGTAGATGGGTAGGTGGAATGGTGAATGAATGGATGGAAGGATGGATGCATGGATGGGTGGATAAGTGTGGGTGGATGGGTGAACAGGTGAATGCATGGGTGGATGGATGCAGGGATGAATGAATGATGGGTGGGTAAGTGAATGAATGAATGGGTGGGTGGGTGGGCGGATGGGTGAATGGATGAGTGGGTAGATGGATTGATGGATGGATATATGGGTGGATGTCTGGTTGGATAGAAGGAGGGATGGTTGGATAGATAGATGGGTGGATGGAGGGAGGAAGAGAGGTCCTGTCAGTATTTTCTCTTCAAAGACCATTGCTTCACAGAGCACCCACTCAAACCTGGTTTCCCTTCCGAGGCCTGGCCGGAAAGGGTCCCATCCTGTGCATCTCCTTGGCAGAAGTTCCGAGCTTCCTGACTGAATGTGAGACCCATTGCTTACCTGTGCTTGTGTAGTGGATCTTCCAGCCTGTGTGGTCCCCAGACTCATCAGTGACAAACGTGATGGTCACAGTGTTGCTCTTTGTTTCAATCCTGTGAGGCAATGTCTTCCCACAAAATGGGCCGTATTCTCCCTTGCCTGTTTGAATCTGAAAAAGGAGGGGCCCTGAAACCTCGGGATCTGCTGTTGAGGGCCCTGCCTGACAGCACACCGCCCCCTTGGCAGTCGGGAGGAGCCTGGGGACAGAGGCCCTGGTCCTCATTTTGAAGGACTCCCATGGAGAGGCCAAAGGGGGTATTCTGAGAGGGACAGGAACCCGGGGGAGGGGCAGTGCTGCAGGAGATGGGGGTCACTGCGGGGAGGGGAACACAGGGGCAGTACCATAGACAATGGGGTCACTGAGAGGGTTCAGGACAAGCTGAGGGACTCAGGATCCATACCTTGAGGGAGTCATAGGGGCACTGGGCTTCAGGGTGCATCTCCACATCGAAGGACTCCACGAAGTCCAGGATGACACTGAAGCCCTCCTCCAGGCGGATGCTGTAGCTACAGCTGGAGAGTTTGGGGTATGGCCCTGGGTAGTCAGGGCTGCTGAGCTCCCCAGACCGCTCGGTGAAGACCTGGCCTGAGCAGAGGGCTGCGAAAGAGAAGAGGACGGGGTGGCGTGACTGCACTCCACCTGTCAGCTCTGTCCGAGGGGCAGGGCACCAGAACAGGGACATGGTCAGGACAGCTGTGTCCTTGGGTGTAGCCGGGGCTCGGCACTCGCCAGGCCCCAGAAGCACTGATAGAAACCAAAGCCCCACCCCTAAGCCTGGCTGAAGTGACAAGAAGGGGCTGTTTCAGCCCTGAGGCTTTGGCTGAGACAGGTGGCCCGGGCGCTAGAAGTTCACCAGAGGTCCCAACTCCCACCCCCGTGAAGAAGGGAGGCCCCGCCAGAGGGAGGCAGGCACCGGAAAGAGGGGGCAGAGCCCCTCCGCAAGGTCCCCGGGAATTCAGGAAAGAGAGGACAAGCCCCTAGGCCTTCCTGCTCTCCTTGGAAATTTCCCCAGGCCCACCCTGGAGATTCCCAGGTGTGTCCACCAGGGGGCTCCCACCTATATGTGGTGGGTAACCCCTCCCCCAGCCACCTTGGGTTACCAGGAAACAGTCTGGAAGGATCTCTCCAGGGCCCTTCCACAGGTCTCTGCCTTAGGGGCAATTTGGGCTTTTTTTTTTTTTTGGTGGTACTGGGGCTTGAACTCAAGGCCTCAAGCTTGCCAGGCTTGCTAGCCAGGTGCTCTACCACTTGAGCCACCCACCAGCCCTTAGGAGCAGTTTGGGAAAAGTCAACAGTGCACAGAGTCAGCCTTCCTTCCAGTGGTCACTAATATGGCTGCCGGTGGAGGTAGGGATTCATCCCTCAGAGAGGGGCCCCGTCCCTATCCCTCTGACCTCAGGGCACAGAGGAGGGTGCAGGTACGTGGGCTGGAGGCTTGTGGGAAGTCTCCTTCACGTGGCTGTTGCCTGTGGGCCAGAGGACATCACCCCTGGTTGACCTGAGGATACTCTGAACTCTGGGGAGCCTTAGGGGGTGGTCCTCTTGTGTGAGCTCAGGCAAACCTCTGCCCTCTCTGGGCCTCAGTGTCTCATCTCCAAAATGAAGGGTCCAGCAAAGGAACCTGTGGCCCCAGAGGGACTTCCACCTAGCGGGGGAGTGAGAAAGGTAGGGGCTGAGGGGACAGAGCCAAGGTGCGCACCACCAACCTCCCGATTCTTCACCCCAGAGACACGCAGCCACAGTGAAGGAGGTGGAGCCACGTTTATTTTGGTCATGGGTGGGGTGAAGGGGGCAACAGCCATCTCAGGATGACCCAAAGCTGTGACCTGCAAGGCCTGCTCTGGCTTCTGACCCACTGGGCTGGGCAGGCCGGACCGAGGGAGGTCAAAGGCCCTGCTCTGGAAGAGAGATCAGAGAGTCAGGGAGAAAGCCAGGGGGCCGCAGGGTCAGGGCCAGCCTCTGAGGGGACTGGCCATCCGGCAGTCTGGCAGGGGGTTATGGGAGGAGGTCTGGACTGTGGAAGCCAAAGGGGTCAACTGGCAGGAATAGTGTCTTTGAGCACGGCCTGCCCAAACCCTGAACGTCTGTGGAGGGAGGTAGCCTAGGTGTGCCAGGCCTGGCAAGAGGAGCCAGACCTAGGTCCTTTCTCTCCCACCCAAGAGCTAGTGACAGCCACCCAAGAGGGGGAGGTGGTTTCCAGGCCCAGGAACGGGTACACAGGACCCTAGCACATGCTAATAAGCTGAAGAGGAATGAGGGGAGGGAGTCAGGCATGCGCATGAGGGGACAGGAGGTCAGAGCAGTAGGGAAGGAAGAAGGAGAGGTACCCAGTGAGCCAGGGCCTAGCCGTCCCTCCACAGCCCTGGCCAGAGTAGCTATGGCCTTGGGGAGCTGGTGCGTCCCGGGGCAGGCAGGACAGAGCACATCAGCCCTCCCTCCCCCACCTCACCTGAGCAGGTGCGCTTGTTCCGGTGGAGGACATAGCCTTCCCAGCAGGAGCAATAGAAGCCGCCCAGGTAGTTGTGGCAGTGATGGTCGCAGGGGGGCGCCTCTCCAAGGGGTACTTGGCACTCATCGATGTCTGGGGCAGAGAGGGGCCAGGCAGGTGGTTAGAGGGAAGCCTTGGCCTCAGTGGCTGACCAAAGAGGAGGCCTGTTACCGGGCCAAGCATTACAGTCTTGGGGTCAAGAGACACAAAAGCCACCTTTTCTAAACCAGGAAGAGTGTCCTGTCCAAGGCCACCAGCTAGTGAGGGGAGCATTTGGCTACCAAAGCCAGCAGTGGTGGGGCTGAGGAGGTTCCACGGAGCCCTTAAGCAGCCCCCTGTGCACGGAGTGGGTAAGCCATCCGTCCCAGGTCACACAGGTGCCTTGCAGGGCCAGAATCTGAAGTCAAGCGTCAGGCTCCAAGGCTACACACAGACAGCTCTGGCTCTGTGCTCTCTGGTGGCCTTCCCACCGCAACTTTCACCTTCCTGTCCCCAAAAGGACTCAGTCCTTTTCAGTGTTTCTTACATGGTGGATGATGTCAGTCCACGTACTCGCCTCTCCTTTGAAATTCAGGTGACACCTGAACCCAGCCTCAGGGGAGGCAAGGAGACTGAAGGTCAGGGCAGGATTGGCTGTGCCTAAGACAGAGTCACCCCCAGCTACAGAGGGGCCAGCTCAGGCCCTTTCCCTCAACTCACCCTCCGCAGCATAGAAGGCCTCAAAGCCTGTGAATGGCTTCTCATTGGAGTAGTCTGAGCGGAAGGTGACGTCCAGACTGGAGCCGGGTGAGTAGAAGGTGTCATTGCCAGGTGCCCGCTCTGTGTCTGTGCTCTCCTGCCCACACAGTGTGGCCAGCACCTTGGTCCCTGAGCTCAACTGTGGAATTGAGGGTCACTGAGAAGACCCAGGCCTGCCTGCTCTCCCTCCTGGCCAGCCCGTGCCTGGTCCCCAGGGAGCGCCCCCAGCCCACAAGAGACACCCCCCCTTCCAGCCACCAGAGCCCAGCAGGCACCTTGACAAAGTCATACTCGCAGAGGTAGGAGAGTTCCAGGTTGAAGTGGGTGAAATAGAGACGCAGGCGGTAGCCAGGGGGTGCGGTCAGGGTCCAACGCCGTTCCTGGTGGTTGCCATACTTCCCTGGGAAGCCAGGGGACACCAGGCGCCCGAACACAGGCTCAGGCCACTTTGGGCCTGAGGATGCAACCACCAAGCTACAGAGTAGAACTAGGGCAAGGACCACGAGGGCCCAGGCCTTTCTCCCTCCTTGCCTTGCCGGAGACAGGTCTCCAACCCAGCTCATGATGGCCCTGCAGCTGGCCAGGCCACTCTGAAGCCCACAGCCCTAGCTCGTCTCACCTTTGATCTGTTTGCCTGGCCCTGCCCCCAGCCTTCCTGGTCTTGTGATTCTGGGAAGTGACACCATGACTCTTGCCAACTCCAGTCCTAGGCAGGAAGGCCAGGTGGCTCCAGGAACCAGACCTGGACTATGACAGCCTGGGAACAAACCCTGCCCTCAAACTGCAATCATCCCAATCTCAGCCTCTCAAATAACTAGGACTGTATGTGTGAGCCACTGGCACCCAGCTCTAGCCTGAACTTCTGTTTTTGCATCAGCACTTGTTAGTCAAGTTGCCTGGCCTCTCTTATTGGGGTGTCATTTCTCTTTTGCTTCTGTAAATCTTGCTCTGTTAAGATGCCCACATGTGTCCTCCCTTGAATTCTTTTTTTTTTTTGGGTGAGAACAAGAGCCTGTCATTCATCTCCAGTGACAGGACAGGTGGAAATAACTGTCTTGCGAGTGACTTGTGGGCCTGCAGCAGAATCAGGAATTAATGGCACGTGGTTCTTTTGGACGTGTTTAAGAAACTGACCATCTGTACTTCACAGCCCCTGCAGAAACTTGGGGATGTTCTCTTGAGGGGTGGGGTAAAATGGAGGAACCCAGCCCAGCTGAGGGCAAGTTGGATGCTGGCACTTCTTGACTTCTAGAACCTAGTAGCTATGTGCGATTGATTTTAGTGTAGTTTTTGGTGCTGGGGATTGAGCCCAGGACTTCATACATGCTGCATACACGCTGTGCTGCTGAACTCAGGCCAGCCCCAGAAATGGGCTTCTCCATTTTTCCAGGAAGTGTGGCCACCTCTCGAGGAAAGACCTAAAGATGCTGACTCAAGGCTCTACAACCAAATAGTTCAGCAATATAGCTCATGGTGAAAGTCAAGTTGACAGACTCTACTAATGTTCCTGAGACCCCATCTCTAAAATAACCAGAGCAAACCAGGTGGCCAGTGGCTCATGCCTGTAATCCTAGCTACTTGGGAGGCTGAGATCAGGAGGATCGAGGTTCAAAGCCAGCTCAGGCAAATAGTTTGCAAAACCCTGTCTTGAAAACACCCTACATGAAAAATGGCTGGAGGAGTGGCTCAAGTGGTAGAGTGACTGCCTAATAAGTGTGAGGCTCTGTGTTCAAACCCCAGTACCACCAAAGGAAAAAAAATAGGTTAAAAAAAAATTAATGGACCTCTTAACCTAAATAAAAAGAAACAGTCCGGGCACCAGTGGCTCATACCTGTAATCCTAGCTACTCAGGAGGCAGAGATCAGGAGGATCACAGTTCAAAGCCAGTCCAGGCAAATAGATCTAGAGACCCTATCTTAAAAAAACACATCACGAAATAGGGCTTGTGGAGTGCCTCAAGGTGTAGACACTCAGTTCAAACCCCATTATGAAAGACAAAAGCTGCTCCTATCAGTCAAGAAAGTCCGAGGGTTTTAGGAGCTCTCTGACAGGAGCTGGGGACAAAGACCAAATCTATTTCATGTTTCGTCATAGAAGGTGAGTTCCAAAGTAACCAGCTCAGAGATCAGGCGGCCACCTCAGGAAAAGGTTGAGGTATTGCCTCTAACAAGCACAGAATCATCTGAATCCTTAAATTGGGGGCATGACTAATCTGACAAATTTAAAATTAGGTACAACTGATTATCTTCCCATGCCACAAACTGGGCCTATTCATGACTCTCCTGGAAATCTCTGGGACTTTGGGGGCTTGGCTACCAACCTCACTGAAACTGCTTCTGCTTTGGCAAATCAGCCCTCATGGGATCTGCCTCCTGGATTCCACCCTCCAGGGCAGGCGGGCGAGAATGGAAATGTCGTGACCAGTCCACAGTGTTATCGTCCAGGTGAGGCACTGTTTTTGCTACGGCTCCTCCTGCCCTGATTTTGAGAGATACAGTCTTGCTATGTAGCCCAGGCTTGGCTTAAACCCGTGATCCTCTTGCCTCAGTCTCTCAAGTGCTGGGATTACAGATGTGAACCACCACACCCAGCATCTACACTCTGATTTCCTAAAGTGGAGCATTGGCTCAGCGGGAGTTTTGTTGCATATGTTTCTAATCAAAGGTTTTAACAGGCCAGGCTCATCACCACCATCCGAAAGACAAGATGGCAGTCAGAGCTGACAGGTGAATTGGAGCAAATGGGTGGCTGACTTGGGAGGGGCCCACATCTGGCTCTAGAGCCCTCAGACTCAGGGCCCTCGTGATAGGCGGCAGCTAGCCGTGAGCAATGAGGGGATATGAAACAGGAACCTAACTGTAGGATTCTTTAAGGATGGGAGGTCTCTGTGAGGTGCACGTTGTGATTAAAACTTCCCAACTCTCAGGTGACAAGCCCATTAAGATCAAAATAGCCCACCAAGGTCAGGTCTGAGTCCCCCACCTGCCCTAAGGTAGGTCTGCTGACATCAGTTCTTGAGCAACAGACCTTCACTGAACTAAAACAGAGCCACGCCTGTAGACCTCATGTGCACACTGTAATTCTGTAAACTCACCCTCGCCTCCTGACATAGTTGCTTACCCATGACCTGTAGGCTGGACTCAAACCCAAAGGCTATTATTAGTCTTACCCTAGAGCCATCCAGCTTTCAGTGAATTGAAATCGTATTCCTGAATGAATAACAAAATAAAGTGTATTCCTTTCCTACTAAACTTTATCACTTTCACTACATTCTCAAGTCTTGCCTGAATTCTCTCAAGAAGCAAGAATTGAGAAAGGTGCACTAGCCTTCCAGTAATGGCAACACTGCAGTCCTCCCCACCTTCTACCCCAGCAGCATCCCCTCCCAGTTCCAGGCTTGGTGAGTGGACAGATATTCCTGCTGGGAGAGGGTGCTGGGGCTAAGTGGCAGATGAGGCCACCCTGAGGGTGAGTGGTCCTCAGGAGAGCAGTTATCTGCCTAAGAGCTTTGTGGCCTGAGCATGTCAATGTCACTTCACCTTTCTTTGTGGCATTAATAGCACCTTCCTTGCAGGTGGCTATGAAGTTTTTTTTTTTTTGCAGTACTGAGTTTTTGAACTCAGGGCTTCACATTTGCTAGGCAGGCACTCTACCACTTGGCCACTCCAAATAACTTGTTATTTTCAAGATAGGGTCTCATGAGCTATTTGTTTGGGCTAGCTTTAAACCACAATTCTCCTGATCTCTACCTCCTGAGTAGCTAGGATTTCAGGTGTGAGTCACTGAGCCTGGCTGATTGTGAAGATTAAGTGAATTATGATTCCTGGACTCCATGGACAGTGAGCACCAGCCTCCCTGCTCACCAGCACCTGGGCCCTGTAGCCAAGGCTGCTTCCAGCTCTACTGAGGTCTCCCAAGTGGAGAGGCACTGAGCAGACCCCAGGCTTCTGCCTGCTACTGGGATTGTCCAGGAGTGGGGGACTGGCTGACTGGGAGGTGAGCTGCTGAGGACTGGAACTGAGACGGACAGGGCCTGTGATAAAGATGCACTCCAGAATCACTCCTGCTGATTCGTTGAGGGTCAGTCCCTGTGTAACTTCCCTCCAAAGAGCTCCTCCGGTCCCACCCCTGCCCAGGCCAGTAAATGGCTTTTTTCTGTCAGTCCTGGGGTTCGAACTTGGCCTCATGCTTGCTAGGCAGGTGCTCTACTAGGTGAGCCAGTCCATCAGCCCCACAGTGAATGGCTTTTGTAAGGAGTGGACACTTACCCTGCCCCTCCTGAGACAGGAGGAGACCTGAGGCCCTCCCCTTCCCACATCTGTGCCCAGCCTCCTAGGCACCTTTTTTCCCATCACCCAGAACTCAAGTCCTGGCAACCGGCAGGGTAAAGTGCCTGGGGATCTGGAGGCCAAAGGTTCAGCACCTTGGAGAGGGTACAGCCTGTGCCCTGTGGGGTGATGCAGTTTTTCAGTCTCCTCAGCACCTGGGCAGATGTGTAGGCATTTGTCCCAGGGAACTCCTGGGGGGAAGAGGCAGGATTTGAATGTAGGTGTGGATCCAGAGCAGAGGCTATCACCCAGCTAAGCTCCTGATGCGCTTACACAACTCAGGTAATAGGAATCGACAGCCCCGCTGGTCCCCTGCGGACCCCAGGACCTACCCTGGAGTGGCTGGATGGGACTTGCCTTAGCCCTGTGAGAGGCCTGAGTTCTCAGTACATACTGTGGTGGCTTCAAAAGAAGAAACCAAGCTCCTGGGCGGCCCCACCCTGATCCCATCAACCCTACAGCCCTGGGACTCAGTGGTCAATGACCTTGTTGATGGCTTGAATGGCTCATCAGCTTCCTAGGGCAGATCTGGGGCTAGTCGGATGACTGCTGTGTCCTTCTGTACAAGGTAATGTCATTGTTACTGTATAGACCCTAACACCTGTTAAGTGAAAATTAATGCTGAGGTGGCTTCTGCTGGGACCAGCAAAGGTCAGGGGACGGACTTCAAACTTTGTTATAAATACACGTGTTTGCTGAGGGCAACAGAGGGCAGAGAGGCGGTGCTGTACAGAGCTGGTATAGGCTTGGGGCTGAATGCCACAGTGAGAAAGACAGACACAGAAACACAGAGTCCGCCCAGCAGGGCAGGCCAGGCAGCATTCTGGGGCCTGTAACACTTGGGTGGTGGGCGAGCCAGCACGGGGTCTTGTCCAGGGTTGGGGAGGCCCGGGTACCCTGGAGGCTCCCTGGTCCAGTCCAAGATCCTGGGCGGTGTTGGCAGTGGCACCTGGGCTCAGCTCACATCATTCAGGGCCTGGTGGGACATGAGGGAGCTCAACAGGGTGCACAGGGTATGAGGGGCAAGGACAGCTGCCAGGGAGCCTGGGTCCCCCACTGCCCAGCAGGCCCCTCACCTTGCGGGCAAACTCAGGTAGCACAAAGGCCGAGCGGTGCACATCAGAATTGTAGTACTTCAGCTGCATCTGTTCAACCTGTGTCTGCGTCAGGTGCTGCACGGGCTCCTGGAAGTTGGTTCTCTGAGGCCAGGGAAAGCAGGGCATCAGGTGCCAGGGCTCGCTCAACCTCCGCCCCCACCCCAGGTGCTGGTGGCCCTCAGCTCACTGGGTTTTTGCTACACAGCATGAAGCCGATCTGGCCGCTGGGGTAGGTGGGGATGGTGCAGTAGGCGTAGCCCACCACAGGGAACAGCGACTTGCAGAACTGCCGCATCTCCTTGATGAGGTCCAGGTGCAGCCACTGGCACTCACCTGGGGAGGCAAGGGTCAGTGTCAGCAAGGAGCCCACCCTGCCCACTGGGAGCAGCACCTCATCGGCCACCACTACCCAGCCTCACTCACCTTGGCAGCAGAGGATCCCATCCTCCTTGAGTGCCGTCTTCATGAGCTGGTAATAGGATTCCTTGAAGAGGCTCTCAGCAGGACCTGCAGGGCAAAGGGGCGACCATGACCACCTCAGCTGAGGCCCTGGGGTCACTGTCACCTCCCATACAAACCCACACACTTGCCCAGTGGCAAGAGTGTAGATTTGGCCCCCAAGCCTGTGGAATCCAGAACCGACCATGGGTGCACAAGTCCACTGCCCTGGTATCTGAGGGACTCCACATTTGAATTCCACTCCAGGGAGATCCTAATTGGTACTGCAGCAGAGGAACCCACATTCTGGCCTTGGTTCAGGACCAGAGCCCATCCCCACCTCAGTGCTGGCCAGTCAAGCACGGAGGCTGAAGAAAATGGGCTCAGGCTCCCAACGTGTGAAGTTTGGGCGGGCAGTTTCTCCCTACTGCCCTGAGTCTTGTTTGAGGTGGGTGACAACCGATAGGGAAGGGTGTAGCTCTAGTTTTGGGGGCCAGCCCTCTGCTGGAGGGTGTGGGGCCCCAAGCTCTCGCTTACCCATAGGGTCTGAGGAGTCGGTGATGATGACATCGAAAGCGTCTTGGTTCTTTTTCATGAACTCAAAACCGTCGCCCACGTGTAGGGTCAGCTTTGAGCTAGAGTAGCCAATGGCCATGCCTGGCAGGAACTTCTTAGAGACTTGGATGACATCCTGGGGACAGGGACAGGAGGGACCATACTGGGCCATGGGGGCTAAGGACTCTGGCTTCAGACAGTCAAGTAGAATTCTCAGCAGCCCCTGAGATGTCACAGCCAGGTCTCCTTGGACAAACTCTTCCCCCTTTGGAACCTCAGTTTCCACATCTGAAACGGGGAGAACTCTTGTCCTTCTGCTCCTCAGGCGTCATCTTCACCATCCCTGTCCTCTCCCTGTCTACGTGTAGCTTTCCTATTTCCTATTTTAGATGGTTGCAATTTCCACCCCCCAGTCAGAGCCTTCCCCTGCCTTCAGTCATTCAGCAGTTCCTCACTCAGGCCTCAGCTCAAATGCTATCTCCTGAAGGTCTGTCCTGACACCTTCTACTCTTCCTTACCCCTATCCCTGTCAAGTCTCATCAGGTCACCCTTCGATGTCTCCAGGAACCCAGAACAGCAGCTCCAAGGGTAGGGACAGACTTGGCCATGGTTGTACCTCCTGCAGTTGAAACTGCTTTGACCCTGCCTGGGACTTAAAATTAGAAATCAGTTCTTATCTCACTAAGCGCTAACAGCCAGCATACCCTATGTGCCATGGGCTTTTCAGAAGAGGACACAGGCCTGAGAGGGGCAGCACCTTTCCCTAGGGCGTACAGCCAGGCCTGGCTGGGCACTACCTGCTCCAGGGTCAGTACCAGGTGGGGAATTTGACTGGGCTGGTACACCTGTAAATGATAACGCAGGCGTCCTAAGCTAAGCGAGGACAGAAACCTCCCGTGGAGCAGAAGCTTGCTTGATCTTGATTTTCAGTACAGACTGGGAAGGTGGGGCCTCATGATCCTCCTGACCCTTTGGGTTTTAAGCAGGTGTCAGAAAAGTTACCTCAAGGATAATTGACCTGTGGTGGCCCGGTGTTCATAGTGACATTACTTTTTGATCCTTCGGTGTTGGCTCTTATACTCACCTCATCAATCTCGCACTGGACCACTGACTCCACCGAGGGGTGCTTTATCACCTCTCGCAGGACGCCCCCATCTCCACCACCAATGATCAGTACCTGGGGAGGGGGTGCAGTCAGAAGCAGGGTCTCTGCAAGTCTGGGTGGCAGTGGGCAGCCAGGACAGAGCAGATCCACACACACAGACCCATCTAGAGCAAGGCCGTTTTTCAGCTACTCTGAGCCCCTCTGCTTAGACACCCTTCCCTGCCTCAGCAATCTGGCACCAGGCGCCCCATTCTCCTGCAAGTCCAACCCAGGGTGGCTCTAGGTTTCAGGCCTGGGCAGGGACTGCTGCTCAGAGATCATGCCAGCCCCCACCCCCTTCAGAGGGGGGGCTCCCGTCCCCTCTCCCCCACTTGCTAGCACTTTCTCTGAATGGCACGCCTGGGACCTCCCCTGCCAGCCCCGCTCCTCGGGACATGAGCGGTACCTTTCGGGGATTGGGGTGGCTGCAGAGAGGCAGGTTAGCTATCATCTCCTGGTAAGAGAACTCGTCTCTCTCCGTGCACTGGATGACGCCATCCAGCACCAGCACGTTGCCATAGGTCTTACTGCGGGCGAAGTGACAGTCGGTGGCCTGGGTCTTCTGGAGTGGGAGGAACGTGCCCCAACCCGCCCAGAGTGCGTAGAGTCGCCCCCGCCCCGCCACAGGATCCCAGGGATGAGTAGCGAGGGTGACACGTGGCAGGGACCGGCAGGGTGGGGTGGCACTGGGGTCCCTCGGCTGACGTGTCCCGGGACGGACATGTGGAGCGCAGCGCATACCGTGGCTCCCAGCCGCCCAAGGCCCGCCCGGAATGCCAGCCCCAGCTCAGGCACACGGGGTTCAGAGCAAGGGAGGGACCAGGGCAGGAGCCGGGCCTACTTCTCAAGAACTTCTGACAGTTCTGCAGAGGGCGGGCGGGGGACAGGGCCAGCTGGGGGGCGTCGGGAGGAGGGAGGCAGGGCAGGGTCCGGCCTGAAGAGTGGGTGGCTGGACCAGACTTAGGGCAAGACGACGGCCGGCTGGCGTCGCGGCTTGCACGGGGTCCTGTGGGGTAGGCAGCGGGTGGTCTGGGCTGAGAGCCCGTGGCGGTACCTTCGGAAGACAAGGATATCCTGGTACCGCGAGCGCTGGTGGTGGAGCAGCTGCTCCACCTGCAGCGACAGGGCCTGGCCGGGCCACAGGCTGCATGTCTCACGAAACCAGCCTTCGCGGATGGTGGCGGGGCCGGGCGCGGCGGGGCCGTCGGGGCCGGGCTCCATGGCGGGCAGGCGGCGCGGGCCCGGGACTGCAGGCCGCGCGGAGCCGCAGCACAACGGGACCAGCTCCGCCCGCCGCCCGCACCGCAACCTAACCCTCCGGGGGGGCGAGGCCTACCAGCGAGGGCGGAACTCCAATCCTCCAATGGCTGCGCGGGAGCGGGCTCACGACGAATCGGCGGCGCGGTCTCTCCGAGCGCTCATTGGCTGCTGGCACGCTGCGTGTCGCCAATTGGCTATGGTGCGCCATCCATCAGCTGCATCAGGGTAGGGCGGCCCACTCCAGGGGCCACGTGGGGCCCTGCCGGGCAGGGGGCCGCAGCCGCGGATGGGTTCCGGGGCGGGCTGCGCTGGCGGAAGGGGTTCGGGTACCTCCTCCGGCCGCGCGGGCTGTACTCTGCTCACTCGCCGTGCCTGCGGGCGCCGAGGGTCGCCCGGCCCGGGCCGAGGGGCTGCGGGATGCTGGAAGGGAGGGCGCTGACGTCTGCGATCCGCGCGATGTGGGGCGCAGGGTGTGCCGCCCGGCCCCAGGCGGTGGGTCGCACAAGGGGCGCGGGCGGCTACATTGTTGGGCCAAGCGTTACGTTGTTGCGCCGGAGGGAGGATAGAATGTATTTCCTCGCCGTGCCGGCAGATTTGGCTCCGCGCCGGACGTGAGCAGATTGTGTGGTTAGTCCGGGGGCAGAGGATTTTTATTTACTTGAAATGATCGCCCACAGCCTGCGATATGACAAGCTGTATTTAGCTGTTCTCCTGCAGATTTTCCTGGGCCATGAGTGAGTGGGTTCCTGCTGCTATTGAATAAGAGTAAATTTCTAAACGAGTTTCTAAATTTACCAGCAGTGGCCAGGAAGAGGTCCAACACATGCATATTCAGTACCAAAAAGCCTGCCACACAATTTTTTCGTTTTTGAAGGGTGGGCGGGAATGTGCTGTTTTTAAGAAAATGTCAAGAACTTCTCAGAATCACATTACGCATGCTAATTACCGAATATTAAATGCTAATTGCTCCATGCGGGGCTCGAATGCCAAAGAGAGATGATGGAACTGGTGTGAGCTGTTCGTGACTCGGTGGCAGGGATGTCTTTTGACTGACGCTCTGCAGCCTCCACCCGGAGTGGGAACGCGTTCCCCGTAGCAGGCTGAGGGCACATGTAGGAGCCTCAGACCTGGCAGCAGTAATGCCTCTCACTGAATTCAGTTCCTTTTAAAGGGGAGGTCAGCCAGGGTGCTTAAAGAATTGCCAGGGCCTGAGCCAGAACTTACTCACACAGTGGCTAAAATGGAGTCACTCTGGCTTTACTGGGTCCAGCCATCAAGACAGTTCTGCCTCTGGGTTATAGATGCCTAATTACTTGTCTGTGTGCCCTGAGCCAGACTGCAAGTTCATGAGGTTACGGATGTGGTCCGGAGGTGGCAGAGCCTGGACGACAGGCTGAAGCTCTGTACCTTGTGCATCAACTTCTGCCTAGATAGTGCATGGCTGAGGCCACCCCGTCTCTCCTAAGTGGAACAAAGCTGCTCCAGCATGTGTCCTCAGTGAGGAATACCAGAAGTGACATCCTTGTCCTCCTATGGAGGAGGGGACCCTGGCCTTGGTTTCCACAGAGTACCTTTCACATCCAAGAAAACAAAGGCCCTGTGAAAACTATAGGCAAAAAAGTCCCCAAATACACAGTAGCATAAGCTCAGAAATGGCACCCAAGTAAAGATCAGCAGGAGAAACTAGGGTTTTGCCAGTTTTGCTGTAGGCCCTCTAAAACAAAGTGTTGCTGACTGGCCTGGCTCCTAAGTGCTGACAGTTTATACAGGAGGAGGAGAGGGTGAGGGCAGAGGTGAGCCAGTGGCCACTGGCCAAGTAATGGTGACACTGGGGCTGCCACATGGTGTCTGACACTGGAGCGATTAGGCACTCAGCACTTGAGAGTCATTTTTATGGCATTGTGTTCAACTAGGCAGACAGCTGTGGTTGAGTGGGAACAAATTTGGCCATGATGTAGTGTGACTTGGTTGAAAAGCTTATGGCAAACTGCCTGAGACAGTGAGCAGCAGGGAACCCAGGCTCAGTCCTCTTCCACCTCCCACCCTGCAGTCATGGGGCCCCTCTTCCAGCACAGCAGTTCCTGTGCTGCACATGCTCATCAAGCACTTTTCTTCCTGATTGACAGCAGTGCATGACTCCCCCGCCCCAACCCCGCCACCGTCTTCATGTGTCCCTTCTCAAGTGTCCACCCTGTGGCTTGAGGTTGCAGGCTGCAGTGGATGGAGCTGAGAGCTGAGGCAGGCTAAAAATAGATAAAGTTCAGGACTCAGAAAAATAGTAACCGTGCTTTGGCTCAGGGACCACCCTCACCTGGTCAGGAATGGCCCATGGATGGAAGTCACCTGGTTCCTCCCTTCCCATAGATTAGCATAATCTTTAAAAGTACCTGAGAAAGAGAAGCACTCTCTCTCTCTCTGCCAGCTGACTCCACCTGTACCCACCATGCTCCCTCTTGTATTTCTTTCTTTCTTTTTTTTTTGCTGTATTGGGGTTTGAACTCAGGGCCTTCACCTTGAGCACCAGCCCTATTTTTGTGAAGGTTTTTTTTGAGATAAGATCTTGCAAGCTTTTTGTCTTGGCTGGCCTCAAACTGTGATCCTCCTGATCTCTGCCTCCTGAGTAGCTAGGATTACAGGTGTGAGCCACAGGTGTGAAGCCCTTCCCTAACTTTTAGTAACTCCATTTACACCCACATGTCCTGCCATGGGTTCTTCTATGTGAGACAAAGAATTTGGAAGTCTTCTGATCACAGAGCTACAGCTTCTCCAAGACCCCCAAAGACTCCCGTCTCTACCCTAGGCCTTCTGTACACTAGTAAAACCAGGGACTATCCAGTTGCCGACCTTTTATTTTGCAAGAAGGGACAATTAAAAAGACCTCAAATGCTGAGCACCGGTGACTCATGCCTGTAATCCCAGTTACTCAGGAGGCAGAGATCATCAGGAAGACCTCAGTTCAAGGCCAGCCTGGGAAAACAGTTCACAAGACCCTATCCTGAAAAAGCCCACCACACACACAAAAAAGGACTGGTGGAATGGCTCAAGGTGTAGGCCCTGAGTTCAAATTCTAGTATTGCAAAATAAATAAAAAGACCTCAAACTCCTGTCATTTATGTGCCCACCTGAAAAACAAACAAACAAATACTCAAACAAACCAAGCTAGTAAGGATGGGGATCATTTCAACTCCACTCAACTTCATTTCATTTCTGGCCAGCAGTGAGCACAGTGTACCTGCTTGGCCAGGCCTAGGGTGACCCTGACAGGCTAGTGGAGCTGGGGTCACCTCTTCTGACTCATTCCCTAGGCCTCTAGCTCACTACTTGTTGGGACTTTCTCCCTTCCTCTGCTTAACAAAATGTTTTACTTGAGACACTCTGTAAGGACTCACTATGGCCCAGGCTGGCCTGAAACAACACACTATCCTCCTGTCCTGCTGCCTCCTGAGTATTGGGGTTACAGGCAGGCGCCACCACACCTGGCTTCTTCCCTTCCTGTCCAATCACCTTTCATGAAATCTCCCTCCTCAGTCATCCTCAGTGGAAAATAATTTCTCATCTTTAAAAATTTCCACCTGGTTGGGTACAGTGGCTCATACTTATAATCCTAGCTATTTGGGAAGCTGAGATCAGGAGGCAAGCCCAGGCAAAGTTTTAGAGTCCACCTCCAAAATATGGATTGGATATGGCTCAAACAGTAGAGCTCCGCTTTGTAAGTGTGAAGACCTGAATTCAAATCCCAGTCCCACCAAAAAAAAAAAAAAAAAAAAAAAAAAACCCCAAAATTCTGCCTGTTCATTTTTGATAGTGGACTTTTAAAAAACCATTTTGGTAGGATCTGTTCTTTGTCCTTCAGTGTCCATGCCTTTTCCAAATTCTATACTCACAGAATCCTAAATTTTTAGCTGAGCACACAGATGATGGTAATAAGGACCTTTCCCAAGACGCCTTGCTGTGGCCATGTGACTAAATGCACACTTCCAATGGGAAGTTGGAAATGGATAGTATTCTTCTAGACAATGGGTAAAACAACAACAGGACACTGTATCATGAACCTCCATGCTACCTCTGGATTAAGTATGCTCAGAACAGGAGAGAGAAAACATCTCTTATTAAGGGGTAGAGTTTGGCTTTTCTGTCACTTGCAATCAGTCTAGTCCTAACTAATACAAACCCATCCCATAACCGGACAAGGCTGTTCTCTGCTCTTCTACTGGACAAGGAACTGTGATGGGCCACAGCAGTGTGACATTTGATTTAGGCTGGTAATCCCCCTGCCCACAACAAGTGTTGTACAAAGTTCATCCTCTTAATGATTTGTGGGATAAATTCCAGCAGGTTCATAGTTTAAGTATCTGTGAAAACAAAAATAATGGTTGGGCTGGGGGATGGCTCAGTTGTAGAGTGCTTATATAGCATGTACAAGACCCTGAGTTCGACTTTCAGCACTGCAAAGAAATAAAAAACGTGGTATTCTGACTCAATAGCTCATGTCCTGAGTTCAAACTCCAGTACTGCCCTGCCCAAAAAAGTTTGTTTCACAAATTTTTATAAGAATCTGTGAGCCAGGCACTGGTGCCTCATGCCTATAATTCTAGCTACTCAGGAAGCAGAGATCAGGAGGATAGCAGTTTGAAGCCAGCCTGGGCAAGTAGTTCACAAGACCCTATCTCAAAAAACCCATCACAAAAAGGGCTGGTGGAGTCTCAAGGTGTAGCCCCTGAGTTCCAGCCCCAGTACAGTGCTGAGTGTAGTGGTACATGCTTGTAATCCTAGCAATTGGGAGGCAGGGACAGAAGGATCATGAGTTTGAGGCTAGCCTGGGTTACATAGCAAGATCCTGTCTCAAAAAAAAAAGTTCTGGGCTGGTGGAGTGGCTCAAGTGTCAAAAGTGTCAATTGGTAGACCCACCTGCCTAGGAGGCATGAGGCCCTGAGTTCAAACCCCAGTGCCACTACCAAAAAAAAAAAAAAAAAAAGGTCCGAAAAATGGAAACCCCTGTTTAATAACAGGAATTATCTAAATAAATTTTGATTGAGAAAAGTCTTATACTATAATTTTACTCATTTTGTGATGCTAGGGCTAAAACCCAGGGCTTTGTGTGCTAGGCAAATGCTGTGCCACTGTGTTCATCTTTTAAGTCATCTCTAGACTAGTTTTAATATTTACTATTTTGTTATACTATATTGTTTAGGGAACAAGAAAGAAATCCTGCACATGCAGTCCTGTACAGAGGCAGTGTTTTTAAAAAGAACTTTCTGAGGGTGATTGCACTCACAGATGTGGAACTGACTACAGCTGTATCTGTATGCACACATGTCAAAGTTCAACCCCATGTAGATTACAGATAATTAAAATTCCCAGTTTGAGTTTTTCTGTTTTCTACATTTCGTACAATGAGCATGCTGGTACTTTTTTTTCTTTCTCCAGTGCTTCAGCTCAAACCCAGGGCCTTGCACGTCAGGCAAGTAGAGCTACATTCCCTGCCCCAAATTTATTTTTCTAAAAAGGATGAGATAGGTTCAGGTGTGGTGATTCAGGCCTGTAATCTCCACACTTAGAGGCTGAGGCAGGAGGATTGAGAGTTTGAGGCCAGCTTGGGCTACACAGTGAGACCTTGTCTCAAAAAACCAAACAAACAAATCCCCCAAATCCAGGCACTTGGACTTCTCTTCTCAGCAGTGTTTACTGAGTAGTGTCAGCTGTGTTACCCGAAGGCCCCAGGCCCCTGGGAAGTCCCCCTGGTTCCTCCTCTGGTGACTATGGGTTTCTGTAGACTCCAGCACCCTCTGTGGGGGCACTTACCTCAGACACTCAACAGGATGGACTGTTCTTGCCAGAGTTGTGGTGGTGGCAAAGAAAAATCAAGACGGTTTTCTTCCAATAGGAGTTAGTTTTAATGGTTTAAAAATGAGTATGTACAAAACCAGCACTGCCACTTGGTGTTTCTAGTCTCGCCATTCAGGGTTTCCTCCAACACTATCTCTTTGGCCAGTTGTGCCGGAATCCTCTGTAGAGAGCAGGAAAACCAGAGTTACCTCTGCAGGTCAGCTGGGAGTTGCAAGCCTTAGTGATGCTTGGATTGAAAGTGTGAGGCAGCAGAGCTGGTCACCAGGCAGTGCCTTTGGGGTGTGGCCCTAACTGCAGGGTCTACTTCTAGCATGAGGATTTTGTACTTTTCAACAAAAACATTCTTCAACAACCATGCCTGTGTAATGATTTTTGTCTCATTCCTAAGAAAAAGGCTGGTACAGGAAATTCCCACACAGATCTGTTCTAGGGTGACTCAAGAAATTATATTAACAAGATCTAAGAATGACTCCTGGGATGCAGTGAGTGGCTGTATAATAAGCAGCATGAGCGAATCATGTCCCCTCTGTTTCCCAAGTGACAGAGAGAGGGGCCTGCCTATGGCAGGGTCTCTCCCCTTGCCAGCAGAAGCCCCTAACCTGTACTCTGCTGCTGCTCCCCAGGGTGCAGAGCAGTGTAGGGACTTTCCCACTGGGACCACTGGCCTGGCTGCTACCACATACCTGTCTGATTTTCCATTTGGAAAGGACATGCTTTTGTTTCCCACTGATTGTTTAAGTTTTTTGGCTGCAATGCATTTCTGAAAAGAGAAGAACCATGTAAACTGGGTGACAACATTGACAACTAGATACACAAGAAAGCACCCTTGAGCTCACACAGCTGGTTGAGACCCCAGCATCCTAGTAATGCTTTGGGTTTCTGGCAGCTGACGCTCTCTGCACATTTCAGAAGCCAAGGCTGTGAGGCTGAACTATGACAGAGACAGGAGGGCTCCATGCAGCCCAGCCCCACACACCAGTTATACAGCACATTCAGCCCTGACTGGTCGACCTGATCTGCATGGCAAAGACGCAGGCTGGGCAGCACCAAAGGGTGTGCTTTCAGCCGGTGGCTGGCAATCCCTGGCAGCAAACAGAAAAAATAACCTCTAAAATTGCACAACAGTTTTCATAGTCTCTGCTTTTTTTAGGCTACTGGGACAGCTGGTGGACAGTCTACACCTGGGATGAAATGAAGCAAGGGAAAAGATACACAAAGAAAAGGGATTCCTAGCTGGATTATCTCAGCCAATGAGAGGGTCAAAAAGACGCCTGGAGGGCATGGGCCACTACTCCAGGTGCCTCCTTACCTTGCCAGATGCCATCTGCTTATTTGGGTCAAACTGGGAGGAGGGCTTGCATTTGCTGTCTCCTGAAAGGAAGAGGTAAGAGGCCAGCAATCACTTCACTGAGCTGACAAATCTGCTGGGCCTACGATGGGCCAGGGGCCTGGTGTTCAGTGAGTGCTGCCATCAGTTTGCCATCCCCTTGATGATGCCCTGGACTGCTCTGTTCCTAGCAGCTGCAGGCAGCTCCATGGCCAGGCTCCTCATACAGATCTGCTCCCAGGTCATTAGGGATGGTAGCCACTTGTGCACTAAAGAGGTGTGAGGCCACCATCAGTGATGTGGGCTCTGATAAAATGATTGTATGGACCTGTCCTGCTTTCCAGGTCTCCAAGGGCTGCATTGCTTCACAGGCAGCTATAGTCAGGAGTGCCATATGCAGCCTCTTCAGAGCAGATGGATCCTCCAGGTTAAGGGGTCACAGAATGTCCCCTCATGGGCTTTAGGTGCGATGACAATGGAGAACATTCCACTGAGCCACAGTGGTTCCTAAGAGCCAGATCCTGGGAGAGCAGTAGGTCTGTCCCAAAACTGGTTTGCACCTTGTACTGGTCAGGGTTCACTCTTTGAGTGAGGTTGTTTATTCCTTCACTCTGGCTACCCTCCACTCCTACCCCCACCCCCACCCTGGGTGTTTCCTTATGGGATACAGTGTCCTTACCAGCAAAAGCCTTGAAGTCCGACTGGCTGTAGTCATAAGGGGTGAAATCACTTTGTGGTGGATCTGGGTTCTTCAGCTTCTTGGAGGTTTTGAGTCGTTTCTTCTCTTGTTTCAGTTCTGTGCTCCTTGGGTCACTTGTGGTTCTCTCTCTCTTCTTAGCAGCGTTTTCTAGCTGCAGGAGTGAGCATGCCCAGGGAGAGAAGCATGGGAAGGTGTGAGGGGAAGACCCTGTCTCCCTGGGACAGCGAGGATGCTGAGGGCCTTGTGAACACGTGGCACAGGCAGAGTTCAGTGTTTTTGTATTCTGGAGGATTTGCATCTACATGAGGCATCTTGGGATGGAACTCAGGTCTAATCATAGGTTCATTTATGCTTCATATACACCTACTTCACATAGACCAGGTAAGTTTATAGGATTACTTAAGTAATTTTGTGCAGAAGTAAGGTTTCTTGGTGTGGGATTTTTCCATGTGTGGTATTATCAGTGTTCAGAAAGTACTGGATTTTTGGAGCATTTGAATTCAGATTAGGAAGACTCAACCTGAAATAGCTGAGGACTCCGGGGCTTTAGAGGTGGGGAAAGGTGCAGGGGCTGGGTGTGGGGACAGGCTGGAACTTAGTGATAATCACACTTTGCTGATAATGGTTGGAGGTTTCTAACTGGACAATGAGCATGAGGCTGCTTAAAAAAGGCAGGGGTTAAGAATGGAATTTCAAGGGCTTCAGGTGTGGTCTCTATGGCAGGGTGAGGCACAGTGGGCCTTAATGCCTTGAGCCACTGCTGCACCACAGACATGGAAGAAGTCCTCTAAGGGAATTACAGTGTCATCTTGTTTGAGGGAAAGGAAGTGCAGCAGGCACTAACTGACAAGCCAAGAGGAAAATGTAAACACATAATTTGAAGTGTAGGGTGAACCCTCATAAGCCAGTCAAGAGAATCTTGACCAGGTCCAGGGGTATCCATACCGCAGCCTGCTGTCGCACAGAGACTGTCTGTTCTGCTGTGGCTTTGAATTCCTCCTTTGCCTGTTCCCGGGCAGCTGCAAAGAGAACTGTCTGTGGAGTTGCTGGTGGGAATTGCCAGTTCTCTGTCCCTGACCCACCTGCTCTTGGGGTGAGCCTAGCTGTCCCTGTCCCTCGCCACAGCTGCTGGGACTCAGCCCATGAGTTCTCACCTTCACCAGCATGCTCGATGATGCCCTGCCTGTTCCTTTCCTTGGGAGCCAGATCAAACACCTGCAGTCTCACTGTTATTGCTTTAAGGGCCCCAGTGTCAGGGGCCAGGACCAAAGCCCCTCCCTGCCCCCTCCAACTGGCTTCTCAGCCTCCCTCTGCTGCCTTCAGCAGCTCTACACTCCTTCCTTTCTCTCACACCCACATCCAACTCATTGCCAAATGCTCAGCAATTCTGTGTAAGTCCAGGCATGTCTCACTGCTGCCCCTGCTAGCATGTTGGTCACCTGGGTTCCTGTCATGAGTCCTAACCAGGTTCCTGCCCTACCCAATATTCTACTTTCCACACAGCACCCAGAGGGATCGTGGAGAAGGTTAAGTTAGCTCATGCCCCTCTGCTCAGAGACTGGAGGCTTCCAACTCACTCAGAGAAAAAGGCAGTTCTTCTATGGGCCTGCCTTCTCTCCTCATCTCCTCCCTCTCTTCCCCAGCCACTCTGCTCAGTCCCATAGGCCACTCTGCTCAGTCCCATAGGCCACTCTGCCACCTGCTACATGACCAGCAAGTTACCACTTGGGGCCTTGCACTCATTGTGCTGTTGGCCCTGAAATCCTCCCTGAGATGGCTTGGTTTCTGCTCAACATCATGTTTAGTAGACCGCCTCTCTCACCACTGTCTAGTAACAGCAGCATACTCTGCCCAAGCCCAAGCATGCCCTCTCTCTCTCTGAATGCAACCTTCCTCCTTCCTGCCTCCAGACAGAACATGTTACTGGGTTACTGTTCACCCTGCCCCAGAAGGCAAGCTCCATGGGGCCAGGGCTGGACCTGTTCTGTGCACTGCTGTGTCTGGCACTTTGCTGAATGAATCAACAGATGGATGTGCTAGGCTGTCCTTCAACAAACAGGCAGGGAGAGAACATTACCTGTCTGATCAGCTGCCTTCTTCTTGGCAGTTTCTTTAGATTCTTTTTGGACTTGTACCTGGCTGGCCAGCTTCCAACGGTTGCTTATCTATAATGAAAACAGACATGACAAAAAACCCTCCAAAATTCAGCCGCCTACAAGTGCCTTACCTTTACTTGTGTGATGAGGCAACAGGAGGCAAGCAACCTGTTAACTACATGCATTCTAGGTCTAAGTTCTAAACCTAAGGACACAACCCAAAACCTTCTGCTATCTATTTGTTCATTTTTTTTTAAATAAATTTTCTATTAGGATATATTCATTATACAGGGGGGATTCATAATGATAATTCCTATTAGACTCACAATGTACATTAGTTACACTGCCCCCATTGTCTCTCCCTCTCGGAGCCTTCTTCTATTTACATAAGCCTTAAGGGGGACAAAGTACAAATGTATTACAGGTCTTCACAGCCTGGAAACTTTCACATCTAATGTCTTACCCAATTCCCTCTGTAACCCTGGGACAAAGGTACTACTATCACCTTTCCTTTAGAGACAAGGAGACAGCAATAACTTGCCCCAGGGACATGGTCAGTATATGGTGAGCTGGGACTCAGGGTGTTTTCTTTATGCCCCGCCTACCCCCAATCTAGGTGCTCCAAAACGAGCATGGTAAAGAACGGACAGCTGTTCAATGTGCCACACCTAGTGGGAAGAAGGTGAGGCCCATCTGCCTCCCCATTTCTAAAACCAGCAGGTGAACACTCAACACGGAGGTGTTGCCTATGATAGGGCTGTGTTGCCAGGTCAAGGTAGCCTCCCACCCTTTTCATAGAGTGGACCTTTAGCTGGGCACCAATGGTTCATACCTGTAATCCTAGCTACTCAGGAGACAGAGATCAGGAGGATAACGGTTCCTAATGGTTTGAAGTCGCCCAGGGAAATAGTTCATGAGACCCTATCTCGAAAAAAACCCACCACAAAAAAAGGGCTGGTAGAGTGGCTCAAGGTGTAGGCCCTGAATTCAAGCCCTAGTACTGCCAAAAAAAAAAAGGACCCTTCCTGCAGGGAGGAGGGAGGATTTTAGTCAACAAGCTGCTACCCAAGAACACCATATGGGATCCAGGGAGGGATGGTCTTTGTCATAATGCTACTAAAAACCAACCAAAGGAGTGTAAGACAGTTTTCAAATTTAAGCTGTCACTTTAAGATCCTTAAAGTGACAGTCATCTGTAAAAATGTATCAAGTTCTATATTAATACTTGTATACTTTAGCACTTTAATTAAGGCACAAAACTTTCTTGTTTTTGCAGTGCTAAGAGTTAAACCCAGGCTCTAGCACATACTTTATGGGTTCTCCACTCCTGGGCTCTGCCCACCCAGCTTGTTTCTTAAGAGGCTTCTCAGTGCTCTTGGAGTCTGGACTGAAATTCTTTACCTCTCTCTAGAAGCAATACTTAGAAAGGGCCTTTGTGTCCACTTTCAGGGATTCACAGAGGATCTGAACAAAGCCCATCCACATGGAGCCTACCTAAAACAGAAACCTGGCTCAAATCAAGAAGCCCTCTTTCCTTGGAAAGTCTCTTGTATGCAGGTAAGGTACCAAATCCACTTACTTCATAGATTTTTGAAGATGGGTCAAACTTTGCTGCCTGGGAGATGTGAGCCCGGTGATCTTTTGATGGCAGGAACTGCAGAGGGAAACAGTAATGGGAAACGCCAAGAGGTGGCATCTGGACCCAGTCAAAGACACTCAGACAGGGATGGTGCTGTCCCAGAAGGCCTCAACTCAGAATCCCAACTTGGATGACAGGGACAACTGACACACTTCTCCAGCTTCACCCTACAAAGACTTACTGCTCCTGTTTCAGGTGAAGGGCGTAGAGCTGCAGAAGGCCCTGTCAGCCTCACGCACACCAACCTCTACTCACCATCCTAAATGGGTTCTCAAAGGATTCCATTATGTTCTGGGCTTTTTTCTGTGCAACTGTCAATGGAGTCTTTCCATTTTCCTCAGCACTAGGTTCCTGCAGGGACAGATCAAAGCCCATTGCTTATAACCATGATCATGCCGTGGGATCAGGATGCAAGGGCAACAGTGATATTAGTATTAGTGGCTCCGTTTTTTTCAAGTTCTCCTGGGCCTGTATAGCACACAGTAATGGTGCAATCTATTTGTTGACTTGAATGCTCACAACATAGACATGAGTGCTCACCACCTTACTGCCCCTTACTGAGGCTTGCAGAGTCCACGGAAGTCTTATGGCTAACAGGGGCAGAGAAGGGATTTAAACCCAGGTGCAGATGGCCCAAGAATCTGAAGTCTTAAGTAACATTTGTGATTTAGTATTACATATCTTAATGGGGGAAACCAATGAAATTATGCAACAGAAAGTTGCTTTCAACTGGGTTCATAAACGTTGTGCTATCTTTTTGCTTAATTTGTAGGATTTTTTTTCTTGCGGTACTGGGGCTTGAACTCAGGGCCTAATACACCTTGAGCCACTCTACCAGCCCTATTTTTGTGATTTTTTTTTTTTTTTTTTTGAGATAGGGTCTTGTGACTATTTGCCTCGGCTGCCTTTGAACCACGATCCTCTTGATTTCTGCCTCCTGAGTAGCTAGAATTACTGTAGTTATTTTTGCTTGCAACCCAGTGCAGGGAGACTAAAGCCTCCTTCAGACTAAATGTGGCATGCACTTCCATATCAACGAACACTTCCTGAAGTTTATGCTGACAGACTTATGTGCTGTATCACCTTGGCAGTTCGTATTAACCATGTGGTCAGCTATGGCTCCTAGACAATTTTTCATGAATTGCTAAAGCAAAACCCAGTCTAAATTTATGTAATAACTTACAAAAGGAAGTTACAAAGCAGTACACTGTGCAGTGTCCTTTCATCTCCTTGGCTCAGCCTCAGCATTCTGATAGGGTGTAACACTGTAATCCTTCTATACCACCCAGCTGTTTTATGGTTTGAACATTTACTAAGCTTCATGCTTGTTTTTATACAAGATAGATCATAACCTTGCTTCTCTTTCTTAGTTCTTTCTTTCTGAACATTATTATGGGTTTTCCTTCTCCCCACACCTGCTGTTTGCAGTAGTCAAGAGTTCAGTCTGTGCACTTCCCTTTTATCCTAACAAATGCACTTGTGCAGGCCTTCCCTTTACCAGGAGTCTAGAGCTCCAATCACTGGCAGAAATGAACAGTCCTTAAAGACACACAGGGAAGGCTGTGACGCCACCCAGTACACTTTCCAGGAACATGGCCTAGCCCAGGGAAGCCAGTTGGGTGGAGTCCTCCCAGAACGGATCACTGGAGCCTGTTTCAGGGTTGGGTAATAAGAACCTGCCCCTCGGGAGGGCCCGCAGCAGCTGCTCACTTCCTCTGAGGACCCAGAGCACAAAAATCAGGTTTCCATGTTTTCTCTTCTTCCCTAGAAGCTCATGAAGCCCATTCTGGGCGCAGGCAGGGAGGTCAGCGGAGCACTGCTGAGCTCAGCAGAGAGTGCGCTCACTGTTGGGCATCCAGATGAGTGGCTCCACTGCTGTGGCTGTATCTGAAAAACCCTCCATCTGTCACCTTGAGCCCATGCCCTCCTCCCCACCAGGCAACTTGTCCTGCAAGGTTTCTTCACATGGTGCTCACAAGAGAAGCCATGGCCACACGTGCAGATACCTCTTCCCACCTTCCTTTTGGCACTGGTCTTGAAGGTGCGTGCAACCCTCCAGGCAGACAGCCTGATAAACCCAGTACATCCCCAGGAATCCACAGTGCCTCTGTGAGTGTCCTATTACTCACATTAAATAACGTGATGATGGCTGTAGCAAGAAGGCATTTGGAGTCCAGCAAGGTCTCCTCTTTTCTGTCAGCAAAGAGGCTTGCCTGTTTCTGAGCTGGTACAGATCCTAGAGGCACAGAAGGCAGCGAGGTTAAAGTCAGGCTGAGCCAGCAGCTGGCCATGCCTCTTTGGTCTGGAGGCCGCCACCTTACCAACAGTTGAGGTGATCAGGGAGCTGTCTGGAGGAGCATGGGAGCAGTCATGAGGTCCAAAGAGAGTGTTCTCCAGTCTCTGCATTAAAGAGAACCCAAGCCACACAGAAAACTCACGAGCAGGCCAGGAGCCTCTGCCCAGCCGGGCAAGCACTGGCCTGTCAGGTTTGTTTGCACAGGCTTTGACAGGCAAGACAGCAGACGTGACAATGTACCTCAGCACTGGGCAGGGGTCCACTCTTCTTCACTCCAGCTGCAGCTTCAGACTAAGGAGGAAGGAAGGAAGGGAAAACTCAGGAAGGATGTATAAATGCGATGACACATTCTCCTCCATGGGGCTTGAGGGTCCAGAGATGCCCTTTCAATCCTGTACTTTTCAGGAATGTGACTGTGTGGTGACTGAGAATTACTTGGTGGATAGGCATCATGCCAAATGCCTGTAATCCCAGCTACTTAGGAGATGGAGATCGGGAGTATTGAGGTTTAAGGTCGGCCCTGGCAGAAAGTTAGTGAGACCCCCATCTCAACAAGTAAGCTAGGTATGGTTTCTCATGCTATCATCCCACCTACTCAGGAGAATGAGGTAGTAGGAATAAGGTCTGAGGCTGGCTCCAGGTAAAAAGTGAGATCCTATCTGAAAAATAACCAAAGCAAAAAGGACTGGGGGTGTGGTTCAAGCAGTAAAACACCTGCTTAGCAAGTACAAGGCCCTGAGTTCAAACCCCAGCACTGCCAGGAACAAAAATGAAGTACTCAGTGAGTGAGCGAACAGAACTCCTTATCACGATGAGGTGTGACACGAGGGCCCCAAGAGCTTGAAAGTGTCTTCTCTAGCAGCCAGGGCTCACTCTACTCAGACAAAACTGCACAGCTAAGACACACCATTTTCTGTTGTTTTTCTTTTTTGGCAATATTGGTAATTGAACCCAGGGCTTCACACGTGCTAGGCAAGCACTCTACCACTGAGCTACAATCCCAGCCCAGAAAGACATTTTAGCATGACAACTGCAGATACATTTACTTTTAGATTCTTCTTTGATTTTAAGTCTTTTTGGGTCAATAATCTTTCAAAAAATTCCAAGTATGATTTACCACATACTGACACTACTACTAAATTAGCACACGTGAAATTATCCTAATGAATCACAAAACAAAGCCTAGTGTGGTGGCATAAAGTTATAATCCCTGCACCTGGGAGGCGAAGACAGGAGGATCATGAGTTCAAGGGCAGCCTGGGATAGATAGCAAGACCCTGTCTCAAAACACAAACACAAACTACAAACCAAGTGAACACTTACTCAATTTATGCAATGAAGTGTTGCCCAATTACACAATGGAAAGTAAAGCCAATTAAGACGTTGCTAGGGAAGATCCCCCATTGGAGCCATGTGTGATTTTAACCCAGGCTATGCATTCTATACAGACAAATGTGTCTGTGTTTTCAGTGGGACGTCCCACATAAGTTTGTCTAAACTTTAGTGCCTCTTTCACAAAATCAGCCTTTCTTAATTCTCATTTCCAGCAGGTTCTCCTGCCTTCCCTCTCACCTACGTTTTGAATTTGGGATCCCACCTCTACCATCAGCAAGTCTAACTGCTTCCAGGTGACACCTCTACAGTTCTTTGTGCTCACAAACAATGGGCAAGCCTCTTCCTCATTTGTTCCTCAGTCCCATTACCCTTTTCTTCTGAAGGCTGTCCTTTCAATTCTGTGACCACCACGTGCATAAGGGTGCAAACACTTCACAGGTAGACTACCACCAGGCCTCCACTGTGAGCTCCTGATGTACAGGTCCCCACTTCAACTTGGTTTGTCAGATTAACTGCCTCCCAAGAACAGTGAGTTGGCCCAGTCAGTAGACCTTACTTGCTGTCAGATCATTGAAGATAAGGTCATAAAATAAGAAGGTAAGTTTTAGCTCTTGACTATCATAAGGAAAATGCAGGGGTTGGGCTTGTAGCTCAGCAGTGCAGCACTTGTCCAGCATGTGAGAGGCTCTGAGTTCAAGGCCCAGAACCACAAAACAACAATGACAATAACAAAAGCAGCTAAAACCAAGAAAACACACCCACTACATTTCCAACCCTTGTTAACTTTTCAGGATTGTTTAGAATGGAGGCCAGCTTAAGGAGATAGGAGACTACAGGAGTAAAGTATCAGCTAGCAGACAGAACAGGCCTGCTGGGTTTGGGCCCTTGAGCAGAAATACTTTTTACCTTGAGCAGGGGCATCTCTCGAGCCTGCTGGATTAAGAGGTGCATCTCATTGATCTGCTGCCGAACAAGAGGCGGCACTGGGTTGCAGCAAGCTATGATGCCCTGAGGTTCCCTGAGGACAGGAAGACACACTCAGCTCATCACAGAAGCACAGTCCTTCAAGGTTTCCTGGTAATAGGGATCGGGCAGCCCAAGCCAGGAATGTGCACAGTGCTCTTGGCTATACCAGGCTCCCAGTGGATTCCTCGAGAGCCTGACTGCAAATAGGGAGAGCTGGAGATAAGCCCTTCAGCACTGAGGATTCTCAGCTTGGCAGGAGGGTGAACAACAGACCGTGCATTTTTATTCCTGCTTATACTTCAACTAATATGGTATAACATAAAATCATGAGCCCTTCATTTGGAAAAAGTACAGAGGAGAAAATCTGAGATGTTTCCTTTTCTGCAAGGGGCTGCCGTAGGCTCAGTGACTTTCCCTGAACCGGACACAGGCGCAACCAATGAAACATTCCATTCAGAAGTTTTGGTTCTTATATGGAAGCCCTCAGGCAGGAATTCTGAATTCCCTGGGCTTGCTGTCTTCCCAGCTTGGAACACTAATCCTCCATGAGTAAAGAGCCTTGGGTGATAGCAATCAGGATGCCTCCCTAAGGAAGTCAGAGCCTATTAGTCAGCTCTCACACTTACTTAGGCAGTTCTTCAGCTATCTTCAGCATCATATGGTTTGGCAGTACATATCTGGAACAAATCCACAACAGGATCACATTAAATCAGCTACCAAGTTCCATTAAATGCGATAATGAAGGCAAAAACAACCAGCCTTCTTAGAGAAAGAAGTCCCCACTTGCTGTCATCATTACCACTCAATCTAGAAGCAAGTATTAAAAGAACCTCAAATCCCTTACCCATAGCTCTCATCCTCCCTGCGAGCTGTTTTATCCCTCCAGGCAAACAGCAGCTGAAAGGCTGCCAGCTGCTGCGAGTTGAGATGCTTCTTTTGCTTCCGATACAGTTCAAGGTATGACTCATCCGTGAAGATAGGTTTGATGAATTTCTGCAAAGCATTAGAGAGTATTCAAGAGCAATGGAGCTGGGACAGTAGCTCAGTGTAGAGTGCTTGCCTAACATGCATGGAGCCCTGGGGTCCAGCCCCAGAACCGCACAAAAAAACAAAACCAAAAACAATGGAATAAAAATTGTATCCTGAGCTCTTCAAAAACATTTTACTCTTGACTTAATATAAAGTGCAAAGGCAAGAACTATAACTAAATCAGAAATGGAGCTTGAGTGGCGGGGTTTGTATTACGATGACATCATACCTTCAGACAGAGGTCCCTGCTCCGCTGCCATACCACTTGCAACTGGACTGGTTGGTCGTTGCCTCGTTCCCACAGCTCCAGCCTCATTTTGTCATAGATATAAAGCAGGTAATGGGTGTCATCCCGGGCATAACTGAGCATTTCTTCTGGCAGAGGGCTAGAGTTCCAACAGAGGACATGGCTTTACTGACCAGCAACCCAACTTGTCTATTCAGTGGATGCCGGAACTTTCTTGGGCCCTTCTGATTTCAAAGATTCTTCCCCAGCCAATACTATGGTCACACCACCACTCCTTGCATCTCAGTACCACACACCATAACTTCATCAGGTGGGTGGAAGAGGAAACATGGTGATGAGACAGTTCAAAGAAGAGCCCTTGGGGCTGAGGACACAGCTCAGTGATTGTGCCTAGCATGCTAGGACAGCACTCCTGCAGCACTCAGCCTGTGCTGGGCGCAGAGCCAGGGATCAGTAACAGGGAGTGCAAATTTTCTTCTGTGTTAGTACAAATACATTCTTTCTTTTCTTTTTGGTGGTACTCAGGTTTGAACTCAGGACCTCACCCTTGCTAGGCAGGCACTCTACCACTTGAGTCACTCTACCAGCCCTTTTTTGTACTGGTTTTTTTTTTTTGAGAAAGGGTCTTGTGGACTATCTGCCCAGGGCTGACTTCAAACTGCGATCCTCCTCATCTCTGCCTCCTGAGTAGCTAGGATTACGGGTGTGAGTCACAGATGCCCAGCTTTTCATTTTTTATATTTAGAAATTCTGGCATGTGGAAATGTCGAAAAGCTCAGTGGATGTTTGTATGACAGCTGTACTCCAAGGGAGGCAGCTAGCCATGGAAAGTGACCAAGCTGGGCTGAGCTTCCAGAAAGCAAGGCAAAATGTGCAATACAGACAAATCACTTGTGCACCTTACCCTGCTCTCACACTTCTAGGGCACCATCTCACACAGTTACAAATTATCGCTGCCTAAGAGCTGAGTTGCAAATGAGATTGGCATAGGCCAACGCTGACTGGTTATGTCTTCCCAATCACTGTCTCCAGGAAGCAGAGTGTAGCAGTCAGCCTAATGCAAACTCCACCTAAAATTTACCATCCTAAAACTTCTCACTGCTTCGTGCTACAGAAAACAGTGAGAAACCACTGTTAAACTGAACATAGGCCTCTATGGGCAAGAAGTTACCAAGCTGCCTGACTTTTTTCTGTCACCCACGCTTTCCCATCGTGCACAGACTGACCGTATCCTCCAGTCTGCCAGCTGATACTGTTTGTTTGACTCCACGCTGCAGTATAGTCTCAGCAGGTGATCAAGCGAGTGCCGGCCCAGGTTGAGAAGGCGTGCCGCCTGGTGGGTGTCAAACATGTTTACCACATACAACCCAAAGTCTTTCTGTAGCCACTCTATATCAGAGTCAGCACCATGGAACACCTGAAAACAACATCAAAGCTATGTATGTAGTATACACCAGCTCAGCCCACTTGCCTATCTCCTTAGCTAATACTGCTTCTAGATTATCAAACACTGGAATTAGATAGAAGCCAGCATGAAGATCAAGATTCCTTTAAGTTGGGCTGCAGTCTTTGTCTATGCTCCTACTTGCACAGTGATAAGGACTGAAGCTGTTTCCAGTCAACGATAAGGAGAAACAGCTCTCTCAGCTCCAAGTGTGTCCTTGGTGCAAGCAATCCTGATGGTCTGAGCTCACTGCAGCAGTCATTAACATGACTCACGCCTCTACTGGTAACAAGCTACATGTTAGCTGTTCCTATGGGGTGTAGAGATGAGTGGTTTAGCATGTGAAACCTTATGGCAGGAGAAGAGATGATTTCTCTCAACTCTCTTGTGACTAAGTTGGAAGAAGGAATCTTTCCTCACAGACAGGAGCCAGATAGGACCGGCTCACCTTAACGACAGAGGGGTCTGTGAAGCTCTCATTGAGGATGTACATGTCACTGCGAAGCTCCAGGGTGTCTATGATGAAGTCTTCTGTGCGGGTGGAAATTTGCATCAGGCAGGTCAGTCCTAGGAAGCTCCTGTAGGAGTGGTGCTGAAGCACATATAAAGAGGGAAGAACAGGGAAATATGGTTTTATTAGGCTTTTCTTTACCAGGTTTTTTTTTTTTTTTTTTGGTACTGAGGATTGCACCTAGGCCCTCCAGCTCCAGCATGCTAAACATGTGCTCTACTTTTGGGCTACATCCCAGCCCCTACCTTACCAATTTTGAAAAGTCAGCTATATAGCAAAGTTACATGATTACTTTATTCAAAAAAAAAAAAAAAAAAAAGAGATAAAAATTAGTGCTAACTTTATGCTTCTTGAGTAAGATGACCTCACAGAAAATGTAAAAATTTCACTCAAGGTCAATTACAAGATACCTCTAGCTGGGCGCCAGTGGCTCACGCCTGTAATCCTAGCTACTCAGGAGGCAGAGATCAGGAGGATGGCGGTTCAAAGCCAGCCTAGGGTAAATAGTTCGTGAAACCCTGTCTTGGAAAAAAACCGAGAGAGTTGGCATAGTGGCTCAAGTGTCTACCAAGCATGAGGCCCTGAGTTCAAACCCCAGTATTGTGACCCCAAAACAAAACGAAAAGCCAAGATACCTCCAAATCTACTGCAAATTCTTTGCAACTTAAGAGCTTTTCATTGAGTTCCACAAGTTCATCCAGGGAGGATACAAAATGGCATGGGGTTTCCTCTACAGGTCTGTATAACTGGATCAAGAAAGTAGTGAGAAAGAGAGGAACATTAGAAACCACTCCCACTAAAATATAAAATGAACTATAAGTCCAAAAAGTGCCCCAAAGTCATAAATTCCTAAGCTATTCAAGGAAAGCCAACATTGCATCAAATAATCTTGTGATTGATTCTTCTTCTCAGGCTGCTCAGACACTACCACGAAACAAGGGCTGGGCACTAACCTGGGGTTGTGGCTTTTGAAGTACTGAGTCTGGTGGAGTAAAGTGATCGAGTTCATACTGATAAGGATGTGCGAACCTGAGTAAATAAAACAAAAATAAACCTTTCTAAGCTGGCAGAGTGGCTCAGGTGGTACACTGTCTGCCTAGTAAGCATGAGGCCCTGAGTTCAAGCCCCAGTACTACCAAAAAAAAAAGAAAAAAAAACAAAAAACTTTTTGATTAATTCCATGATTCAAAGGGGGAACAACTGCTCTCATACAAGGTGTAAAAACAAATGAGAAAAGGCCACTGTGAAAATATCTTCCCTTGATAAAAACATCATTATTGCCAGGATTATTCAAGTGCATCAAATCAATCAGGAGACACCTGACGACCAGTGTGGTACGGTAGTTAAAATCTGCTCACCCAAGCAGCTTTGTACACATCTGAGCATTTGCAAAGGCTGTGTAGTTGGTGTTGTAGACAATACAAAAATGATATATAATTCCTTGTGGTTTGGAATACAAACTTTTCAAGTTAGAGAGAAAGGGGCAAATATTGGTTGGCCCTGAGCTAAATGTTCTATTTCCTCTGTTCCTCAGTCTTGTATTTGCATACAATCAGAGCCTCTGGTGAACTTCTTGAGGCAGTGCTATCTTGCATTTGCTTTATTTATCCAATACTTGGTGATGACCTTGCAGTGCAGAGCTGGGGCCGAAGGAATGGATGCTCACACAGACTCCTGTTGTATGTGAGGAAAAAGCCAATACTCATAAAGTTTTATCATCTTTATTCATTATACTGAAGTCCACTGGTCAACTTTTTTTTGATGCTGGGGATTTAATCTAGGGTCTCCAGCATGCTAGATGCACACTTTTATTATTGAGCTACTCAGCTGGCCCATTTGTCTATTCTAAGTGAAGTTTATTTTTTTGGTATTTTGAGACAGGGTCTTGCTATATAACCCAGGCAGGCCTTGAACTCACAATACTCCTGCTTCAGCCTCCTGAACACTAAGATTACAAGTGTGCACCATCATGCCTGGCTTAAGCACATTTTCCAAATATGCTCATGCTGACAATGAGTGAACAATGTCCTTTCCTTACTGAATTCCTCAGTGAACGTTACCTTACTGTAGGAGTCCCCACCTAATAAAAAAGGCAGAGTGGTACAAAGGAAAGGCAATTGTAAGAAAACCAGGTTTGAAGTGTGAGTGCTATGGAAATGAGCACCTGTAATCTTGTTCTCATGTCTATAAAATGGGGTGAGAACATGTGCTGTACCTTGGGAGAGTGGGGTGGGTCACGTGGAGCAATGCTGTGTAGAAGGCTCCATTGCTAAGACCCACGTAAGGGCGAGGTGAAAGTTCCGCACTCTTCAGACTTTTTCTAGTACACAGTTTGCAAAGGTAAAACCAAGTAAAAGTGTCAAGAGGTGGGTGGAAAACTTAGACACAGGCAAACACTTACATGTCCTGCTCAACTTGCTGGGTTCTCTGCTGATGGATGAAATCTGCTAAGGCAGGGGGGACATCCAAGTCCTCAGGACGGTCCTGTGGGCGTTCCCTCCTTTCTTTAGAGAGAGCTAGAGACCCAAGCAGTGACAAAAACACCATCACACAGGGACAGGCACCTTTGTGTCATTTCTAGTTTTACAGAAGGTAATGGCTTCTCTGAAGAAAGAAGGTAGCAGAGAGGCCCTGGCCCTTTCTGCGTTTTGAAGGAAAGACTGAAACACAGGTAGTGTATGTGGTGCTTACCCTGAGGGAGAGGTTTCTGAGCATTGGGTTTGACAAAGATTTTAGGAAGAAATGGCGTGTTGGAATTGTCAATCTTCTCTCGAAATTTGAGCTGAGGTCGAATGATGTTTTTTGCATGAAGCAGTCGGAAAGTTTCAGATTTTGCTTTTTTGCCGTATTCTCCCGCCTATAATCAATGCACACATATGTTGTAACATAGCAAGAGCTGAGTTAGAGAAGCAAATCCTAGTGCACGTCTTCCATGGAGACAAGAACACTGCAATAGCCATGCATTTAGAAAGTGCATGGATGTGAGAGTAGGGTGTGATGTGGAGAAGACAATGGGATTAGGTGTGCGTTCATGAGAACAAGATAACTGGGCAGTGGCCAGTTCTGTGTCCAGTTAGTTAGAGCAGAAATGCAAATTTGAATGAGCAAAAGTCCAGCTGCAAAGCTGACATTTGGAACTCTTAATTTTTTAAGACTTCACCTTTCGGTTCCAGCTGGACACTATTGTTTTGGGGACTTGCAATCCTGCAGGGAGGACAGGCTGTTGATGTTTATTCACACCTGATGCTTCATCCAGTAAGATACCCTAAGAATAGGAGTGGTATTAGGTTTGTATCTTCCTTTTGAGGCAAACAGAGTTAATTACCTGACATCTTAAAGAAATATATTCACGGAATTATTTATAAGCAATTAGAACACGTATGAATAGAGGAATGCAAATATCAAATCATGTACACCATACATAATTCAATTCTGATTTGTCAATTAAAAATGAATGTGGAATACTGTATGAAGGGGATTAATGTCTCATGCCAAGCAATAAAAGCATTATTTACTCAAAGACAAGTAGGGCAGTAACTACCCACTCTCAAACCCTGACTTCCTTCCTTCCTTCCTCCGTCCCTCCTCTCTCAGTTGCAGTACTGGGGTTTGAACTCAGGGCCTACACCCATGAACTACTCCACTAGCCCTTTCTTTGTGATAGCTTTTTTTTTTTTCAAGATAGGATCTCACAAACTATTTGTCCAGGTTGGCTTCAAACCTCAATCCTCCTGATCTCTGCCTCCTGAGAAGCTAGGATTATAGACATGAGTTACCTGGTGCCTGGCTTGATTTTTTTTTCGGTACTGGGGCTTGAACTCAGGGCCTTCACCTTGAGCCATTCTGTTAGTCCTTTTTGTGATGGGTATTTTCGAGATAGGGTCTCCCGAACTATTTGCCTAGGCTGGCTTCGAACCACAATCCTCCTGACCTCGCCTCCTGAGTAGCTAGGATTACAGGCATGAGCCACTGGCGCCCAGCCTGGTTTGATTTTTTTTTACAGGTCTAAAATGGACTGAGAATCCCAAATAACTTATCAGTGTGATATGGCCACTAAAACAAAAGTAACTAGAGTTGTCTTCAAAATATCTCTGAGTACATTCACTGGGCATGGTGGTATGTGCCTGTAATTCCAGCACTTGGGAGGCTGAGGCAGAAGAATCAGGTTTGAGGCCAACTGGACTACACAGTGAGATCATGTCTCAAAAAAAAAAGACTGCATACATTAGACACAGACGGGAGTACAGCTCAGTGGCACAGCGTTGCCTAGAACGCATGGGGCTCTAGGTTTGACTCCCAGCACCACACACACACACACAGAAGCAGTATTCAGAACCAGAAGGAAGGTGGTGGTGATTAGTGTGTACTGGCAAAGCAGGTGTGGGATATCAGTTTGGGTACTCCTAACAGACGTATACCCAGGTAACAGCTGATAATGTGGCAGGACTTGGAGCAAATACTGAGGTATGTATGGATGGGCATTAAACGAGGGAAGAGGTGGCGTCCTGGGTTAGGACAGCAAGATTTCAGTATCTCCAGGACTGTCAGAGCTTGAAGGCTAGATTTATTTTCGATGATCTCTGTATTTCTGTAATGTTTTGCTAGGGAATTAGGCACAAGCTGATAGTAAGCTAGACAGGATAATACACATCTTCCAATCCCGTGGAGAATGTGAATAATAGTAAAAATGGACTAAATTTTGGTGGCGCTAGTACAGAGGCTTCTTCTTTTGCAACACAAATATGATTTGTAAATCTAGAAGGTAAATGTGTGATCAGACACTTGAAAAACAGTTTTCCACAGGAAGTTTTTTTTTTTAAGGGTAGTGATATTTTGTTGATGTCTCTTTTTTCTTTTTCTTTTAGCAATACCAGGGGTTAGCCACTCCACCAGCCTAAAAGTAATGATATTTTGAAGACTACTATGGTTGTTTTTGAGTAAAACAATGCCAACTCTCAAAATGGAATGTTACTATTGGTAAGAAATATTATTCATTTTCTAAAGTGCCTGTGTTACTCTTTGTATTTTAATATAAAAGTGTTTCCTTTGCTAGGTAAGTGTACAGTGAAATACTCACCACTCTCTCCAGAATCACATCATTCGTATCAACTAGTAAATCAAATTTGTCCTCCAACTCAGTCACTTTACTTCGATCCTTGATGTTACTACGACACCCATGGTACTGCATTACCTTGCTCATGCTGAGGAAAGGACAGCCACAGTCAGTGTGAATACCTTTATTCACCTGTTTACAATTTTGGGGAAAATACCCTTTGATGAAATTAAAGAATCACTCTTACAGCAACCTTCAAATAGTGCCTGGGGCCTGGGGGTATACCTTGGTGGATCAAGGCCCCGGGTTCCACCACCAACCAACGAACAAACAGTTCCTGTAGGTCAGTGCTAAAGATGTATGTAAACAAGAACAAACACATAATTTGTGATTCAAAGTATTAAGAAAAAATCCTACAAGTTATGTCCCAGTAAGAGATGTTCAAACTGCTTTTGCTAAAAAACCTGGACTCCTTATATGGGCACACGAATTAAATAAACCAGAGAAAAGCTTGGCATCCCTGCCTCTACCCTGTTGTCTTTTGCTCTGAGCCATTCTCTCTGTAGCCACCTTGTAATCAAGGAAGGACAGGAATGATCAGTAATATCTTTATGACAAAGGACTGAAATTTCCTTTAAGGAACAGAAGAGTCTTGTAGGACAGACCACCTCTCCAAATTGAGGAAAACTGCCTGGAATTATAAGGGTGTACCCTGCAGCAGGAGCAATCATCTCATGGGAACCAGATTATTCCCCTCAAGTGATGACAGCAATAATATCTTCTCCAGAGCCCCTCTCAGAACCCTCAGACTGAGATAATGGTCAACCAAAACACACCTGCAACTGGGACTGTTTAACTGTGCACACCTTTTGTCCCCTGTCCCCAGTTCTTTTGTCTATTTAAGCCTATCGCTCATGTCTGTACCCTGAAGACAGCTGAAGATGGGCTGAGTGCTTACTCTGCTTCTTCCCACGGCATGTCCCGAGCTGTGTAATAAACCTTTCTCTGTCTTCATCATGCCTCTTTACTAGGTATGTAGGGGTGAGTAACTGGACCTGCCATGTGAAATCACAGGAGTTTGGACCTGGGGACCAAAACTCTAGTTTCATCCTTAATCAATTCACTATATCTTGCCAGACTGCTTTTCTTCATCTGTTAATTGCAGAGAGAAATTACCTCAAACCCTTTTTTCCTGGAGGTACTGGGGCTTGAAGTCAGGACCTTGAACTTTGTAGGCAAACACACTATCACTTAAACCATGCCCCAGTTCTCAAAACTTCTTTAAATTCTAAAATATATGACAGTGTGTAAATAATGTTTACTGCATTCCTTGTTTTAACATAGCAAATCTTGGAGTTCCTCTAATTCTGTCACGCAACAGTTAAATAAAATTGATGTCTATGTCCTATCTGTCATACTACATTTATTTTCAAGCCCAATATTAATTCAAGAAGATTTGTTGGCTAAAAGTGCAAAAGTCAATACATATGTTAAAAGTTAAACTAAGGGACTGGAGGTGTGCTTCAAAAAAAGGTCAAGTGTGTGCTTTGCCAGTATGAGCCGAATTCAAACTCCAGTCCCACCAAAAAAAAAAAAAAAAGAAGCTAGAGTAAAAATTTATCAAGTAATATGTTCCTAATGGAAAAATTATTGTCTCATTTTCATGTTTTATTATTCTTTACAGCACAAAAAATGATTATGAAGAAGCAAATTTCAGGAAAAATTATGTATGTCCTTATTTTCATTTCTCTTATCAACATAAGAAAACAATCTATAGTACTTACCACTGAAGCAGCCTGTCTCCCTGTGTTTCACAAAATGCCTGGAAGCCAGGAAAACTTCGGTAAAAATCGTATTCATCGCCAAACTGTGGTAGGCCCCCAGATGCCTTGGTGACTGCCACCACTGACCCAAGAGCAAACTGTCAAAACCCAGAAAAGACAGCATGTTTAAAACATGGATCATTCGGCAAACCACTTTTTTAAAAATCTGCTGTATACACAGCTCATTTTGCTAAATGCTGAAGGCATCCAATCAGTATCCATCCAATAAATACTCATTCAGCATGACTACTCCAAACCTATTCTGGACCATGAGGATTCGATGGTTAACACAAAACCAAGTTGGACGCTTATATTCTTGGTAGACTGGGAAAAGACAGAACAAATACAGACACTGTCATATAGTCCTTAACAACAGAAACATCGTCAGGTGATTTTTCATACAATCTTATGGGGCTGCTGTCATCTATGTAATGTGGTCTGTGTGGCTCATGACTGCATAATACGACTAATATTTATATTGGCCTGGGTTGCCAGTGGCTCACACCTGTAATCCTAGCTACTTGGGAGGCTGACATTGAGAGGATCACAGTTTGAGGCCAGAGGGGCAAATAGTTCCTGAGACTCCATCTCCAAAACAATCAGAGCAAAATGAACTGGGGTGTGACTCAAGTGGTAGAGCACCTGCTTTGCAAGTGGAAAGACCTGAGTTCAAATCCCAGTTTACAAAAAACAAACAAAAGCCCAACAAAATCAGGTAGTGTCTGGCATATGAATGCTATCATTATTACTCCGGTTCAGACCATGAGCTTTTGTATAGGAATTTATTATATTTTTGTGTTTTTATCTTGAGGAACATCTATAAACAATACAAGCATATTCTAGATACTTTTGTAACCAAGTTATAACCTCTGGTTCAGTTAGAACCATTTAGTTCTGTCTCTCCTTTTTATTTGGTGGTTATTAGGCCAGGGCTGGCCTGGCCCAATGATCCTTCTAAGGAACTAGGTTTACAGGCATGAGCCACCAGCACCTGACTGCACTGTGAGTTTTATTAATGTTTCCCAAGTAAAAAAATGAGACAAAATAGGTGGGGAACTAAGCCTTGGTGTGGCTGGTATGCAGTGGCTTGTATGGCCCAACACCACACAATCAGGACCACAGCTAGTGGTCCAGAATTATTGAGAACCAACTAAAAACAAATTATCTACCCTAAATTAGGTACAACACGAGTGGAGTTTCCAAGAATTAGTAATGCAGACTTACAAACCATCTTACATCCATGGCTTCCTAAGCACTCTGAACGAAGTGTAAACCCAATTTTCGTTTGTTGTGTGCAAGCTGCGTCATACAAATAGTTTGAATGAACCCCGTATTCCTTCAAGGAGGCACTGGTAAACGTGCTTTGGCGCCTGGTCAGGAGAGGCTCGGTGGCGGTTGTGACAGGTGATATTTAAATGCCCGAGGGCGTGGGATCAGAGAGGGAAGAGGGGCCACTCCGGCCGGGCATGGCAAGGTTGGGAAGGTGGCCAGGTGGTCCCGGGAGAAGCGAGATCGCGAGGGCAGGGCACGTGAGATGACAAGCAAGACCCCATTAACCCCACCCCACCCTCGAACCCGGACCCAGTTTCCGCACTCCGGGCTGCGGGGCTTGCGCGAGGGGCGCCGTCCCCGGAGTCTGCTTGCGGCCGAGCGTCGGGCTGGGCTCTGCAGCGCCGCTCCGAAGCCCCGACGGCTCCCGGCCAGGACGGGGACGTCCCGAGGGGGACCCGACTCACCTTCACAAAGCTGTCTGCGTCCGGGAAGCCCGGCAGCACCATCTCCCCGTCGGGCTTGGTCTCGCTGGTCGCCAACGGGCCCTTGGGCTCCCGGAGACTGGGAGGCGCCATCTTCCCGACCCGCGAAGTTCTTCTCGCGAGAATCTCTGTCGGCGCGAGGCGCGCGTACCGCGCATGTGCGGAGGCCGAGCTTTCCCGAGCACGAGGTGGAGGGAGTTGGGAGCCTCCGCCCTGGGTGGCCCAATAGGGAGCCTTACGTTTTTCTTTAGCCTCATGCAGTGTTCCCGCGTTTAAAGAGCTGGTCTGCGCTGGGCGTGGTGGCGCATGCCTGTCATACAGCATTAGGGCATGTAGTGGGACCCGATCTCAAAAACACAAAAACAGGAGAGGAAAAATAGTTTACCTAAGTGTTCAATAATGGTATTCAGAATATCCTACTAACAGGATACTTGGATTCCATCTTCCCCCCACTCCCCACTCCCACTTTTCAGTAGCCACCCTTTCTTTTTTGTGGTACTGTTGCGGAAATGACGAGCTGAGATAGGGGACACTGAGGCAGATTAGCAGGAAGCAATGTTTACTGTGCTGGCACAGACCCAGTGGACGACTCCTGTCCAAAGGCTGAGCCCTGAGGACAAAGGGGTCTCACCTCATATACCCTTGCAAGCAGGGTACAGAAGCAAAGAGCAAAGCTCAACCCACATATGGCTGCATGTGACTTCATTGGCTATTTCATTTTCCCAGTGCTAGGTGACCTTCATGTTTCAATTCTTTTAAGTTTTCTCTCTCTGCTTTGCCATCCCCTCCCCCTGTCGTTAGGGGTGCTTCATTCAGGTGGAGTTGAGATTTGAAACTCAGTTTTTGACACTACAGCTTTGAACCCCTCTGGTACTGGGTTTGAATCAGGGCTTTCTACCTCTTGAGCCATACCTCCAGTCTATTTTACTCTGGTTATTTTGGACATGGATCTCCAGAAACATTTACTCAGGCTGGCCTCAAACCACAATTCTCTGGATCTCAGCTTCCCAAGTAGCTAGGATTACAGACGTGATCTACCATGCCTGGTTTACCTTTTCTTTCCCAGGGGTACTTCATTCAGGTGGAGTTGAGATTTGAAACTCAGTTTTTGACACTACAGCTTTGAACCCCTCTGGTACTGGAGGTTCAACCTAGGGCCTCCCACTTTACCACTTGAAATATGCCTCCAACCCTTTTTGTTGTTGTTGTTGTTGTTGTTTTGTGGTACGGGGGTTTGAACTCAGGGCCTACACCCTGAGCCAGGAGCCACTCCACCAGCCCTTTTTTTTTGTGAATTTTTTTTTCAAGATAGATAGGGTCTCATAAACTATTTTCCTGGGCTGGCTTTGAAGCATGATCCTCCTGATCTCTGCCTCCTTGAGTAGCTAGGATTACAGGTGTGAGCCACAGGCACCCGGCTCAGCCCTTTTGTTTTTTAAACAGGATCTCGATAATTTTGCATGGGCTGGTCTTGACCTCCTCTTGCCTCTTCCTCCCAGATAGCTGTAATTACAGATATGAACCACCACACCCAGCTCAGCCTTTTTTTCTCTTTTTTCTGCAGTAAAAGTAAAGTTTATTAGGAAAGGAATTTAGTATAACAGGATAAAAGTGGGGGGAGAAATGGGGAAAAAAGGGAAACATTTTATGTTTCCCATGCAGGAAATGGGAGTAGACTCCTCAGCCTTGATTCTTAAAAACATCCTTATAAACGACTGCTTGAGTTCTAAGGCCCAGCTTCTGGAACCTTATGAATACAAGGATTTTGAGTCATCTTGCACTCATCCTTCCTTCACATAGGGTTACATACCTTATGGTAAATGTCTGTTTACTTGTCTTGGACAGAATAGGTAGTTCAATTAATCAAATATTTCTCAGGGTGAGCTGGGCGCCAGGGGCTCATGCCTATAAACCTCACTACTTGGGAGGCTGAGATTGGGAGGATGGCAGTTCAAGACCAGCCTAGGTGAATAATTTGTGAGACCACCTCATCTCCAAAAATAACCAGAGCAAAATAGACTGGAGGTGTGGCTCAAATGGTAGAGCACCTGCTTTTCAAGCAGGAAGCCCTGAGTTCAAAACTCAGTCACACCAGAAAAATATATTCCTCAAGGTGGAGACAACCTATTACAAGAGTGAAGTGAGGAGTCTGTCCCCACTCTGTGAGAGGAGCTCTGTGGAAGTCTCAGAAGGGAGCACTAATTCCACTTGCACACCAGGAGAGCCTCAAGCAAAGAGGGCCATTTGGGATGGGTCCTAAGGGAGAAGTAGAAATTTGTCACATGAACAAGTGGGGACACTCGGGCAGTAGAGGAAGCACAGGACACTGAGGTGTGAATGCATGTTATCTGCAGCACCAGCAGGTGATAACTTGAACCATGTAGTTATGCAAGTACCCAACTGTGTTTGACATGGATGGGCCTCATAGCTCAGTGGTCAGTGGAATAAAAGGAACAACAGGGAAATAATAGGAAAAGGAAAAACAGAATAAAAGGTGGCTGGCTAGAAAGTAGAGGGGGTGATATGGGCTGCCTCACAGTTCAAAAACAAGGCATTTGAACATGATGCTCTGAAGACCTAACACAGGAGTAGACTCTTGCTAGCATTTTTAAGACAGAACTGGTGTCAAGGGCTGGGAACCTGGCTCAAGTGGTAGATTGTAAGCACAAGGCCCTGAGTTCAAACCTTGTGACCTTGGTAGTCCCTAGTAGTAAATGCTTTAATAATGTTGAAGGGACAAATGCTCCTTTTTTTCCCTTTTTTTTTGGCATGGTGCTGGGAATTGAACCCAGGGCCTTGTGCATGCTAGGTAAGTAGTATACTGCTGAACTGCATCACCAGCCTAGTGCTTCCTTTCAGAATTTACTAGTAAGTATGAATAAAAAGCCAGTCATATACATGTTTTTAAAATTCTGATGGCATTTATTGGCACAAAAATCATTCAGATACAACATGGTGTCTAGACATGGCTACACTTTATACTTTGTGCATTTAGTTGAGCATTTACTTTTTCTCGAGCCTGCCCCCTTTGTGCTCAGCACCTCCACGATAGAATTTGTGTTCCGAGCTCCTGCTCCAAGCACAATGCATTCGGCCCTTACTTAACACAGGAAGGCCAGCACTGGCCCCTGGGCTGCCAGGTTTCTCAACACTGCCCTTCTGGTGGGTCAAGTCCTGGGTTGAAGGGTGAGTTGCAGCATCACTGGGTCAGACAGAAGACAATTTTCACCCGTTTTGTCCCATCCTGCAAATGCTTCTGCTGTTGTCCAGGGACCAGTGAGGTAACAGAATAGGCTGAGGGGTGAAGGCTGCTTCTGCTTCTTTGTAGTCCTGACCCATGTCTTTCCCAACCTGAGCCTTCTTCACTGTGCTGAGTCTGCTGTGCCCATGTTGAAAGGGAGGACTAGGCCAGTCTTTTGTCAGCAAGTGCTTATGATAAGTTCTCTTGTGAGTTAAGTCAACACCCGTATTTCTAAGTTATGGATCGTCTGTTCCCCAAAATCAACCACTTGATTTATGTAGTATTCCTGTGTTTCACTGTCCTGGGAACCAAATCAAGCCTGTGTTTCTGACACTATTTTCTTCAACAGCAGCTAGAAAGCTGGTTCAAACCAACTTTGAGTATACAGTAGTTCTTTTCATTTACATTTAAAAATATTTAACAAAGTCGAACTTTCTGACCATGGTTTCAGTTTAGTGGAAGCACAGACCAAAATACAAAAGCTTCAGAGGAGATGCTGTGGCATGCTGGGGCTCCTGTTACCAGAAGGGACACCTATGAGGACAGACAGCAAAGGAACAGTTTAGTCACCTGTGCTTCTTCAAAATTTTACCTGAGACCATGGTCTGCCAGCCCTAGGCCGTGCTAATCGTGTGGGACAACTCATCACTACCAATCAAGATGGGATGCTGCTGAGGTCCCACAAGGGCACTCTACGAGTCCTTGCTCTTAAGTTCCTGCCTCAGGCATTTAATCAAAGGATACCCCAGAGGGGTCCTTGAGGCTACATTCCCAGGTCAGCAATTTATCTTTTCATTTCCCATCACTGCTCTGGCCTCTTTTTCTATATCTCTGAAATAACAGCAAAAACCTAAAAGAACCCTCACAAACAAGTAAGCAGCCTTGCCTACTCTAAACATTGCTCTTACTGCCTTCCAAAAATGCATCCATAGTTCTGTTTTCTCCCTTGTTGAACAAGGAGCACACAGAGCAAATACCAAGTTTTAAAGAGATCTGCCTGTAGCTGTCTCATGGCTACTTTAGCAAATCTTTTGCTCCCTGGGTTTGGGACCTTGGCAGGTCCTCACTGGTGAAAAGCCACTCACCAGCCAATGTAGCATTGGCAGAGGTTTTCGTGGGATGTTGCTTGTTTGATGAGCAGCTCCACTTGCGTTGGAACGTCCAAGGTATCATCATGAGAGAAGTCTCGACCTAGGAAGGAGAAACAGAAACACTGTCTCCTGCATTCGTTGTTCTGTTTGGCTCAACTGTTTATGCAGTGCTAATCAGTTAATCCTCACTGACCAGGAAGGCCACACCACAGCTGCAAAGGAAGGAAAGAAGGGAGAGAGGAAAGGAAGGAAGGAGCTGACTGATTGGTCTATTCTAGAATCTTCCTTGAGTTGGAGAAGCAGACAAGAAAGCCTCTTATGCTTGAATCCCATGAGCCTCCATTTATGAGTCTTTCCTCCCACAGGCACTGTCCTTCCATTGCAGATTCGTAATCTTGGCCTTGAATAGGTGCTCTGTGCAGCCTGGTCAGCCTATGATGCTTCTTTGGCAATGTGCCTTTCCACCACAGGGCCAACGCAAATCCTCCCACTCTCCCCACATGCTGAACTGCAAATCTTGCTCTCAACCTTGGCAGATGCCCTCACCTCCTACTTTAGAGGCAATTAATTCATCATACACAGTTTTGGGGCCCTGAGGATGTGAGGCAGTTTGCAGAGTTGGCTTCCTGTCCTGTGAGCTCCCTCCTCAAGCTGCTGCTCCTCACTTTGAACTGACTTTTATCTGCATGGTGGATCCATCCCTCCTGCTTTCTTAGAAGCCTCACGTTCCCACAGTCCTTTTTCTTACTGGTGTTTCAAATTCTCCTTCACTGTGGTCTTCTCACTGTTTTGTATGCACACTCCTCTCTCCCATTAAGGTCAGAGAAAAAAAAAAGCCAGAGATGCAGTTGTGGCTCAGTGGTACCGTATGTGCACAGCACGCACAAAGCTCTGGGTTCAATTCCAGAACCAACAGGAAAAAAAAAAGCCTCTATTCAAACACTTAATCCTCTACATTATGTGTAACCTGCTCAAGTTTTTAACCAGGTCTCCCCTCTCTGTCTGTCTCTCATTTTCAACTATAGTAGCAATAGTCTGGCTGTCAGGACTGAATTTTCAGATGTTCATCAGTGACTTTGACTTGGAACCATATCTGACCTCTCCCATACTTCATGCCCCAACATAAATCTTTTTTTTTTTTTTCAATGCTGGGGATGGGACCCAGGGCCTCATGGTTGCTAGGCAAGGGCTCTCCCATCAGGCCACAGCCCAATCACTGATTTGACCTTCTCAAGATCTCTTCTACCCACTGCCTCACTCTCAACAGTTGAGAATTGTCTAGATGCTGGCAGCACCTGCATGCCTTCCCTACAACCCCGTCCCCCAGCTAGAGCAGGTAGTAGTCCCCATGCAAATACTCAGGTCTTCTTTCTTTCTCCCCACTCTACCTAAAACTCTTCAGTGGTTTCCCACTGGCCTTGGAATACAGGATAGAAACATTAAGTCCCATCTGCGTGCTCTGGCCTTGGCTTGGCTAGAGTGTTCATGCTGTGCTTCTCCCACCCTGCTTTCTCTGGGCCTTTCTTCTTGCTATCACTCTCACCATAGAACTTTGTACATGCTGTTCCCTATGTGTGGAACAATGTCCTCTTAGTTAATCCCTTTTTTTGATTTAACTCATGGGCTGTTTCCTTAGAGAAGCCTTGCTGCAGTTCCATACTAGTTTAAGTTCTCTTATCACAGGAACCAGAGCTCTGAGTACCTCTCCTCCACTTAATGATAGTGTTCCCCTATTGATTCTAAGCCCTGTGCAGGCAGGGAATTGGTTTCTTCTACCAGAAAACATGGTTCTGTGCTTCCTAAGTATCTACGAGATGGAGGTGCTCAATAGAGCCCCCTGACTGCAAAACTAAGGAGAAAGGCTCTGATGCTCAGGGCTCGGCATCCCAGGTCTCATCGGATGCACATACCTTCCTCTGAGGGGGCTTCTTGTCATTTTTAGATGTAGAGCTGGGCTCAGAGGTCACAAAAGAAGTGGGAGATGGAGCAGGAATCTCTGGCTTCCCTCGATCCCACTCTCCATGTCATCCCCTCCCAACACAAGAAAGATCATCAGTGTGGGCTGCTCTTTTTCCAAAGCACACATCTCTTCCCTTCCATTCTCCTACTCCATGACAGCTGACAAAGTACTGACAAGCAAAGTCTGAGTGGTCAGAGTTCCTCTAGTAGTTCACCATGATGACAAAAGACTTGTATCCAGATTTGGCTGATTTGTATCCATTCAGATTCCAAAGAACTTTACTCACCTCCTGAGTTAAATGAGATTAAGTTAATTTTAAGTAATGTCATTAGCAAGAGGGGCCTGGGAGAGGCTCCACTGCTAGCCTTAGAGACACTCTGAACCAATGGGGTCAAAGTTCAGACACCAATACCACCAGGGATGGACTGACCATCCATCTGAGGGGAGGATGTTCTCCTCCTCAGATTTCATGTCCCTTCAAGAAAACACAAATACACTTACCAGTGAGCTTGTCTCGAACCCTGTTAATAATCTGAATGGCTTTCTTATTTAGGGCTTCTGGTTTCACCAAACCATCTCCAACTGAAATACACAAAAGCAGAAATAACAGCAAGAATTAGCTCATCACAACAGGTTCAATGGTATGGTATGGTACCCCTGTTTCTCTTTCTCTCTCTGTTTTTTTTTTTTTGCAGTACTGGGGTTTGAGCTCAGGGTTTCACGCTTTCTAGGCAGGTGCATGAGCCATGCCTTCTGCACCCCATTTCTCTTAAACATTCTGTTTTGTGGGCACTGAGTATTCTTCCTTTGTGTCCATCTTTGTCCTCAGGATACAATGAGGAATTCATGGGACCTTTCCTCTCAAAGGCAGTTCTGTTACTCCATCTTTCTGGGAAACCCCCTGCCCCCAATGGTTCAACACAGCTGCTATTTTCTTAATGAGTTAAGTCACTGGTGCAATTCCTCAGAGTGAACTTACTGAAAGAATGAATAGATTCTGGCACTGTGGTCCCCGTTTTCTTATGTGCTGGTTCTCCAAGTTCCACACTGTCTAAAATTTCTAGGGGAAAAAAAAATCAATTAGCAGAAAATTCAGACACCAAGAAGCAATTGTTCGTGTTAGCTTCTAATTCTTTACATATATTTCTTTAATGGGAAAGGAGAAAGCTTTATGTTACTTTTTCTTTCTGTGGTATTGGGGTTTGAACTCAGGGCCTCACACTTGCTAGGCAGGCACTCTACTACTTGAGCCACTCTACCAGCTATTATTTCATTTAGTTAAGTAATTAGTTGTAATATCCCATAAATTTTGTAAAGAATATTTACTTTTTTGTACCCAACAATATTTCCCAAAGTGTGAACTGTTGTTAGATGTTATGAGAAAAAAAAAGGGGTGTGGCAAGAGGGGAAGACTGAACAGAGACAAATAGCTTCACTGTAACATACTTCCATGGACTGGAGGAGTCTGCTCAAGTGGTAGAGTGCCTGTGCAGGCATGAAGCCCTGAGTTCAAACCCCAGTCCCACCAAAAAAAACCTTCCAACAGCTTTCAATACACAAAAATGTATTCTGGCTGTTGGAGCAACCCTGTCCTATAAAGGACATTCCTGGAAACAATGTTTCATGTGAATTCAGGGCTACTAATAGCAATATAAGTAAATTTCTGCTTCTGTCTTTCAATTTCTGAGCTATTAATAAGCTTGAGGAGCTAGAGTTGAGGCTGAGTGGTATAGCACTTGCCTAGCATGAGCAAGGCCCTGGGTTCAATTCTTAGCACTTTGAAAACAAAAACAAAACAAAATGTTTGAGAACCAAGATAATAGTGTTAATAGTTACCTCAACCTAGAGACCACCGAAAAGCACGATAAACAATGCCTGACATCCCCCCTCTCCGCCCGCTGATCTGCTCACGTGCGCGCGCACGCGCGCGCGCACACACACACACACACACACACACACACACACACACACACACACACACACACCTGTTTTTGAGACAGGATCTCACTTTGTAGCCCAGGTCAGTCTTGAACTCAACAGTCCTCCTGCCTCTACCTCCTCAGTGCTATTACTACAGACATCTACTATGCTTGGTTAATTGTATTTTTATAAACAGATTAAGATCAGAGAGCTTGATTAAAAATTCTGGAGCTTCTACTTCATCCTGCCAGACAGTATGTAAAAAACATGTATTAGGTGCTTGGTGCTTAGTAAGTATTTTAGATTTTGTTTCTGAAGTTCAATAAATGCCTGTTGGATAATGTGTTAGCAGTGTGGCATCTCTGCCAGACTGTCACCACCCAGAACCTTGGGAAAAACACGTTGACTTTCATATTCAGCAGCCATTACCACTTTACATCTCGCCTGCTAATATGGCCACCGAAAGGCTTCCCCATTCTAGAAGAACTCTCAAAAAAGGGACAGGAGCTGCCATCTCTCCTGAGGGGCACCCACCTACTGACTGGCCCGCAGAGTAGGAATCTGTTCTCGTTCTGGATCGCTTGTTGCCTTTGGTATTCGCTAGGCAAAGAAAGAAAGTGTTATAAAGCTCCTCAAACTTTGATTGGAAACTTGGTTGATATGGTACGTTCTTGCAATCATAAAGCATACTTTTTTCAAAAGCTATAGCCCTGAAGAGTGAGAAGACATAGTACTTAAGAGGAAGAGGGGGTGTAAGAATAGGACATGACATCCAGGAGATGCTCTCTGCTATAGATTTGTAATACGGATAACATAAAGTGAAAGCGTAATTTAACTGCAGTCGATCAAAAGCCTCTTGTTAGTAAATATCCTCCAAAGAGGAAGAAACAAAGGGTAGATGAAGATATTGCTGCCTCAAATCATGGGGGTTTGCATTTCTTACTACTCTATAGCCCAAACGAACAAAAATCACTAGGGTACACAGCCCATCCTGAAAAACATCTTATTTAACATCTAAGTTGGTAATGAGTTTTCTGCTTTAGCTAATAAGAATACTTGAGATTCCTCTTCAGAGATGCTCTGTGAGAATGTAAAGCAGTAGCTCAGTAATACATCTCAGGTTTGAGGTTAGTGAAGTGTAATGTATCAGGTATTCTAATTTGGGAGGGAGCCAACCCCAATTCCATGGACTTGATAATACTCACTGTCCATTAATCTCCAGTTCAGCAAGGGGTCATAGACAAAGGCTTCCAGCACAGCCATGACACTGTCTTTGTGCTCCCGAAGCACTTCCATCACTGTGTGGCAAGTGATTCTGTAGTTGCCATCCAGACCCGTAACCTGGAGATGGGACAGAGCGACGTACCAAGGAGCTACTAACTGTGGCTTACTGATGCCTCATGACCAAAGCCAAATGAGGTCTATCGCTCTCACTTAGGAAGCAGACCCAGGCCACTGCTGATGCACTGGCTGTGTCTTGGGAGGAAGCAGCAAGGCAGGACCATGTTTGACATGCAGTGCTAGACTTTCAAAGGTCAGTCCTAACAAAATGGGAAATAACAAGAACCTGGTACAGATGGGCAGTTAGGGAAACAAGGAAGTCTGTCCTCAGAAAAGGTAGTAACTGTATTAGCCCTGTTTCAAAGCAGCTTGTTTCCGATATTCACTTACCTCCATAGCATTGGTCAACATTCTTGTTAGTCTGAATGGAATCTTCTCTGGAAATTTCTCTCTGGTCATAGCAACCTACAGGGCAATGGATTTGGAAAAACCAAATCCATGGTTAGATTGTTTTCTTTAGCTAAAGCAAGGTGAAAGCAGGTGGCTTTTCTTAGCATCACTTGTGCTGATTTACATTCCAGCACAGAAATAAAGTAGCTTGAATTTATTTATTTATTTATTTGCTGATACCAGGGCTTGAACTCAGGGCCTCACGCTTGCTAGGCAGGCACTCTGTCACTTGAGCCACTCCACAAGCCCTGTTTTGTATTAGGATTTTTCAAGATAGGGTCTTGAGAACGATTTGCCTTGGGCTGGCTTTAAACCACCATCCTCCTGACCTCTGCCTCTTGAGTAGCTAGGATTACAGGTGTGAGCCACTGGTGCCCAGCAGTAGCTTGAGTTTGGTGAGGGTATTTATCACAGAAATTTGAAAGATGACTTAAACAAAAATACAAACAGAAGAGAGAGAGAAAAAAGGACAAGTGTGCATTGCTAGTAGGCAGTACGGAGGATGGGAGACTCCCGTATTCAAAGCGAGTGTGTGAAAGGAGGCCCTTGCATACCGTGGGGTTAGAGGCCAACTAAGAGCATGATTTCATTGCTGACACTGACTTTTGATCACATTGGCAGGAAAGGGAGACAGTATGGCCTCTGGGCTCAAGTTTGCCTAAACTGTCAGAGGAGGGTGAGCTTTATGTGGTGTCCTGGATCATGTATTCACCTCAAAGCAGTCCCCAAAGTCGATGTGCAGGATCTTCCCACTCAAACGGTCCAGCATCAGGTTGGATGGGTGTCTTCGAGAAACAGAAGCAAGAGCAGGAAGGGATCAACAGAGCAGCACTGATGAATCAACAAGTACATGAAATTCCATGCCAGGGACTGACAAATCACAATCCTTAGGTAAGTCTAGCCCCCACCTGCCTTATAAGAGATTAGGTTTCACTGGAACACAGCCTTGCTTACTGGTTTCTGTACTGTTTCAAGCTGCTTTTGTGCTATAATGGCAGAGGGTAAGAACTTGTGACAGAGGCCACATAGCCCACAAAGCCAAAAGTATCTATTATCTGGTCCTTGACAGAAAGGGCTGCATGTTGAAATGAAGATTTACCAGTTGCCTCACTGTCCAGAGAATTTGCTTTCCTGGGGTCTTGTGCCCTATGGCAAGTAGTTTCTGAAAATAACAGCCACTCAGAGTGGCATGGCTCTGTCATTCCTACTGAGTAGCTGTCATAGGGGCTTGTGTCTTTGAACCCTCAGCCAGTCTAGACAGGATCACCTGGCTTTTGTCAATAGGCCATTAAAAAAAAAAAAAAAGGGGATCTCACATTGTCACCAGGTTGGTCTGAAGTTCTGGGCTCAAGTGGCCTTCTCCCCTCCACTGCCTAAGTCCTGGGAATGCAGACATGTACCAGCCTTTTCTTTTTTTTTCTGGGGCTGGGGTTTGAACTCAGGGCTTTGTGCTTATAAGCCAGTGCTCTACCACTTGAGCCACACCTCCAGTCCCTTTTGTTCTGGTTATTTTGAAGATGGGGTTGCATGAACTGTTTGTCTGGGCTGGCCTCAAACCATGATCCTCTTGATCTCAGTCTCCCAAGTAACTAGGGTTACAGGAGGCCCTAATTTTTTTTAAACAAGAATTTTTTTGTAGGAGGCATTATTTTTACTGCACAAGACATGATTCCAAAAGATAAACGGTAGACACAAAAGAATCTGTTTTCTTTACATTCTTGTGAGTCAATATCTGAACACTCTTATTTTAAAAACTAATTAATGAATTAGTTTATTTTTTCAGTGCTGGGAATTGAACCCAGGGCCTTGTGTATGTTAGACAAGCACACTACCACTGAGCTACATCCCTAGCCCTAAATTATTTTTCCAGTCTGTAAATGTAGATGAAAGTATGCAAAAAATAAGGATCTATTTGGCTAGTTTCAACTACAGAAGACATACAATTATTTGTCTTAGTATAGTGATGATTGGTTAAGTGTTTATTAAATCAACAAAATCAATCTGAAGTAATGTGAATTTTAATACAATGAAGCAACTTACGGAGAAAGTAGTATCATTACACTATGGTGAGCTTATCTCTACTTTGATATGTTTTTCTGTTAGAAGAAATAGACTACAGAGATTATGGTTGATACTATGACAGAGGTCTACAATATACAGATAGCTGCTTACTAAATGGCCATAAATCTAACTGGAAGACAACATGGAACCATTCAAGAAAAGTACAATGGAGACGTAAGACTAAAATAATTAAATCCACTCACCTGTCTCCTAGACCCAAAATATATCCAACCATTGACATGACCGCTAAAGAGCGGGTGTAATTGGTTCTTCGGTCAAACCATACCTACAATACAGGAATGCATGTGAACTAAGGTTCTGGAAACTAACTAGTTTCTACATCATCATACCCCAAAATCAATTGTTAGAATATATTACACCAAAAACTGGTTAGATGTGTAATGGAATAAAGATCCCACTTACAATTATAATAAACTAAGCCTTATAATGAGGTTAATTACAAACTTGTTGGGCTTAAGTGAATCAATAAACCTTTCTTAGGAACATAAAGACTGGAGTAAATGAAAATATCCATTTCATGATATCCACTTGAGATTATAAAGATGTAATACCCTCCCGAATCATTTGATACATTTAATATAATTCTAATAAAAATGTAGTGACACTTTTTTAGGGACCTTGACAAAATGATCCCAAAATTTACCTGGAAGAGAAATATATGAAAATAACCAGTGTGAAGGGACTTGTATTAATGGTGCAGTACTTGAGGAGAAATAAGGAAGAAAGAGCAATGAAACAGAAGCCCTAGAAAGAAATCCTAGGGCCTGTAAGCATTTAGTGTATAATGAAAGTGTAATCTTCTAAATAGTGAGGAAAGGGTAGATTATTTAGTAAATAGTAAGGTAGGGGCTAATTTTTTTTTTTTTTTTTGCAGTACTGGGGATGTTAGGAAGCACAATACCTCCAGCCCCTGCCCCCTCTTTTTAAATTTTGTTTTTGAAATAGGTTCTTGCTAACTTTGCCAGGGCTGGCCTAAAACTTGTGGGCTCCTGCCTCTGCCTCCTGAGTAGTTGAGATTACAGGTATGTGCCATCACACCCAGCCTTTTTTTTTTGAAATAGGATTTTGCTGTGTAGTCTACGCTGGCCTTGAACTTGAAGCTCCTCTTTCCCTTAACCTCTTGAGTTTGAGTGCTGGGATTTCAGGCATGCACCATCATGCCTGGAAGATGATCATCTTTAAAAAAGTAAGTTATACTTTAGTTTTAAATTCCAAATTGGGTTAGGATTTAAGTGTTAAAAGAAGTCTTTCTTTTATTATTATAAGAATTTTTTATTAGGATATATTCATTATATGGGGTGGGGGATTTGAAGCAACAATTCCAATCAGACTTATATTGTACATTATTTAAGTTCCCTATCATAAAAAAAGTCTTAAAATTAGTATAAAAATATAGGTAAAAGGATACATAATCTTGTGGTGGAGAGGGTTTTTCTAAATATAAAGCTAAAGGTATAAAACTTAAAAGTCTGATATCTTCTACCTATCAAAAACATCTGTGAGGCTGGGGGTGTAGCTCAGTGGCAGAACAATTGCCTAGCATGTCCAAGACCCTGGGTTCAATCTCCACCACTGTTAAAACATCAATCAAAAATGAAACCCCAAATCCTAAAACATTAACAAGATTAATAAAACAAATACACAGAAAATTAAAGCATATATGAAAAATACAACCCTAATATATCAGGGACTTTTGTTGTTTTTTTGGAGGCACTGGGGTTTGAACTCAAGGTTTTATGCTTGCTAGGCAGGCGCTCTACCACTTGAACCTCACCTCCAGCCCCATCCTTAAAATACAGAGCTGAAACACTACTGTATGCAATACGAGAAAATATCAAAGTCCTCAATCTAAACCTGCTAAGTTACAAGGCTCACTCATTTACTTTTTGTTATAATCGGCAGTTAATCCTGACAACAAAGTGGAGTGCATCCATCCTGTCAAGAGTGGGTATGCAAGGGAGAGCAGGGCGCCTGCAGGGCTGAGTGGCTGTACCTCAGAGCTGGGGCTTTTAAGCCATAGTAGCTTGGCAAGATCGTCTCCAGCTGTATTGTTGACAGCATGTTCAAACACTTCTACCTTCTGCATCAGGGTCAAATGGTCATAGTCTGGAGCCATCTGAATAAGGACATAAGCAATCAGTAAGAGAACTGCGTATGACAAGGAGCCTAAATCCAGGAAGAAACAGGCTTTGGGACCAGGCAGAACTGGGTTCTAATTTTACCACAACGGCCAAAAGGAGAAAGGAAATAACATCACAACTGAAAAATGGAGCGGCCACTGTAACCTGACGGTTACAGGAACCCTCAGTGCCTGAGGGAGAAAGACCAGGCTTCACTTTGGTACAAGCCTACTGGTGTGGACAGGAGTACTGGAAGGTTCAAGATTTGGGGTAACAAACACTTTTTTTTTTTTTGGCAGCATTGGAGTCTGAACTCAGGGCCTTGTGCTTGCTAGGCAGGCACTCTTATACTTAAGCCACTCCGCTGGCCAACAAACACTTCTTTTTCTAATTTCTTCCACATCAACTGACCAAGCTTCTCCAATGCTTTGTTCACGTTAAATACACGTTTACGCCTGATGTCTCCCTGTCCAGTCCCACCTACAGTGATGAAAGTCAAAGTGTCGGGCTTTACGCCCTCTGCCTGCGTTAGGAGTCATTCATCAGCACTCCTTCGGTGGGTTTCTAAGTGGTGCTGTCTATGTGAGGCTGCCTGGGCTCCCTGGCGAGAGTCACAGGGGGCCTCTGGCCGCACATACCCGCAGCATGATGCGGTGCTCGATGTTGAGGAGGATCTTCTTCTTCTCCCTGTAGTCCCGGATGAGGGCGTGCAGTGTGTCACAGTGTGGCACCCAGCCAATGAGGCCTGAGTTAGTGGACAAAGGGATGACGGCGTACCTCTGGATGCTGGCACCCACGGAAGGCAGGGTCATTGTAAAAAGAGCACACCTTTGATCAGCTCAGGATTCTTTGCAGTCCATTAAAGGTATTTCCTAATGAAGACACTCTAGCAATTCTAGAGAATATTTCACGTTTGTTACCTTAATTATTTATGACTTTCTGCCAGTCACCTAATTTCTGACTTACTTTGTAAAAGCACATGCTTTTATGGACAGATGTAGGAGAAAACAGAAGGCCTCCCAAAGATTTGCCATGTTCACAGCCTTCTGAGTACCTGAGGTTTTTCCGAAGAGATGTTGGGTCATTGGCCAGAAGGGTGTTGACTAGGCCGAAGAGCTGCATCACTCGCTCATCCTGCCGCAGATCTTCATGGCCTTTCAGCAGGAAAACAAATTCATGCCCATTGCTGCCTGCAAGGAACAGGGGAGCAGTTAGCATAGACCAGAGGTTCTGACATCCGCCAGCTGAGACCACCAGTGTTTTCCAAAGATCCCACAGACGACATATACCTTACCTAATCTTTACACTTTCCCTATGAACAGAAAACAACATTCTCTAGAATTAAGGCAAAGCCTACCTCTGCTTTCGGTAGGCCTCCCAATGACCAAAGTTGTTTAAATTAAAACAAAAACTGCTTTTGAGGACCAGGAACAAGTATACATAGAATTCTGTATGTTTCCTCTTCCTTGAATTACTGTCCTGAGATGCCTGACTCCTAAAGACATCACCTGGTGCCCCATGGGCACCCCATGGGCCAATGGGGGCATTTGCAGGAGGTCAGGGGACAGGAAGAGGGAGCGGTCAGGCATCTGTCACACACACCCAGTTGGGCCACAGTTCTTGAAGTAGCCATGTCCCTTTATCTGGGCTCTAGCTTTTGTTGAGTGGCTTCTCTCCCAAGGTGACAACTTTTGCCAGGCTCCTTGTCCTTCCAGGTCTAGAGGGGTGGGCTGAGGATGAGGATCAATGTCTCACTGTGGTTGTTCCTAGGTGCTCCCTGGATTCTCTTGACTTTGTTCATGCCTCTTGCTAGGCAGGCCCTCTACCACTTGAGCAACTCCATCAGCCCTGTTCATGCCACTTGAAGCAGCTCCGTCATTAAATTTCTTTAATTAAACACTCTGAGAACTTGAATGACCCATGTTTTTGCATTAACAGATACCAGCCCTTAAGACACCATCATCTGTGAACCATGATTAACTGGTGTTGATGAATAACCAAAATTGTGTTTCGGAAATGAGCAGTATTGAGCATGAGAGACTTCAGGGTACCACCACCATACTTGGGCCTCCCTCAACTGTCCTAGTAGGTAGGACTCTACCCCTGAGGGAAACTCTAGTGGCCCTTTGTTACCAAATCTCACTGAGGATTCATTTCTACATCAGTTTGTTCATTTTATACAATCATCTTCCAAAAGACAGACTATGATGTTAAACAAAGAATATTCAAGAGCCTAGAAGCTCTTGAAAGTAGCTTGCCACTTTCCATGGCTGCACCAGATGCCTTTTGTTGGCCCATCAGATCCCAGCACCAGCCCATCATAACCAGTCGCCCATGTGAATGATTGCTAGCCACACTTCAACAAGCAGCTCTAGGTGAGTGATCGAGGAGCTCAAGGAGACAGAGCTGCAGCATGCAAGATTAATGGTAGGAATGGCAGGCAGTAAGTGCAGAAGAGGGGAGAGGAAACGGGGTGGGGGAGGAATGCAAGTGGTCCTTACCCATGAGGGTCAACTTCCGGGGCCTCTGCTTGGACGTGATGACTTGCAAAGACGGGGCTATGGACTGAATGCGAATGACTGGCTGGTTGGGGTCATACGTTCCTGGCACAGCTAATTCAAGGTCCCGGCACATCAGAAGTTTCGGGGAAACATACTGCAGCTCTAAGGATGTAAGCTGTGAACAATCACCACAGGATTTAGTTTTCTGCCTCCAGGGAGAAATTTAACTGCAATTCAGTTATTTTTCATTGGATTGCTACAAGCAATTACTTGTTCCAAAGTCTGCGGGTAGAAGTGAAATAAAGATGAGTATAGGAAGTTCACAGGTAGCAAAATAGTTAACTCTGCCGGAAGCCTGAAAATCCTACCTGGGGCAGCTGCTTGGAGATCCGTCTGAACACATGATAATAGAGGTCCCAGGCTTGGGTGAGGTCCTTGACATTCCCTGATTTCATGTACTTCCTGCACCACTCTTGAGCCTCCATTAAATCTCGACCATATGCCTAAGAGCGAAAGCAGTGCAAATTTGCAAGTTGTCAAGGTGGCCACTAAGCCAGGAGGCTAAATCCTCGAGCAAATCACAGATATCCTTTGGGAGTCTACTGTGGTCAGAAGGTGCTGGGAAGCAACTCGTAAGCAAGAGTAGCTTTGTGGTTCCCAACCATGGAGCTTCCAGGTCATAAGGATGACTTGTTAGGAAAGGGTAAGGTAGAGAGCTAAGATAACCTCTGAAACTTTGTGATTTTCTAGTTAAAGTTTCAGGATGGAGCTGAAGGCATGGCTCATTGTTGGAGTGCTTGCCTGACATGGATGAGGACTTGAGTTTGGTCCCCAGTATGGCCAAAAAAAAGAAGTAGGGAGATTTCTGGTGGCTTTTTGTTTGTTTCTGAGGTACTAGGGTTTAAACTCAAGATCTCGTGCTTGCTAGGCAGGCACTCTACCACTTGAGCCACACTGCCAGCCCTTGTTTGTTTTTTGAGCCACAGTTCGAGGCCCAGGCTGGTCTCAGATTCATAATCCTCCTCCTCTCTCTCCCAAGTGTTGGGCTTACAGGCATGTGTCACCATGCCCTGCTTATTTCTGGTGTTTTTGTACACTCTGGCCACTGCTGGAGCACATTTCATTAAAGGCAGTGGAAGGGCCAGAAGGAAAGTGTCTGAAGAAGGCCATGACGATGTCCTCTTGTGCTCTCCTATCACATACCTGATTAAAGGATGTCTCCTTCAGTGTCTGAGGGCCCCGCTCCATCATAGCATGCAGGGGCTCCAGCACCTCAAACATGCCTTTCACATTCCTTTCCCCAAAGTACAGACGAGACGCCTCTTCCAGGCCTTCATGCCACATCTCATGCCAGAGGATGGCCACTCGAATCAGCTCCTCACTTACCTGGATCAAAGAGGGAGGAAGGGAAGCACCAAGGATGAGCTACACTTGGGAAGATCTGACTTGGCAAGCTAGAGTGAGTGTGCAGCAGTGTCATGGAGAAGAGAAACAATTTCCTGACACCTCTGGCTGGTGGCTGGGTCAGTGGAGGTCAGGTTGGCTCCAGACTCACCATCATGGCCTGTTGAACCAGGGTGTTACTGTGCTCACACATGTTCTTCAGAATCTTGTTAGCTGCATTGTGCCGGGCTGTTGTAGTAGACTTGGAAGCCACTGTCAGGGGGTAGATGAGGGCCTGAAGCAAACACAGAGGAATATTTACCAAGAGACGTGTGAAAGGAACCTGATGTGCGTTTTAAAAGAGGTTGGTCAAAGAAGTAGTAAGAATGACATTAATATCATGTGAGTCTATGAGGAAGGGGCCACTCCATCTTGGAGGGGACTTTTTCTTTTCAGGAAGTCCTGTAGGCCACCAGACCCCTGCTGGCTGGACAGACCTCCTAGGGTAGGACAGAACACTTGGCTCCAGTTCCTGAACTTGTCTCTGGAGCAGCTTTAGCAAAGGCTGGCCACCAAACCAAAGATCAATGATGCAGATGAGAAACTGCCCAGGGTTTCCACATACCTGGGGGTGGTACCGACCAATGTCTGTAAGAAGCTGGTGAATTAGCCGCCCCACCAAGGGTCTGGGTGTATCAATTCTTGCAATAAGCTGAGGTATAACCTGGCATTCAAAAAGACACAGCAGGCAGCAAATGAGAGATAAAAATAGGTCTTTATTCTTCTGACCAAGGAGTGACTCTTGTAACTTGTTTTGTTTGCTCTAATAGGCCCTGAAATGGTTCATTCCCTTTAGTTCTCTAACAGAAACTAAAGAGAATATGGAGTCTAGACTTTGGGACCAAGCTCAGCTTCCTTAACACATGCTGTCTTGCTAGTCTGACCACTACCTGCTTCCAAAAGGAGACACAGGAGAGAGAAAATTTATTAACAAGTTTCCTTACCTGTAACCAAGTGTCAATCTGGATAGCTTTCACCCCTTCCACTAGGGCTTCATTGACGTCTGGCCAGTGACCATAATCAAACCACAAGGTGAGGACTCTGGAAAAGACAGATGAGAAGTCACAGGAAATTTGATTTCCAAGCTTCTGTCTGGTTTTTGTCTTGGAGTCTCTGTGATGGGCAGCAGATCTCCTGGCTGCTCCACGAGGATCATGCCTAGTATTCTACTCTAGATCCTATCAGGGACCACTATGACCTATGCCAGATGAGGAGACAAGTCTGGCAGGACAGCCAAAGAGAACAGTAACCTGCATGTGTGGAAGGAGGTGCCTGCAGGACAGAAGCAACAGGAGGCCTGGTGCTTAGCCAGCCAAAGGTCCCCAAGTGGAGGAGGCTGCTTTGTCATCTCCAGCCTGTGTACTGACTAGTTGGGGTCATTTGTTCAGATCTCTCAAAGTGGTAGGGGGTTTAGAAGTACTATGGCAGACAGATGGGTTTGTTATTCCTATATAATAATGCACACACAGCAGCTTTAACTTTACTTCTCCTCCTTAATCTTCACAGCTTTCACCCTCACAGGTGGGGCCCGGCCAGCTATCATTTGTCAAGACACAGGAAGAGAAAGGTCCATAGGCCGACCTTGGTTGTACTGACCAAGACAGAGCCTGAAAAGAGGATCTGTATGTGTGACTTCAGTGTCCTGACACTAATAGGCCTCCCAGAGTTTCATCTTCTCCTTTTCTGATACCTGAGTGTATCCTGAAGGTTGTTGCCTCGTGACAAGGAGATAGAACGGAAGAAGCCCTGGACAGCAGGGACGGTGTACATCAAGAGGGTTTTGGACAAATCCTGTTGGAACACACATGTTAGTGACACTCTTGCCTCAGCTTTCTCGTGTAGAATGGACATATTCAATTTATACATACTCAATTTCATACTAATAGCAATTGCCTCAGAGGGTAGTTATGGATGCTAAATCAGTTATACAAGAAAAGCCTTTATCAGTATCTGACAAACAGCAAATACTCAGTAAGTGGCAATTGTTTTATAATCGTCATTGTCTTGGGATAATAGTGGCTTCCGGAACAGGGTGACAGGAGGTAAGGCTGAGGCTCTGTATGTTCTGCTCTCTGTCCCTGACAGCAGTCCTGGTGCATTCTGGACTGACAGCCCAAGGAGAGGTGAATTGGGAGAGGACAAGGCAGAGGACAGTTCCCCCAGGCCTTGTCCTCAGAATGGATTTGTAGCTGTGGTGGCCATCCACTCACAGTACAGTGTATTGAGAGGGTGAGCTCATCCACGTGGGAAGCACTACAAGGAGCTTTTCCTCAGCTTGGCTGGGGCAGCTCCCCAATACACATGCATGAACAAGTGCTGCCTCCCACCCACAGCAAAGGCAGACAGGCAGTGTGAGCAGCTCCATCCTGCGCCACAGAGAAAAGCCTCAGGCGCTTTAGCTCAGAGTTGTGCCTGACCAGGTTCTGAAGGAGGGGAAGGCTACCTCAGTGACCTTCTTCTGCAGAGGAGACGGGGTGGGGCTGTTTTCAGTGCTCTCAGCCTCACTCTCACTGTTGCTGCCCTCTGTGCTGGCAGTGGTGGCAGCAGTGGATGCTGTAGTGGCGGCAGCGGTGGTGTTGGTGATGTTGGCACCGCTGGCATGCCGTAGTTTCTTCTTCTCATCACGGGCTTGGTTCTGATGTTTGTAGTGTAGCACAGCTTCAAAGTTCATCACTGCCCATGCATGCCAGGCCTGTGTGGGGCAAGAGTCAAGGGTAGACATGGGAGCTGTGACTGAGAGAAGTGTGAGGCAGGGCTGTGATCACCTTATCCCCTCAGAGTCCATTCTCTGTGTACTTCCACAGACAGGAAGGGGGTGCTCTACTGAATCTAATGTGCCTCATTCATCTCATGGGAATTTACAACATAAGGTCCTACAACAAGTGCTGTGGGGTCACAGCAAGAGGGGCAAGATACAGTCCTTGTCTCAAGGGACATCTGGACTTTGCTCACAACCAGAAGGCCTACAGACTCTGCAAGACGGACTACCACTAGGGTCAGAAAGAGGTGGACAGTGGGCATACCAGGGGTCTGAGGAGCCGTGTAGGGAGGAGGGACTGGGCTAGACTTCAAAGGGCAGCTGTATCTGGGCAACAAGAGAACAAATGAGAGGGTGGCAGTCAGGACTGTTTCCCTGCAAGGGAACAGGACAGAGATGCTTGGAGGCCAGCACAGAGCATCCACAGGAAACAGATTTTCCTTCAGCTCAGGGCATAGCAGGGGAAGGAGGAAGGCTGGCAAAGTGCCAGGGTAGGCGATGGAGGCGTGAACATACAGAGCCAAGAAGACCCCACTTCATCTATGGAAAAATGGAGTTTTACTGGGTTGTAAAGTGTATGATACAGATTATTTAAGCCAGTAGAGGTTGTGGGCATGCAGCCACTTGTCACAATATTGCAGGGCAGTGATGTTGAATATTTATTAATTTATTTTAAAACCTGAGGCAGGGTTTTACTATGTAGCCCAGGCTGGTCTCAAACTCAAGATCCTCCTACTTCAGTCTCCCGAGAGTTGGGATTACAGATGTGCACCTCCATGCTCAGTGATGGTTGAGTCATTTTTTGGCAATTCTGGGGTTTGAACTCAGGGATTCACACTTGCTAGGCAGGTAATCTACTGCTTGAGCCACTCTGCTAGCTGATGGTTGAATCTTAACAGATCACATGACAGAAGGCAAGGACAGGCATCAAGAGCCAGCAGCATGAGGGAGGGTGAGCCTTTTCCATCTTTCTGGATCTAACATCTGGTCAAAGGCCTGGCAGCGAACCAGTATCTAATGTCTGCTCTATAGAAACCTGGTGTCTATTTGGATAAAGGAGAACTATTTGCATCTCTGAGGTTTTGAGCTGCAGTCCTCTATAGTATACCACTGTGAGGTAAGAAACCAAGGTAGAGTTTTATTTGGGACAGTAACTTTGCAGTGATAGCAGGACATTAAACAATCTACTAACAGTTGGACTTTCTGTATAATCAGGAACTTTCTTTGTGTTCCTTGCTGAAGACTTATAATAAACGTGTCCGCTTTCCCATCAAAGTAGAGCAGACTGATCATGACTGATGAGTAAGACTCTGCAGTGATCTGGGTTCAATTTTCCCATGCCTTCATTTATTCAACAAACACCTCTTATACATTATTAAATGCCAGGAATGGACCTGGAATCAAGGTGAATAAGAACAATAGTGCTATGAGATTCTGGTAGAAGGCATCATAAAAACAGAGACCTATACTTGGAAATGCTTTTAAACATTAAAACTACAATTCCTGGAATCAGGTTTTTTTCCCCTAGTGATCTACTTCTTTTCTAAAAGCTGAGTGAAAAAGGTAACTTTGATTAGGGCCCAGTTCTGATTAATAAGGTTCCCACTAAGAGTTTACGATATTGATTCGATATTCATTTTTTTCTAGCTTTGGATACACAGCTGTCCCAGAGAGGGGTAGTTACCATTCATATCACAAATGGGTGATTTACTTATATTTTTATTTTTTTGGTGGGACAGGGGTTTGAACTCAGGACTTTGTACTTGCAAAGCAGGCACTCTACTGCTTGAGCCAAACCTCTAATCCATTTTGCTCTGTTTATTTTGGAGATAGGATCTCATGAACTATTTGCCCAGGCTGGCTGCAAACCTTGATCCTTCCAATCTTAGCTTCCCAAGTAGCTAGGATTACAAGTGTGAGCCACTGGCACCAGCTCAAAATTTTTTATTTTATTTTTGCATTGCTGGGGATTGAACCCAGGGCTTTGCACATGCTGGAAAAGTACTGTACCAGTGGGCTACATCCTCAGTCCCAAATGGGCATTTTTCAGATCACCTTGAAGCATGCTTAAAGGATAAGATTTTTATTGTGAATGACTCTGTGATTTTCAGATGTAAGTTTGATCCTAGAAGGATTAATTCACAAAGTATTAGTAAGTTATGGAGATTCTGTAAAAAGAAAAAAAACCAATGACATCTACTGTATCAATCAGCTATTACAGGAGACCCCTCAGAAGAGGAATGAAAAAGGTGGAATGTGTGCTTCCCCAAAGACGTACATTTCCAGTAGTTACCCCCTGTACCAGCCAGTCACATCATTTGTACATTTTCTGTTGTCTTTTTGAAAGGCTTCCTGTAATATAACAGGATGTTACCCAGATCCTTCCAACAAAAACAAAAAAGTTAAGTTCTTAGCTTAGGAGTGGCTGGAATGGGAATCAGGAAGAATTTAGGAAGGAACAGATGACCCCAGGGAAGGCAAAGTTCCAGAGATCAACCATGTGTCCAGATGCTCCTAAGCAACCTCAGTGCCACACATAAAACAACGGTGTAACAATAAGTATTTCTCTCTGTCTCTCTCTCTCAGTGCTGAGGATGGAACCGGGGCTTTGAACCTGCTAGGCAAGTACTCTACCACTGAGCTACATCCCTAGTCCTAATGATATTTCTCAGAAAGAATCAATCAATCCTTCTGCTTCTCTGAAATGCATAAGGGACAGTGTAGGTTTCCTGTGCCTCTGACACAGGCTCCAGGCATTCCAGGAACAAGTCACAGTCTCAGACCAGCTCCCAGAGGCCTGGTTGTACCCATGAGAACACAGAGTACTCAGGCAGAGCTGTTGGGTCACTGGGCTCTGCACATGGAGAATAGTGAAGATGGATATGTGTATATGCCTCTGACTCACCTTGTACCAGCTGCGGTCATGCTCTGTGGCGGCACTGTAGTACTGCAGTACTTTGGGGATAGTGCTCTCATTGATGCCCTGGAGGTTCAGCTGCCACTCCCCAAGTTTCAGAAAACATCTGAAAACAGAGAACCAAGCCTCCCTGTTGTTCCCTTCCCACAAAGGCCCTCCTAAGGGGAACACAGACTTTTAGTGCATGCTAAACTCTTTAGTATTTTGTTCTTGCTCCCAAGAAGCAACATGTTAGAACCAGTAAAATGTTCAACCGCATGGAAGGAAGGGGATGAGATGTGCAGATAAACTTTTAAGATTCGTATTTTCTTCATAACCTTTGTCTTCCAAGGATAGCATAAACCTACCTGGTATAGGCAGGCCTGCATAAACCTATCTACCCCAAACTGAAGTTTTGTGGGAGATGGTTGTTACTTGTCTTATTGATTCTTGTATGGCTTCTTCCTTCCTCTTTTCCTCCTTCCATTTTTATTTTCCTTTTTTCGGTGATACTGAGGTTTGAACTCAGGGCCTCATGCTTGCTAGGCAGGTGCTCTTACCACTTAAGCCACTCCACCAGACCTTTTTTGTGTTGGGTATTTTCTTTTTTTTTTTTGGCAGTACTGGGGTTTGAACTCAGGGCCTCATGCTTGCTAGGCAGGTGCTCTACCACTTGAGCCACTCCACCAGCCCTTGTGTTGGGTATTTTCAAGATAGGGTCTCGAAAACTATTTGCTCAGACTGGCTTTGAAGAGTGATCCTCTTGATCTCTGCCTCCCAAGTGGCTAGGATTACAGGCATGAGCCACTGGTGCCTGTCTCTTTTTTTTCTTGGTGGGACTGGGGTTTAAATTGAGGGCTTCATGCCTTTCCCACTTGAGCCACATCTCCAGTCCCTTTTGCTCTAGTTATTTTGGAGATGGGAGTCTCAAGAACTATTTGCTTGGGCTGGCCTCAAATCTCAATCCTCCTGATCTCAGCCTCCCAAGTAGCTAGGATTATAAGTGTGAACCACTGACACCTAGTTCCTTCTTCCATTCTTTACAGTGATAATATTAACAGCTAACATCTACTGATTGCTACTGTATCCAGATACTGCTCTTAATTCTTGATGCTCTTTCCATTAAGTCTCATACCACCCTAGGATATAGGTTACCCTTACTATCCCTTTTTGGTGATGAGGAAACTGAGGCACAGAGAGGTTGAGTAACTAATCTAAAGTCAAATCTATCTACACATCAAATTAGCAGCATATCTGGCATTTGAAACCAAGTAGTCTAACCCTATATTAGCCATCAGGAGGAAGCTAGCACACGTGTACTCTTGGTGCTGAATCTTGGGACTGTAAGTGGTGGAAACGGTGAAACACCCAACTGATGACTGCCTAGGATCCCTACCAGAAAAGGTGAGAGATGTCGGCAGCAAGCCACCCAAGGAGCCCTGAATGTTCCTTGCTGCAGAAGCTGCAGGGTGGGGGCTCACCGGGCCATGAGCTTGTGCAGCTCCTGCTTGTGCTGCTGGTCCTCAGTAGCGATGGCATGCTGGGCTTGCTGCTGCATAGTCTGAACAAAGTGCTGCATGTGTTGGAAGGCATCGATCTGCAGCAGGACAAATGCACAGAGGGCGGCTTGGCATGGGGCCTAACCTGTCAGGCACATAAGTCAATCCTCTCCAAACAGAATACTCTAGGACATAGGGCTGGGCTATTCTAGATCATTCATAATTTATTCAAGTCAAATCTTAGCTCTTCTGTGCCAACTATAATTACTAGTTAAATAAGCCCTGGAAAAGTACGTGCCTGGCTATCCCAAATAACAATTCATATGAAGCAATCTGAAAGAAGTGCTTACTTCACTAGCAATATATCGCCCCAGAGGAAATTAGGCTAATGGGAAATTTTTTCAGCATGGTAAAACTTTAGTGTTTATTTACAACACTCTGGCACTCTGGATGCTCTAGCATAGCAAAAACTATAGATTCAAAAATAGAATCCTCAGTACCTAAATAAGAAGAGAGAAGGCCCTTGTGCATCCAAATGGAAGAGGGAGAAGACACTAGGTAGGCAGACATCTAGGTGAACAGGGTGGTTTAGGAGCAAACTGTTCAGAGCATCTTTCAGCAGTTAGACCTACAGCCACTATGGGATTTGATACAAAGCAAACAGAGGGCATGAGTTAGGAGCAGGGCTGCACTGGGGAAGAGGAACATAGAGTCCAGATCCACAAGTACCATGAAGGCCTGCCGCATCTAGACACAACAGCATCTTGATGAACAGGGTCCACACTATTTTTTTAAAGGGCTTCCAGGATGGAGATCGAACGCACAAACATCTAAAGCTCAAAAGAAAAAATGGCAAACTCTAAATCCAGTAACAAAGGGAGGGAAACAGCATGTGGGAGGCTATGTGTTCTTTGCTGCAGAAGAGGGAACTCAACACAGCAAGTAAGTAACAGGTTTCCTTATGGTAAATACTGTAAGTTTTTTTTTTTTTTTTCCTAGTACTGGGGCTTGAACTCGGGGTCTTGCGCTTGCTAGGCAGGCACTCTACCACAGGTCACACTTCTAGTTCAAGAAGTATTTTTAATAGAAATATGTCATGATGTGAAAATGGACTGAAGGGAAATGAAACTCCTTGGCTTGGAGGCCAGGACCAATCCCAGATATTTTTAAATATAAGGAATTAACTGGCAACAAGAGATAGGGTTTAACCCAGAGCTGGTACAATATGACAAATTATCAGACAGCTAATCCATACACGAGGATGGAGGCAGGCACACAGATGTTCCCATAGTGAGCAAGACACCTGTCTCCTGCAGACATCTGCCTTCACAGAATTCTAGCTTTGAAAAATGAAATGATTAACATCTCTCAGTCAGAAAATTATACATGTCTATCTAGTTTCTCTTCTAGGAGAGTTATACTGGCCAGACTTGGATCTGATTAAGAAGAAAGAGCCAGGCATGGCCTCCAGTACTTGGGAGGCTGAGGTAGGAGGATGGTAAGTTTGAGGTCAGTCTGGGCTACATAGTGAGACTCTGTAGGAAGGAGGAAGGAAGGAAGGAAGGCAGGCAGGCAGGCAGTACTAAAAAGATCATTATTGGGGTCTGAACTCAGGGCTTCACACTTGCAAAGCTAGCACTCTACTGCTTAAGCCACACCTCCAGTCCATTTTGCTCTGGTTATTTTGGAGTTGGGGTCTTGCAAAGTATTTGCCTGGGCTGCTCTCGAACTGTGACCCTTCCTGATTTCAGCCTCCCAAGTAGCTAGGATTATAGGCATGAGTCACAAGTGCCTGGCTAAGATCTATTACTCAAAAGGGGACTGCTAACTCAGAGTGATCAGGCAGAAACTAAAAAAGGACCTGCGATGCCAGATGCCTTTTAGAGCCCATCTACTGGGTGTCAGCTGGAGTTTGAATTTTTTTGATGCCCTTAACAAGAGGCTGAACAGAAAACAAACTGCTAGAGCTAGGGAGGCTGGGAATGAAAACTAGTATTGTTTATCCAGCACCGAAGAATACAGTATCTCTCCACTCTATAGCACAGGCAACTTATTTTCAAGGAATTGAAAATATATTTATAACTTTTCTTCATCCTCTAGAAATGAAGAGGAAGGAGATTCTCTCCCTTCTGTAAATGAAGGAGCAGACCTTGGAAGGAGGGGCTTCCTTCAGGTCCACCCAGCTGAGGCCAGGTGTAGTACTCTGGTTCTTGATGGTCCTACACCTAAGCGGTTTGTGACAGGAAGACCTTCTTGGCCAGTGACATTTCAGAGGGACTAGCCTATCTCAGGTCTCTGCCATGTGTCTCACCTGGGGCACTCATACCTATGACTGATGCCTTCCTGCAGGACAAGGGTATTGTATTCCCCACACACTTCCCCTGCCTGAGGCAAGGCAGAGAACACTGAGCTTGTTTATAGTGCAGGAAGTTCAGCTCAGAGAGGCCTGTTCAGCAGCACTAATTGCCTTGGTGTTTTCTCTGGGGAGTTCCCTAACAACACTCTGGGCTTGAAGCCCAAGCACCTACTTTAACTGGGTCTCTAAATCTTTAATCCCACCAGAATTTGGTCTGCTAAGAAAAGGTCATATTCTGTGGAGAATTCAGGGTCATGGTCATATGTTGAAAGAAGCTACTGCTTAGTTGAGATTTTCACCCAAAAGGTGCCTTCTGCCACCTTTGGCAAGACAAAAACTTGGAGGTCATACATAGAAAAGAACCAGACCAGATTCAGACCCAGCCAGCACCTTCTGTTTTTCTCATTGCCTGGAGGAGGTCAGGCTTTAAATTAGAAATATTCTGGCCTGGGAGGCTCAGAAACTGAAAAACAAAACAAAAATTCAAGCAAGACCCCCAAACTGCACATTTGGTAAAAGAAGAAATGGTTCATTAAAAGCCCAGTCAAAGACCAAGTGCCTGCACACAGGGATGCCGGTTCCACTCTAGGTGGCATTCAAAGTCACAGGTAGTCAACCACCTACAAAAGAAGTCAGGTACTAGACCAGTCCAACCTTCCAGTATGCCTTCACAGACATAGCTTTTATCAGTTCGTTCCACAGCCCCAGTTCCAGTGCCTGATTTTCATTCCTCTCTCGTTAGGGGCCCCATTGCTGGGACCATAACAGGGAGAGAAGGCTGTGAGACTCCTTCCTCCTTTTGGAGCAGGGAGGGGGAGCCAAAGCAGGTGTGATTTTTGCCTTCAGGGCCTAGTTTTTGTTAATCACAAACATCACCCAGGGAGATTATTTAAAAACAAAAACAAAAACCAAGAGCCACAGCTATTTCTCAAGGGCTTGTCTGCAAATAGGAATTCTACACTGGCTTCAAGATAACTTCCCTTCCCTCTTTCAGCTTTATACCCTGCTTATTGCTTTTGAATCCAAACTGATGACAAGAAAGGAGACCAGAAGTCTGACAAAACCAAATTGTTATTGTGAAAGCTCTAGTTCGTATTTTCCTTTCTTTTTTATTTTTTTGGTGGTACTAGGTTTGAACTCTGGTCTTACATGGCTAGGCAAATGCTGTACCACTTGAGCCACACCTTCAGCAGCCCATCTAGTCTGTATTTTCATGAATATGCTACTTTTGTACCCAACAACCTGTCTTCTCTTAAGGGGCAGAAACTGTATCTTTTCTGTGTCCCACCACTTTCTTGATATGAACAAATATAACTATGACCACATTCACTGGTTTGATCAATGATAAATGTACATCTCCTTGACCGAGACTAACTTTGTGAAGCTAGGAAGAAACTCCCCGACATTGCAGGGAGGTGGTTCCTTTCTGGCAGTGAGGTATGGATCAGAGGTGAGGATTCTGGAGAAGGTGGTCTCTGTTGGATGATGGACACGTACCTTGCGAGCACTCTTCCACATATTTTTCATGTAGGCATAGGTCACCTGAGGGTGAACTGTTGGCAAAGGATGGTCAAGTTGTCGAGATGGATCAACTCCCAGGAGCAACACTAAGGTTTTATGAGCAAGAGCCTTAAAAACAAGAGAGAACAAGTTATAAACAGAACCAGAGTAGAAGCACCACCCCGCTATGTGGTAGGGTCACTCACCAGCCTGCCGCTCTTGCCACAGAGGCTTGCGTATTTGAGCCAGGTTCTCATGTCCTCATGAGGGTTGACCACAAGGGACCGCACCATGAGGATTTTCTGCCAGTCCTCCACGATACGCTGGCAGCCCTGGAACATTCAGAAATGAGGGTTAGACTTGTCTTCTGCTCTACCTTAGTCCTCCATAAGCAACAGCAAAATCCACTCTGGAACAAAAAGGAGACTCAGGGATATAATCTTAACTTTCTCAAGTGCAGGATACAGTGAATGAAACACATCTTAGGGACTTCTCAACAATTTGAGAAGCAGTAGGGTATGGGGCCTAGCGCTTGAATCCTGGCTCTGCCACTCACTATGTGACTTTGGGCAAGTTATTTAACCTCTCTGTGACTGATTTTTAAAGTGACTCAAAATAGTGTCAACTTCACAGGGCTATGGTGATGATTAAATAAATTTTTTCACTTTCTTTTATGGATTCTGAACAATGCATTCATAATGTTTTTGCTTTAGTTTCTGATTAAAGATGATTATCACTGACAAAGAAATTAAATTTAAAATGTATCATTCAAAACCCAAAAAACTAATTAAGTATATAAGAAGTTGAAACAATTAAATTTCCAAATGATACTGTTGGTAACTTGGTAGCATTTATGTTTCTGACATTATTAAAGCCTAAGCCTGCACTAGATTTTTTGGGACACTATGAATGTTGGCCATCTTGGGCTCTCTCCTCTTCATTTCTATCTGTCTCGGATCAAAAACTATATACAGACGGGGAAGTGCCTCATTAATTTACACATCTGAGTTCTTTGAAATTAGGAAAAACAGAACAAGTTAATCATTATCAAAGGGCTAACTTTGTATCAAATGATTGCTATTCCTTTTTTTACCCTTTCTAGTAAAAAGTTAGACTCAGGAGGGGAGATAGGTTCCCGAGACTTGCTGCTTCATGGGCAAATTCCGTGAACCCACAGAGCTGTCCACTCTCTGTAGAAGTAAACTTAAAAAGTCTACCAACAGAGCTCCCTGGCTTTCAATGTGATGGGGTACAGCCTGAGCCTGACCTGAGAATCTAAGATAAGAGGACACCCAGTGCAGCCAAAGTTGACCTCTCAAACTGCCCCGTGGCAGACACTGCCTGAGGATTTTAATCTTAATGACCTGACCACAAAATGGCAGTTTTCCAGCCCAGACAGTTTATTGAGTGTTTTGACAGCAAGCCACCCACAAGAGCCAATTTCCACCACAGAGTAATGCTTTATTTTCAACCTTGGATTATAGCTTTTCATCCCATTAACTGTGACAATGATTTGGAAAGTCAGAAAAACAGAAAAAAGTACATTGAGTGATGGTTTTGGTTATTTATCATCAACAGCTAGCTTCTCCCAGATGTTGAAATAATTTGGTTCCCTGTGGGCCCAAAAGCATCTTTTTGTCTGAAGACAGGAAAGTCATGAAAGCTTAAGGCAATGACAGTATTCTTAACTTGGTACAGTCAGGCATGAATCTCTCCTTTCCAGAGAGACTCATTCTATCCACAACCTTCTCCAACTCTATATTTGTAAGTCCCACTTGTCAAACTGTCTGAAGATTCATCAGATTTCTGATTTGGAAAGTCCTCACACCCTTACAAGCACTTAAAACACCAGGGTGTGTACAAGCCAAGTGGGAAATGCCTGCTTTGTGGAATTCCTTTTGGTGCCCAGGAGACAATGTTCCATCAAAACATTCACCGGGCATTTCACAATTACTAATAAAACATGGAGAAGAACTGCGTGTGCTCACTTCAGAGCCAAAGCGGCTGTATTCACAGGCATTCCTTTGCCTGCTGCTCGTTCCTGTCCAGTGGAATGTGTCCTGAGCTTCCCAGACAGGAATGCAGTTTAGAGTCAAAAGGTTTGAACAGCCCACTGAAAAGCCTGGAAGCACAGACCTCAACTGGTCTGCAAATAGAATTTGGAATTAGGTATGGATCTGGCCAAGAAATGGTTTCTAATTGAGGGGGTCCATTGTGAGAAGCAGGGAGAGCAGTGGCTGTTGGAGCAGTAAAGGCTGGCTGTTTCTCTCCCCTCACCACTTTCTCTTTTATTTGCGTACTAGGGATGGAACTCAGGGCTTCAAGCATGCTAGGCAAGTGCTCTATCACTGAACTACATCCCAGCCTGCGTTCTCTTTTGCTGATGATCTTTCCTTCTTGAGTGGTAATTCAAGGAGTGGAGGAATGGCTATCCTTTGCAAGAACACTTGAAACCCTCCCAGGTCTGAGAGGTGACAGCTCCTCATGCTACAATGTTCAGAATGCTACACTGCAATGTAGATGGAAGCCTTGGAAAAGTTTCTTTATAAAAGGAAACCACAGTGGAAACAAGTCTGAAAAGAAATGCTAGGATGTCCCTAAGGAACTGACACCAGCAATAGCTGATGGTTGAGAACATCAGGCAATCCCGTCTGAAAAGGATACTGCTGGTGGAGTGGCTCAAATGGTAAGAACATTTACCTAGCAAGTGTGAGGGCCTGAGTTCCACCCCTGCTAAACAAAACAAAACAAAACAAAACAAAAAAACCCAAAGGAAAGCTGGATACTGGGTGGCCAGGCCAGTAAGTATATTTGGAGCAATGGTTCTCAGCTTTTTTTTTTTTTGCAGTACTGGGGCTTGAACTCAGGGCCTACACCTTGAGTCTTTTTGTGTTACGTATTTTCAAGATAGGGTCTCGCAAACTATTTGCCCAGGCCAGCTTGGAATTGTGATCTCCTCATCTCTGCTTCCTGAGTAGCCAGGATTATAGGTGTGAGCCACTGGCGCCTGGCTGGTTCTCAGCTTTAGTTGCACCCAGGAGCCATCTGGGAGCCAGGGACTAATCTGATTCTGGTTCTACCCCCAGATGCAGGATTTATTTGGGCTAGGGAGCAGTTCTTAGGTGATACTGTTGAGGCTAGGTTTAGGAACTGCTGATCTTGAGACTAGGATTCCCAACTGGCTAGTCTTAAGAGTCACTTTTTAAACACATTCTCTATTATTCCTAGAGACGAGTAAGAAGAGGCTTCACAACTGACCACTCTCTCACAGCTGAAGTGGAGGTGAAGAGCCTTTCTCAGCTGAGGGGGCAGAAAGAGCATCTGGAGTGCAAGCAGGAGGGTGGCGGCACAGGGATCACGTAGGTCATGGGCAGGGGAAGCAGGGCTGTCTACCAGCTCACCTGCAGTCTCTCCCACCAGATCTGCCGGATGATCTCTCGTCGCTCAGGGACAAGTTTGTACTGGATCACCTCCTCCAGCTCAGACAGCATGTGGCAAGAAACCATGGCCTGACGGAAGCATAAAACACATTTCAGTCCAATTATTACACTAAAACCCAAAAGGCAGGATTCATTTTAATCATTCTTTCTGATGTCACAGTATCTGCTGACCCCAGGAAACAAGCATGTTCTCTGTAGCCTGTGAGTCCTCAAGAGTCCATTCTAAAAACAGAACTAAAGTAGCCTCAAAAGTGACAACGTGCAGACTCACCCCATATGCCCGACTGTAGCTCTCTCCTGCCATTGCAGTTAACTCAGCATCCAGCAAGTCCCTGGCCTTGTCGATGCACTAGGAGACAAATAAAGAACCCCTGAAATGGGCTCTGGACTTGGGAATTTAAGGTTACTTTATGGCTTCTCAACTAGCTGCAGAAGTTATTTATGTTAAACTCTAGTGATGAAGAGAAAAATTCTGCAAGGAAGGGAAAAAATCTTTCCCAGACTGAATGGCTTGAGAAGGACACTATCCAATTTCTTTCTTTTTCTTTTTTTCTTTTTTTTTGGTGGCACTGGGGTTTGAACTCAGGGTCTCATGCTTTCTAGGCAGGCACTCTATCACTTAAGCCACTTCACCAGCCCTTTTTTTGCATTTTTTTCTTTCAAGATAGGGTTTCAGGAACTATTTGCTTGGGCTGACTTCAACTTGTGATTCTCCTGATCTCTGCCTCCTGAGTAGCTAGGATTATAGGAGTGAGCCACTGGTGAGTCTTTGACTCAGAAGGCCCAGGTCTGGGTTCCTGCCATGTACTTTTTAGCTCAGGCACACCACAGGACTGCAGTTTGAGTCTTCTCTGTGCCATCAATGAAAACTACTCATGAAGAGCTTTTCCTTTTCTCAACATTTAAGGTTAATTACTGTGTTCCCATCCCCAAAGGGCTCAGATCATTTACCAGAACAACTCATGGAAGACAGTCTGGTGCCTGACAAGGCGAATGCAATCATGTCGTTGTTCCATTCCACAAGTCAGCACAGATGTGCCTCCTTGGGTGCTGTCCTTGCATGACCAGAAGACCCTTGTGACTGATATCTGCTGCACTATGGGGATCACTAGCTCTGAATTCTCCTTTGGTGAAACTTATCTCATTATAAGAGTGCTAAGGCATGGCTGGGCACTGGTGGCTCATGCCTGTAATCCTAGTTACTTGGGAGGCAGAGATCAGGAGGATCACGGTTCGAGGCTAGCCCAGGCAAATAGTTTATGTGATGCTATCTTAAAAATACCCAACACAAAAATGGGCTAGTGCAGTGGTTCAAGTGGTAGAGCGCCTGCTTAGCAACCCATGAGTCCTTGAGTTCAAACCCCAGTACTGTTGAAAAAAGACAGAATGCTAAGGCAAAGTGGTAAAAAGGTGCAACAATGATTGAAGAAGTTAACTCCCAGAGCTATTGCAATGGCAACTTCCAGAACCCATCCTCTACCCTCCAAACAGAACACAGTCCCTGCTGATGTGCTGCTGGTCTTCTTCTAAGTGAGTATTATGCATCAAGGCCATTCTAACAGAGCCAAATAAATCAAGAACTGAAGTATAATAGCCTATTTACCCAAGCCCATGAGCTTAGGCACTGACAGGACATGTACCATAATTTTTTCTTCGCTGGAATATCTGGATACATGTAAGTTTTTACCTGTTGTGCCAAGGAGAAGAGGTCCTGATGTAATGCCAGCACAGCTCTATAAAATGCACCATCATGGGTGTCCCGTGGTATCATACAGGTGTACTCTTCCATGCTATCCCACTGACCTACATTCACAAACACATGTAAGGAAGCACTAGGGTGGTCAGCCACTTGGACTAAAGGCAACATCTCAAGTAAGCTATGCAGTTGTTACTTTCACTTAGCTTGTGGTACAAACAAGTCAAATGAACTTGAGCCTGATGTATGAAAATCCTGCAGAAACCCTCTATCTATTGTGGGGATTGATGTAACAAACCACATTTGCCTTCCAAACACACAACTACATTGCTGTCCCAGAAAGCATCATAAAAGATGAGAGGAAGCGCATGAGGGCACAGCCTGCACATCAGGTGGGTTGAATGCCATCCCTCACTAAGCTCAAGAGATCCTACAGGCCTCCCTAGGTGAGAAGAAATCACATTCTTCCCTACAAGAGAAGCACCTTGAAGTTCAATGGTACACTGGGAAATCACATTTTTCTCTACATAATTGAAAATGGCCATTACGCAGATAGGGGACAGGATTAGACAAACAGGTTGCCCTTTTCACTCTGGCAATATCTTAGCTTCAGGAGGGAGGCGATAAATATTTTAAGAGGCTCTGTTGCAAAAGAAAGATGGGCTGGGTCACACGGCAGTGGTCTTTGTGTCATCTTAGATTCGGGGAAATGGCTGCATCCAGGAGGAAACACGCACTTCCCCTGGGGTGAGCTGGCATCAAATGCCAGGACTGCTGAGAGCATCTGCATAGAAGATGTCAGCCTCATTAGCTGCAAACTGCAGGGCTGTCAATTTTACAAGGCATTTTCCTGCCTTTCTCACCAGACCACTGGCTCATCCATTCTCAATACCTCTGGGCAAAAGCAAATAGCAAATGATGACTCCTCAGGAAGTAATTTGTTTTTGAAAGATGTTTTGGATCCAGTCCAGAGCTCACAACAGAAAAAGGAAAGAAGCTCTGTGACTCAGGAGGGATTGAAAAGAGGTGAGCAGTTGTGCCATCTTCCTCCAGACTCCACATTCTACCTATCCTTTCTCCTCCTATTAGAAATGTCTTTGGAACACGCGCTTCCCAAGCCCTCAGCTGGGCCCTGGTATCAGAAATCTACATTTCTGTAGGGATTAAAAGGAAGACTTCTGCTTTACAATAGTCTAGAAGATGTGAGGTGGGTGAAGTGTCAAGCAGCAAGAACAGAGAAAACAAAATAGTCAAAATGTTTATAATTGTTGGAGCAGGTGAAGGGTAAGTGGGGTTGTTGTACTATTCACTTCTAGATATGCTGGGACAGTTTCACACTAAGAAATAAGAGGCAGACAACTGCTTTCTCCTTTTACTCCTGTTTGGAATAAAGTCAGGATTGATAGAAATCCAACAACCATACTAGATTATGACATGGACTAGGTATGCCATGTAAAAATGCGGAAAAAAAGCTATTGACAATGGAACCAAAACACCAGTCTGGGAATGCCTACCTCTAGACTTTATTTATCAGGGAGAAAAATAAACCAGTATTTTGTTGAAGACAAACAACAACAAATCCCACTATGGTTTAAGAAGAAATACATTTGATCTTTGCTCCTGTTTCTTGGCACAGGGCTCCTAAAACCCTAGAATTTCCTGCATGATAAGAGTGCTCCCAAACAATGAGACCCAAAAGGTTGGCAAATGTACCCTCATGCACCCTAGCTCTATGGAGGGAGAAGCTCTTGTGTTGCAGACCCTTCTGGACTTTGCCCTCTGCACCTGTTCACATGTGTTTTTTACAATAAACTGATAAACAAAAGTAAAGTGTTTCCCTGAGCTCTGTGTGGCATCCTAGTAAATATAGAACCTGAGAAGATTGTGGGAATCCTGATTTATACCAGGTCAGCAGAAACACAAGGCACACCCTGGTCCTTGAGTCTGAAGTGGGGGCAGTCTTGTGGGTCTGAGTTCTTAAACTGTGGGATCTGACGCTATTTCCAGGTACACAATGTCAGAATTAAAGGACCACCCAGCTGGTGTCTGCTGGAGAAATGCATGGTGTGTGTGTGAAACCCGATACTCATGGTGTCAGAAGTGTTTGGTGTGAGTGCATGGAGTGTGGTGTTCTCATCCACCACATCTCAGTTCTGACACTTGCTCATTGTCTTCTTTGGCCTCCTTATGAGGATTCATTTTACCCATGCTTGCTAACAAGTTAGTCAAAATCCTACGGTAGAAAGGACAGAGGAAGATGTAGAAGTAGGAGGGCAGAGACAGTTTTATACTTCTACAGACTGACATCCTCCTTGTAGCCACGGTGCCTCAATTCTTTGACAAAGCCCCAGCTTCACTTGCTCCTTCCTTGGCTGGGTGCCCATGCGGAGTCTTACCTAAACCCCACGCCGCTGCAGCAGCCATCCGGGCCATCTTGGCTTGGGTCTCATCATTAACCAGGGTCCACTTTTCACAGCACTGCTGGTGGAGCTGCCCCCTGAAGGAAAAGAAAACATGCAGTCAGGTTAACCAAAATTCCCTCTACAACCCACCAACCTTCCTCTCCAGCCCCTTGGGTTAGCTGGTGCTATAGAGGAACTGGAGTAACTGGGCCTGCCTTGAACTGGGAGCCTTTACATAGAAAGCACGTTCTGCTGGGTCATATAACAAAGAAGTGGATGGGCTACTTGTGGTATTTATGGCCTGGTGCTCATAATTTGAGTGTAAGTTTATCAGTGGATAGGGACCGTGTCTAATTCTATGTGATGTGAAATGCCCTGAACATCTGGCACCTTCATAAATATTGAATAACTTCTCTCCTCTGCCAGTGCAGTCTAGGCTCTTTTCCTTTGGCAGGCCTACAGAGAAAGCAATCTGAAAAGACACATCTGGACATTCATTTTGGGCCCAAGCTATAAGGAGAGTAGCTCTTAAAAGAATTGGACAAATGGTCTCAGTCTGAGATGAAAACCACATTAAGTCAATCTGTACAAAAGAAAGGCTCTACAATGGTCCATTGACAAGAAATCTAGATGCTGCTTATTTTCAGAATGTTGCATAATTACCAAGAGTATGGATGAGGACTAAGAGACCCTGATACATAAAAAGAGTAGAAGTCCTGTCAAGAATAGGGACTTCCTATTGATGGTTAAAACTGCGCCCTCCTTAGGAACGGGGTGTGGCTCAGTGGTATAGAGTTCGTCTAGCACATGCAAGGTCTTGGTCTCAATCCCCAGTCTGTGTGTGTGTGTGTGTGTGTGTGTGTGTGTGTGACAGACTGTGTGTCACATGTCACGGGGGGTGGGGTGGGGGAGACAGAGAACATAACTACTATCCTTCCATGTTCCACTTATGAATGAAGGAAATAAAACTCTCCCACTGTGCAAAGGCCAGCCCTGATTTCATTCAGGTGAACTTCAAGATCATTTCTGCTGCTCTTTAAAAGATATGCTGCAGTGTGTTTTAACTTGGCAATTGGAAGTGAAGTCAAGAGAAAGGGCTTAAGTTCCAAGTGGCTTAGGTCAGAAGTCTCGTGTGACATGACCCACACTGTACAATAAGGTGATGTTGGAGGATTAAGATGCTGAAGTCAACCATGCCGAAAGGATCAGACTGACCCCACTGAGCTTATGTGACCATGCTTAAAGTGCTCAGGGCCATTATCCATTATTGAGCAAAGTAGAGAGTAACTTCAGTTTCTCTGGCACATGCTCAAGCACTCGATATTCACTAGAGACCAAAAAAAAAAGAAGTGGGTGACTTTGCCCTATGCATTCATTGAAGCTCGTGAGAGGAGTAGGATGAACAGAAGCATTGGTTTCTTGCTACCCAGACTTGGAAGCCTTCACTCCTGAGCTCCTCTAGGATTAGATCAGAGCAGCGGTTCTCTACTACATGCATCAGGATCCTCCAGATGGCTGGGCATGTCCCCATGAGCTTCTGTTTCCAATTCAGCAGGTCTGGGGAGGGGTCCTGAGAATGCGCACTTCAGACAAGTTTCCATGGGATGTCAAAGTCGCTGCTGAAGAGGCCAGTTTGACAACCACTGGCTCAGAGCATAGGAGCAGTTCACCTCTGCAGTATATTTTTGTTAGGATCTTGCCTGGAGATTCCTATAGTCTCCTGGAGGTAGGAGAGAAAGCTACATCATCTCCAAAAGGTCTTTCCAAGCTGAGAATTCAAATTTTTAATGGTTGGTGCCCATAGGTAAATCAGCCTCCCTCTATTTTTTTTGTCAGGATTACCTGTTTCTGTACCACAGGTCCTGGGATTTAGTTTTTCTTTTCATCTACAGGCAGGAATCAAGCCTGGAGATTAAATCCCACATACTGCTGTCCCAAGAGAAGGAGCAGGGAGCAATGCAGAAGCCCTGCTAGGACTTCTGACAGTGACACAGACGCTACCTGAATTCACCAGGTATGTGGCTGTGAGCAGCTGTCAGAGCCCACATATGACATTCCGATAATAGACACACAGAGGCAGGGGACACTCCTCCCAAAGACAATTGGTACAAACACAACACAGGATATATTAAGTAAGTCTGAACTCTCAAGGGTGCGTGGGGGTTGAGGGACAAAAACAAATAAATAAAAAATATAGTCCATGAAGCAACAGCTAGGTAGGATAAGTTTCTGGGTCACTGCTGTACACCAGGAAGGGACTAGGCAAAAGACCACCCTTCCTGACTCTGACTTCCCACCTAAAGCAGAGGCAGAAAGTTTAGCAAACTCTTCCATCTGGAATGCCTCCCTTGGTTGGCTGCTTGTGATCTCAATCCAGGGGAATCTGTTTTCAAAGGCTGTGTGCAAACAGTATGAGGAGGGGTTACCTTGGTTCACTTTGGCTGCAGGTAGGCTGCATGGGCCACAAGACTAGGAGGATGTCTCTCCTAATTAGCCTCCTGGAGGTAGATGAACACAGGGAGAGGGGAAGAGTCTTAACTCACTGGAAGGTTCAGATCATTCCTAATGCCACCTCAGGTAAACACCTGCCTTAGAAGGGTTCAGAATATATACATGCTCAAGCCAAAAGAAATTTAGAAATTGTACTTTAAACAGAACTGACTGATTAAAGCATATCAGAAAACCGAATATGATCAGGAAAAGAATTCTGCTTCTTTCATCTCTTTTTAAATCCTTTTTAGTCTCCTGCATTCTTAAATCCCTTGGTCAGCACCACTAGCCACTTACACTTTATAGATAATTATAAAATTGGAAAGACCCCAAGAGATCAGATGAGAACTGAAAAGCTAGAAGACCTGTATCACTCCACTCTTGGGAGATTGCAGGCAATCTGTCTCAACTTGAGATTAGTTTCCTCAACCATAACGAGGGGACTGGACAAAATCACTCTCAAGTAATCACATCTCAAGTTTCTTCCAATGAATCTAAGCTGTTCTTACTTAGTAAAACCAGAGACGGTGGTCATCTGTAATTTGGAAACGGGGATGACTGGAAGGGAAAGGACAAGAAATACTTCAAGAAGGAAGAAATGGTAGGGAGGATTTCAAAAAGTAGAAAAGGAGCAGCAGGAGCTGAGATGCAAGTCTGAGGAACTAAATGAATGCATGTGGGGTTTGAAGAAGGGCAAATAATATGGCCAGAAGTCCACTGAGAATTGCTTAAAGAACTGGGCTGAAGCCACAGTAAGACAGGCTTTGAAGTGGGCATGGTGTCGCACTTGGAGGCTGAGGCAGGAGGATTGCAAGTTGAGGCAAGCCTGGGCTATATAACAAGACCTTGTCTCAAAAACAAAAAATAATACAAAAAAAAAAAAAAAAAACTGAAAGAAAGAAAGAAAAGCTTTGAAAGCCAAGCTGTGATATTCGAATGTAAATCCAAAGGCCACGGGGGACTCTAAAGCATTTCAGGAATTGATTAAAGCTGAATTTTAATAACATCTTGTTTTATCTTTCTTTTAATAAGATATAGCTATATAACAGTAGGGCTGAAAGCAGAAAAAAAATTGTTCTTGAAATAATGTGATTAATTCTGAACACATCTGTCTTTTGCCACCAATCAGAGCTTACGTAACAAGACCATATGATAATGGAAACATTCTGTATGGACTGTCCAGTGTGGCAGCCATCAGCCCCATGTGCTACTGAGAGCCTGAGATGTCGCCATAGTGACATTTTAAATTTTATTTAAATAGCTGGGGACTGGAGGTGTGGCTCAACCGATAGAGCACCTGCCTCACAAGCATGAAGCCCTGAGTTCAACCCCATTACTGCCACCAAAAAAGCTGCACGTGGCTAGTTGTTACCAAATTGGACAGTGCATTTTTAGATACTTGTCAGACTTAAAACAGTTTTGGTTGTATAAACCAATGAAGCAGATTTGATACAATATGCTTTCTCAATTTGTTGAGGGGAATGAATATGAATTTATTTATGGAAATAAATAACACTTTTGAATTCTGCCTAATAACAGTTAATTCAGGTTGATTTTGGGCTGGAAGTGTGGCTCAAGTGGTAGAGTTCCTGCCTAGCAAGAGTGAAGCCCTGAGTTCAAACCCCAGTGCCACAAAAAAACAAAACAAAACAAAAAAAAACCAAAAAACAAACCAAAACAAAAAACCCTAAAAGTCTAAGCTAATTTCAAATAATTTTTATCTATCTATCTATCTATCTATCTATCGTCCAATACCTAAGGCTAAATTCACTGACATTAACTTTTCATGCAAAACATTACAACATCAGAAGCTGGTGGGGTGGCTTTAGTGGTAGAATGCCTGCCTGGCAAGTATGAGGCTCTAAATCCAAATTCTAGCACCGCAAAAACATACAAAAAGCACTATAACATCTTCTGTCATGAGAATTAGAAATGCCTTGTATTGAGAAGTAAAAGCAACAATCAACTTTCCAAAAGAATATCTGTAAATGAGGTACAGAAGGCTGTCCTCTCAGACCTAGTCTCTGTTTACGTGCTTGGTCCATCAACCTCACTATAGAGGCTGAACACATTCATGGCTATCTTGTCCTACAGTTACAAAGTTTAATGTTTTGTTTTTTTTCAAAAGAACTACTTTGCTATTTAGCAGTTGAGAGGGGATAGATATTAAAAATACCAAAGTGACAGATGAATCCTAGGAAAATTTCAAGTGGAACAAGGTCAGAATGTGAAGTAAGAACTGTTTGGGGAAAGACACCCATGGCACTCAGGCCACATCCCCAAATCGGCTCACCATTCCCCCAAGGCCTCAAGGCAGCGCATACGGCCCAGCATCAGTTCCGGATCATCCTTGTTGGTGTCCATCTTTTTATCATAGGCAACAAGAGCATCCTCCCACTCATGTAGCTTCTCATACCAAGTGGCCTGGATCTCCTGGAAAAGAAAGAGAACTACTGTGAGTCACAGAGAACAAAACTGTTTTTAATACACATACTGTTTCCTAAGGTGGTCTGTTGTGTCCATGACACTTCACCTATATCACCACAGTATGTCTGAGCCTGGATTGAAAGGGTGCAGGTAGAAATGCTGGTTCCTGGGCAACAAATGGACAAATTCAGGATCCTAGGATAATTTCAGAGCACATGTCAGGCCACGCTCACCCCCATCACTTCCTGCCCAGAATAGGTAGGGGTCACTGGAATACCAGCAAGACAAGGGAAATCATTCATGGGGAGCAGAATCCCAACCAGAGCCCCTTCAAAGGTGTTAAGGCCTGAATTCATTGGAATGCTGACATTGGACTGTGTGGCAGGGATGGCAGCTGCTTTCCTCCTGAAGCCAGAAAGACCAGGACACATCTGCATATTTGCTCTAGGCAAACAACTCCCTTTTAAAAAGTTTTTGATTCTCTGCATCCTTAATGCATTTTTAAACTTTCAGGAAATAATTTAAAATACAATAGAACACTACCACTTAAAATTCTTTGGACAACTTTTCCCTTCTTCTATAATCTACCATCCAATGTTCCCTCCTGTGTAGCACTTGGCATCTCTACCATTGTCAGAGCCAAAGGAGGGATTCCATTACCCTGGCAGACAGAGTGCCACGCTAATGGTGACTGTCGTCCACATAAGAGGTGCTACAGTCTTGAAGTTACGGACCAGGACTCCATATATGACCAGCAGACTGTTTTATGTGTTTTCTGTCTGCCTTCCTTTTGCCCTTCACCTAAGTTTGTCTTCTGGGCTTCTTTATCAGCTCAGTAATTGACTATTTCCCCACTAGGCCAGGGTAATGACTCTCCAGGAGTTCTTTAACAATGGTATGATTCTGCAGTGCAATTTGTATGACATAATGCAAGGCCTACATTAGTTTCTCCCATTACCTTCCTCTTTCTAAATAAAGCTATTGTTTGTGTAGTATATATACTAGCAACCACTCTGCTGAGCTGCCTGAAAGGATCTGAGCCTACATAAGGAGGTCATTTCTACCACAGACCGTTAACTTGTACCTCCTTCTCCTAGTGAGTACTGGTAGCGCCAATTCCCTCTGCTGCCTCTGCACCAACTGCGGCCACAGCAGCCTTCCCCCAATGCCAGTGGGGATTGGCAAATGGGCATACCTATCTCTGTGCAAGGTAAACTATCTAAGATTCATTTTTGAAGCCTGTCGAGAATAATGCCTCTCTAAATGACTAAATATGAAGGAGAAAACTTAAAGAAATACAAGTGACTGACAAAGACAGTGTAAAATAAAAAACTCTTAGAAGAAACTAAGCACTGGTAAAACGCCCATGTTGAATTTTGACACAAGGAGCCAGTGACTAATGTGTGACACATACTCAGAGAACCAGCAGAAAGTAGAGAGAGCAGCATATGGAACAGGTCAAGTAGGGGGCAGGATATTTTGAATTGCAATGGACTGCAGAAACTATAAGATTGAGGCAATGAATCACACAAAATTCTAATGAGATTGCCATTATATAAATTGTGCTGAGGAAGCACAGGCTCTGCCAAGAAAAAGCAAACCACTGTCAAACTTAATATGATTCAGCTACCTAAATAAAACAGAAAATCCACCACGGTTTAGCAATAAGCCCAGAGCTAATGGCATCTTTAGAACCTGAAGTGGAGATACTTTCATTTACGTTGGCATTCTGCACAGTAGGGAATAAGCCATCTGCTGGCAGATCACCTGAGCACCAGATGTGTGCAGAGCCCTGGTTTCAATCAGCACTTACTGGGGTCCAAGTTCTGGGGATGCTACAGCAGAATACAGGCTAGACTAGGCGAGGTATACTACATGTCTTCTTGGCCTACTTTCTGCCCACTGCAAACAAGTACTAATACAAAGATGGGTGAAACATAGTTTTCTTGAAAGTCACTGGAGAGATGGTGTATCAGTCTAGTGACAGGTAAAGAGTTAAAGATGGAAAAGATTACCTTAAAAGTTTCAGCCCAAATTACTAGTTCTATATGGGGCAAAATGTTAGACAATCAAATAAAAAACTGTAATTAATTAATAATTTCCTTCATTCTCACCCCTGGCTCTTAAGGCAAACCAACCTAAGTGACCGACATGATTAATAAAGGCTCCTCATCAAACATGAGGCCCCAGAGTTTCGTGCCCTTCCAGGAATTCAATGGTAAGTTAAGTCTGTGCTTTACATATTTTGGGATTATCCAAGCACCCTCTCAAGACCCCATGAAGAAAACATTTTAATATCAGCAGGGCACAGATAACAGCAGAGAAGTAGCTATGTAAGCAATAATGAAACAGAAGTTCCTTCAATACCAAGCATAAATTAGAGGATGCATTTCTTTCTGGAGAACTGGCTGTGGGTTCTTCAGGAGTGTACTGGGTGGGCCAGGCACACTGCAATCTGTCACAAGTAACACAAGGATAACTCAGATCTAGTTAAACGCTGATTCTGATGCCAGACTCCCAGGTTCAAGTCCTGGTTCTGCCACGTATTTGTTCTCTCAGGTCAGACTGGTGCTTAGCCTGCTGGGCCCAAAGTCTCAAATAGGGTTACAACAGTAGCTCCTTCATAGTGTCAGTATGAGGACTGAATCAGATGAAGTACACAAAGGGCGAGGCACGTGCTAAGAGCTAATATCAATGATCCCTGTTGTTTGGATTCTGTCCTCCTGATCTAAGTCTGATAGAATGCAGTCCCTGCAGCCACTGTCTCTTTTGTCCTTAAGATACAAGTAAGTCAGCATGAGACTGTTACAAACTGGGCAAACAGTAGTAGTGAGTGATTCTGTGGCCAGGCCTCTAGCTTTGGCTTTTCTTGAAGGAACAAGGCACTTACCAGCTCTCCAAAGTGTTTCATGGCATATTCTAACACACCGGCTGCTGCCTCAGGCTGCTGTAGCTTATTGTTAATGCTGGAAAAATAAAAGGAAGAGGTGGTTACACTCATAAGTCTGAGTGGAAGGTATGGGGGGACACTGTGGGCAGATGTCTCACCAGCACACTGGGGACAACGTCTTGAAGACACAGGGGGAGCATTAATTATCTAATCATCACTCAGAAAGCTCAGCTTCAATGATTTCATTTGAGAAAAGATTTCTGATCCCCTATCCCTGATTTGGGGGGCAGCAAAGTGAATCTACTGTTTGGTGCTCTGGGCCCATCTTTCACCCAGCAGACTGCTTCCTCTCAGATGCATTCTGTCTCTGTCTCTCTGTCTACCTACATCCCCCATGAATTTCTTTGAAGCTAGAAGCCCTGTATACAAAACTGTCTCTGACATTTGCATAACTGCACAAAAATCCATCTGAACTTTTAACTCTTTTTTGTCAGTTGCCCTCAGTAATAGGAATAAGTGAAATTAATCAAAATGGTAGGACTGTAAACTCATGGAGGTGGTTCAGAGGCTGGGCCCTATGTCAATGACATCTCAGGGCTGTGGCTGTACAGCTACGCTGACTGCTATCCTTCCAGAGCCTACTGCCTTCAAATTCAGACGCTTCCTTGGTTCCTCTGTGACAGGCCATGAAGGACCATCAAAATTCCCTCAGGCTGGCCTCCAGCATAGAGGTGCTCTTCACTAGGACACTCTGCATTGTTGATGCCATGTGCAGGCTCTATGGAGTCCACGGAGCTGGAGGACTGTAACTGTAGGTAGGGGCCTGGTCCAGGGACATGGTCCCTGGAGCTGGTTAATCAGAAAGGCTACAAAAAGGTCCTGAAAGCAGAGCTGTGAGGCTTAGCCCCTTAATCTAATAGGAACCTGTGCAACTAAAACCAACACCAAATACAGCCTAAGTTACAGAATGAAGGGAAAGGGGGAGAGCAAAAGAGCTGGCTTGAGAGAGTCATAGGACAACAATGGTTGTATCTGTCTATTGGTAGGGAAAACATCAAAATATGACATACCGACTTGGGAATCTAGACTGATTTAACAAGCAAGGATCTAGTTTATTGCCCAAAGTACAAACTGTCTACTTGAGTAGAATTAATTTTTAGGTGGTTTTGGGAAATTCCAGGATTTTGGTTCAATGTGGTAATATGGCAAGAGACTGCTGTTATAAATATTATTCTTAAAAATTCAATTCTACCACATTTCTTCCATAAAACTGAGAAGGAATTGCCCAGAAACCTGATGAACTACAGAAGTTAACATTTGTGAAAGTAATAATCTAATGCCTCCTATTTACAAAGCACACTTCAATTTTCCAGCCTATCACTCCTTTGGTTTCACGCATACTTGAGAGAGCAGGGAAGGAAAGGGAAGGTGAGGTCTGTCTCACTAAGTGGAAACTGCCCCAGGAAGGGCAGTGATTTTCCCCAAGGCCATAGAAAATTGGGATAGTCCTCACAATATCTGGAGTGATTGTATGTTTCTGTTAGAGGTGTGAAGCAATTTTGAATCTGGAGTCAGAACACTTGGGTTTACATTGCTGGAGGTCTAATTCTGGTCACTTATAAACAGGTCAACTTTTTTGCATTTTAAACTCGTCTATAAAATGTGGCTAACACCACCTTCTTCATAGACTCCTCAAGGAATTAAATGACACAATGGATAGGAAATTGCTCAGCAGGTCCTTATACATACTAAGCAGGTCCTGTTTTTGTCTAAGGATAAAAGTTGCTAGAAACATAGATCTATGCTTGTTCGCAGGAAAACGTACCTACAATTAAGAGCTAGCTCTAGGAGTCATTAGCACAAGTTACAAACACTTCCCGAATAGACTATTCAAGCATCCAGTGTCAAGATTCCACTACCACAGGTGAAAGTCTCTAGACTGATGTCACCCAACTTGGCTTATAGGAAAACAAAGGTGACCTCATACAGAGGGATCTATTAGGAGCACTCACTGGCGCTTCTTGTACTGGTCTTAAGCAAAGCAACCAAACAGAATGTTCTCCATCAGTTGGTTGGCTCTAGGATTCAGATTATTATTATTATTTTTGAGACAGGGTCTTGCTGTGTAGCCCAGGCTGGCTTCAAACTCTTGATCCTCCTGCCTCTCAAGTGCTGGGATTACAGGCATGTATCATCGCATATGGTCTAGGATTCAAAAATATTTTACTTTTGTCTTTAGGATTCAGGAATATTTTTAATCTCAAAGTGAAATCAGAGAGCTGGAGAAATGACTCAAGTCGTAGAGCATCTGCCTAGCAAATACAAAGTGCTGAGCTCAAATCCCAGCCTACCCCCCATCCCCACCCCCCCAAAAAAAGTGAAACCATAGCTTTGTAGTTTCTTTAGGAAGCCCTATGAGGTTTTCTAAGCTGAGAATGAAAAGCAAGTCTAAAGGAAAAACTCCACTACGGACAGGTTCACTGTGAAGCAAGTCCCAATGCCCCTGGGTCTCATCTGTTTAGTACTGGACTCTGTGTCCATTCACATGGGTGGAGTGAACTGTACTGGCAATTTCTTTTTCTTTTTTTGAGATAGAGTCTCTCTGTGCAGCACATGCTGGCCTTGAACTCTACACCCCCCTGCCTCAGCCTTCCAAGTGCTGGGATCACAGAGTGAGCATATACCTTCAACAAGACTCTTGAATTAACACTTAACATTACTGGTTATGATGTCCTTATCTAGTTCCCTGAACCTGAGTGGAGATAAGAAAGCTAGAATATAGTCTAATAAAATGTAATTACATATAATTCTCTGGGGTTTTTTTGTTTGTTTTTTTGCAGTACTGGGGCTTGAACTTAGGGCCTACACCTTGAGCACTTCACCAGCCCCTCTTTTTTTTTGTGTGTGAAGGGTTTTTTCAAGATAGGGTCTAGTGAACTATTTGCCTGGGCTGGCTTTGAACCATGATCCTCCTGATCTCTGCCTCCTGAGTAGCTAGGATTATAGGTGTGAGCCACTGGCGCCTGGATAACTCTCTGTATTATACAGGACTCTATTTTTGGTAGGAGTATACTCCTGGCAAAAGGAGTGGACTCTAGTTTTGGTAGGAGTATACTCCTGGCAGAACATAATTACTCTGGTGAGGAAGATAAAGTACTCACTGTCTAACCAGAAAGAGCTAACTCTAAGAAAGACACATAAAGATCCAGGAGTTCCAACAACTTGATTCAGGAATTCCAGTCTTGTGTTCTGGAACATACTGTATTTCAAGAACAAATTATAAACGTTACCAAAATTTGGCTCTTTTGAGACTTGTACTGCTAAACCAAAAACCAAAACAAATAAAAACTTCTTTTCTAATCCACTCTGCTTTTTCAAAGCAGAAATTCAAATTTAACTTTAATACTGCTAGGGCTCTGGTATACCTCTTCCAAGGACAGACCAGCATAGCACTGCAAATTAAAAATGAAACTTCATCATGTAGTCCCTAACTCCTTTAGGAGCTAATCCAAATAAGTCATCTTTGCAATGCTTCCTACTTGAGTATGTGGAGCTAGGTGACTCTGCCGCAGGGCTTGGAAGGAAGGAAAGAAAGCAATAGGCTGGGTTCAGTGTGTGGGTGGAAACTGACCAGGCCCTTAGCACTGCTGTACTTCAAGATCCATAAGAAGCTCTTGTCTAGCAATAAGGACAATCAGTGAAAAATTACAACTGTTACTAAACAGACTAAAACATCACCATGAAAAGTGAGTGGGCTCAGTGTGAGAAATTAAATTCCTGGTCTCAGAAATGAGGACCTGAAGAAAAGACAATTCTTGCTGAGCAAGGAAGTCTGTCCTCTTGTTTGAGACCTTAACATTTCCTTCTTTCTCCGTGACTTCTTGCTTGCCATCATGGGAGGCAATGTTTTACAACAAGATTCAACAAGAAAGCTCACTGTATAGGCCAGGCACTGTTTATTGCTTAGATGTAGATCTCAACCCTAGAAAGTAGACCCTGTTATTAATATTCCCATTTTATGTATGAAGAAAGTAGGTCACAGGCTGTCAAATGTCATTAAAATCTTACAATTTAAAAAGTATCTTACTGGAGCCTCTCTGATCCCACCACTTGCATGTCAGGAGAGTGTTCCTCTCTCCCTTCTATTTCTCCCTTTTTTACTAAATAAACCTTTGCTTATCTTCCCCCCAAAAGCATTTTATTTAAAGAGTAACGTAAGATATATTGCAAGCTCTTAGCTTTCAACTCTGGGTATTAGTGGGTACCCAGTAAATACCTATAAACTGAGTGACTGAAAGCCTTGGATGGGATGTTTGAATTAAGCAACTCTCTCTAAAACTTGCTATACAGAAGGAAGGTACCCTTCTGGGCCTCTATTTGAACTTCCTCACTGATGCTGTGGCTAACACTCCCCTCTGGCTCCCACCCACATTTCCTATTTCCATTCAGAAGTCTCTAATACTAGAACTACTCTATGGAACTTGGAGAAGGAGGGAAAGGAAAGGAAAAGAGAATAATAGAGCATCAACAATATTGTAAAACATAACATCTGTGAAGGTAGGGGATATAAAGATCTGTACAGAAAACTGTTGAAAAATGGGGGTGGGAAGTAAAGGGAGAGCGATGGAAGGGGCTGAACAGACCAAAGTAATGCAGAAGGGATAAACTGAGAAACCCCTTTGAACATTGACTTAAATAGGTACAATGTGTGTGTGTGGGGGGGAAAGAGTACTTGTGTGAGGGTGAACAAAGGAGATTAAGGTGAGGGTATATGGTTGATGGACTTTCTATACTTATATGAAATTGAACAAAGAAACCTCTTGCAATTGCTTTAAGTGGGGTGGAAAGGGGGCTGAGAGGGAGAGATAGTGGGGGTGATCTAACTCATGTACAATATAAGCCTATTTGGAATTGTCACAATGAATCCCCTCCATACAACGAATATATCCTAAACAAAAAAATGTAAATTAAGACACTAACCCATTAAAAAAAAAAAGAACAAAACAACTGAGACAAGTTATTTTTGGGTGGGTGGTACTGGGGGTTGAACTCAGGAACTTGTACTTATTAGGCAGG